CCCAAGTCTCTCACTGCTCCGTTTGGGGTCCGAGAAGCAATGTCATCATCTGCAAGGAGCTCAAGGCACTTTTAAACTATGGCACTTGTGAATGTTAGTGATGTGGGGTGCATGGCAGAAGAAATCCTGAACTGGCATTAAAGAGCTCAAGGGGCAACCCTGCTGGATGAGACAAAAGGCCCCATGTAGCCCCACAACCCGTTTCCTGCAAGGGCCACCAAGATATCTCAATAAAACCCACCAGCCAGGCATGAAAGGAAGAGCCTTCCCGTTTGCCCGTAGCACCAGTTATTTCAGGTGTAGACTGCTCCTGAACATGGAAGACCCATTCCAGGCTGCAGAGACCTTACAGTCACAAAACACCAGGCTGCAGCTAACTGCCCTGAAGCGGCAGATCTCACCCCACCCCCAGCCTATTTCATGACTGTTACCACTTACTTGTTCCCAAGCGCAGGTTGAGCCAGGTGCGAGGTGGGGAGCCATACTTGGTCAGGACCGAGTTCATCCCCTTGCCTCTCGCGGAGCCAGAGTCCCAGGGGGTGCAATGGGAGGGTGGGTGGGCAGACAGCAGTCCAGAGAGCAGAAGCAGTCACAGCACCACAAAGCAAAGCAATCAAAACAGAAAGGGGCTCAGCGCTGCTCTGCACCCTTCAGGAAGGGAGTGAGAAAGCCCTGGTGCTCAGCAGCCAGACTCCCACCGCTCAAGCTTTTCCACTCAGGCGGCGAGAGCAAAGTATGCGCCTCTTGGCCTCCTCCACGTTTCTTTCTTTCCAGAGCCGAGAGCCTCCCTTGGGCGTTGTATATTTTACCACCGGCTTCCTAGGGTTGTCCGTTTCATGTGCCTTCGCCGTCTGGATTCCCGCTTCTGGGCCTTCCCCCTTCCTGGCAGGCGGCCACACACCTCCACCCCCACCGAAAATGAACTCGGCAACCAAGCCGTCTCTCCAGCCTTGGCGCCCACCAGGTGGGGAGGGGGGAAAGAACTTCCAAAGCGTTATTCCACGGCTCAGTTTTGCTACTCCTCCAAGCCTGCCCAGTTTATTTTATTGCACTGGGTTTAGCTCTCACTCTCTTACCCACAACCCGCCATGCAAACAAATCAGTCAGCGAAGCAAAGTCCCTTAGAAAAGCTCAAGGCACAGGCCACTGAGCATCAGGCAGGCAGGACCGGTTGCTACAGCAACCAGCTACTCAGAACCAACTAAGGGAAGCACCACCGCACCCCTGATTTCATCTCCCCCATCCCACCCCAGTGCCCGATTATTTCAGATTCAAAGGCTTGTGCAGCTCGTTCCACAGGCAGAGGGGTGCCTGCCTTTTGCCTGTGGACATCTGTGCTTTTCTGTCTCTGGTAAGATACATTTAAAACTTTGGCTGCCTCAGACCCTGATATTTCATATGTGATTTCCAATCCCCTCCCCACCCGTCTAAAGCACTGCACAGATGGCGTCCATATTTACCCTAGCCACTGTTCAGGGTAGATTGTCAGCCAAAGCTTTTCCTGTGCAGCCAGACTTGGCCATATGGGGAGAATTAAGAACACATTAAGCTAACACTTTAACTCTTTCGACTGCCAACGGCGTGACGTATGCGGGCCTCAGCCAATGAGAACGCCCCGGGTTGCGAACCCCAACACAAAGCCCTCCCATTTCAAGAAAACAAAAACTGGTAAAGTTCATTTTTCCCCCGTAGGTTGCTCTCGCACAAAAAGGAATAGTTAAATGGGGACGGAGGAGTGGATTTCCTGTGGTCTCTCTGAATTACTTAAAAGTGGCTTTAAGGTAGCTGTTTGTAGACTTGAATAGTAAATTCTCCCACCCCAAGGGAGATGTGAGCTGGGACAACTTGTAAATAGAATACATCAGATGCTGTTTCACATAGTATGTATTGAACAGGAAAACCAGCAATTCCAGGACACTCTGTTACCGATTGTAAGGCAGTACAAAATAATTTATATTGGCAGAACTTCAAATAGGAGACGGCAGCAGAAAACGGCTGGATTGCAATTCGTCAAGAGGTCCTAGGTTATCAACTTGTGAACCAAATCAGGATGAAGGGTTGGAGCCATACTGCCAAGTAGACCTATTTGAATTAATCAATATGGCTAACCTTATGGCTGTTGATTTCAATGGGTTTATTCCAACTAGAATTTAGCTGGATACAACCCAAAAGGGTGTTTGCTTTTATCACTACAATACATGTGTCAATTAGCTTATTAATCACCAGGGTTTCTCTGCTGTCACCAGAGATGAAGGGAAAATTGCACGTTAATGAGAAACTGCTTAATTTGCACCACGAAAGCTGCACTTCTCCAAATTTGTCAGTTTGCAGTTTTCCAAACAATATGAACAAAAATGCATATATCTTAGGGGGAAATGTGTGTTTTAAAAAGCATATACTAGTGAAAATAACATTCACAAATGATATCAGGGAAACAGCTTGCAAGTGTGCATTTAGTCAAAACCGCAAACAAAAATGAATTTACTAGAAGAAATCTGCACTAAAATGCTGATGAATTTTCATGAAGATCTTTAAAAATAATTTTAAAAACTGCTGAAGAAATGTGGAAAAGTGAATTTAACACTGGGGGGGAATGAGAAACTTCAACAGAAATTGACGTTTATGCCCATCATCAATGTAATTTGCTTTTATCACTGACTTGTTTCACATTTCGTTCCTCTCTGACCTCACTTCCTTCCATTCCCCCACCTGCCCATATGCTACACATATGTCTTTCAATTTAGGCATCTGATGAAGCACACCCTGTTGCATGAAAGCTTGAGCCATGATAGATCAGTGCTCAAAACCATAGATCAGTGCTAGAAACCATTGCTCTAGGCACATTTTGCGACAGGGAATTTCATTAGCGCAAGTAGTTTCTGAGTTCTGGGTGCAGTATTGCACCTAAGATTTCAGATTAAAACAGCGGAATGGAAGGAAAGGAGGAGCTCTTTCTACCTCTCCACTTCTAGCTACTCTCTGAAGACTGGGGAAGAGACCCTTTTAAGAATATTAGGGAGGTGGGCAGGGGAAGGACTAGACCATATGAAAAATGAACATAATATTTTAGCTGCAGTTCATTCACTTTCAGCCTTGCATTCTTGTTATATATAAAAAAGTGGGCCTAGACATTCCGATGCTGTACCTGTAACCTAGGTTTAAGGTGCCATTTAGCTCCTAGCTTTCATATCTCAGTTTCTAACACTGTAATAGATTTATTGGTACTTAAGCTTCAACAAGACTCTTTGTTTCACATAATATGGGATCCAGAATCAGTGCTTTCCAGAGGGTTTGTTTTGAAGACTAGCAGATTTAATGTAGCCTAAGCTTTCACGGATTAGAGCCCATGTTATCAGAGGACTGAAGGTGCTCTAGTCAAAAGTGGATGACAACATAAATTTAATAAATAATGCTGCTGCTGTTGAATCCTCTGCGTCCTATTATCATTGGCCTTTGGCTAATACAACATCTGAAAAACTGTAAGTTCCTCATCCCTATCTAAAAGGTATACAGTGGTACCTCAGGTTAAGAACTTAATTTGTTCCGGAGGTCTGTTCTTAACCTGAAACTGTTCTTAACCTGAGACACCATTTTAGCTAATGGGGCCTCCCGCTGCCACCACACGATTTCTGTTCTCCTGAGGTAATATTTCAGGGTTACCAGAATATTATCTGAGGTAATAATTCTGCGTTACCAGAGTCTGTAACCTGAAGCATCTGTAACCCGAGGTACCACTGTACACTAAAATGACTGCATCCAGCTGTGCACTGATGCCTGTTCACACAAAGGCCAACTTCTTGATCAAAATCTAGGATTTCAAAACTGCAAGTTCAAGAACCAGAGGACTTTAGGTAAGTCGATCAGGCGGCTTGAGCAACATGATCTCAACCACCTTTTGTCTGCAGCTAGCTCCTTAAAACCATTAGATTAGAAAAATCAAAGTAGCTTGTGTGAGGCATAGTTCCCTGGCCCAAAGGATGAGCACTGAAATGAGACTGAATTGGTAGATCTCAAGAGAAAAAACAGAGACTACAATGGACTACAAATCTCTTTTTTTTTTTTTGGAATTGTAGTCCAAAACAACCAAAGGAGCCTAGGTAGGCAAAGGATGTTACACAGCCTGAGAAAAACCAAGCCAACTCAGCAGTAGATCCCTTTCCTGCAGTGCAGCTTTGGATCAATGGGGTCTCTGGCCTGGGCCAAGCATTGTTTCAATGAAAATAGCTTAGAATCATAGAATCATAGAGTTGGAAGACACCACAAGGGCCATCGAGTCCAACCCCCTGCCAAGCAGGAAACACCATCAGAGCACTCCTGACATATGGTTGTCAAGCCTCTGCTTAAAGACCTCCAAAGAAGGAGACTCCACCACACTCCTTGGCAGCAAATTCCACTGTCGAACAGCTCTTACTGTCAGGAAGTTCTTCCTAATGTTTAGGTGGAATCTTCTTTCTTGTAGTTTGGATCCATTGCTCCGTGTCCGCTTCTCTGGAGCAGCAGAAAACAACCTTTCTCCCTCCTCTATGTGACATCCTTTTATATAAGCTTGGCTCCCTTGAATCTTCTCCAAATACAATAAGGGACTCAAAAGCAGCAGCAGCAGCTACAGCATCTTCAGGAAGCCAGGTGGCCTGTGCCAAGAGTCCTCTCAGCACGGAGCTGTTTGGTAAAAGGCTGTTAAGGCTGCACCCAGAACATTCAAACTCACTGCACTGCAAGAGCGACAGAGCTCCCTCTGCAGGCAGCAACTGCAGCCTGGTAATTTCTTGTTTGAAACCAGATATTCACCACCACCACATCTTGGGTAGCCTAAACCAAATTTCACAGAGAAGAGAGGAACAGTAAATACCAAACTGCTGCAGACTCTTGAAAACTGAAACACATGCCAGCACATGACAACCAGAGTGATGGAACAGAAAAGAAGCATCATTTCACCCACACTTAGAAGGGCCACTGTTTGGTGAATCCTGCACCAAGGACCTCAAAGAATGTGGCATAAAGGCAGTTTATATCAAAAGTTTAATTTTTTAGGATGCAAAGAAAACACACAAATGAATAAAACATGACAGTGGATCAGCATGACACTCTCAGCTGTGAAAATTGTAACTGGTCTCCTGTGGAAAGTCCCCTGAGAACATGCCATGTCTCCTGAGCTGATCAGTTCCTGCAGAAGAGGATTTAGATTGGAGCTCATGGCTGCGTATGTTCTCTCCTCTTAAGATGCTTTTTCAATTTCAATTTCCCAGCACCTGAAATGTCATAGTTATACTCCGACGTGACATAGGGTATCTCCCCTTCAATCCCCACCTGACAAAGAAAAGACAGTGTTATAGGACACCTTGTGTCTGTCACACACACACACACACACACACACGGCAAATGCCAGCAAAAGACTCATTAGGTTTAAAAAACAAAACAACAAACATATCTATCAGACTAAAGTTTTAAGGCCAATAGGACACTAGGAGCAGAGTGAGCATTACCCAGTAAGTATTTGTGAATCGTGGAAAGAAATGGGGACAGGGTGAGAAATTGCTTTCTCCCTCTGAATATTAAAATTCAGATTCTCCGATAGCTCTGACTGGCAGTGGGTTCAGGATAAATAGAAGGAAGAGTCCTTACTTGGTTCAGGAAGATGCAATTAGGAATAGGGATACTTCCAATCAGTAAGCAATTCACAAATCGCAAGTTCTGTGGCGCTACTGGTGTCAGAATGTGGTACAGCTTCTTGTCTGTGTCCACCCCTCGGACGATTCCTGTAGAAAGGGGCATATGAAGAACAAGCCTTGAGTATTCCAGAACAACTTAGCAGGCTGGCACAACTAAGGTTACCTCTGGACATTTTAGCAACATTCTGCAAATATCTAGACACCTACTTCTGGGCTAAAGAGAAATCATCACTTGGTTTTTAATCACAATATTTTAGTTCATATTTATCTGCTGCTGCTTTGGTTTTTCTTTTCTTTTTTTTAACTGGTGTTTATTTTAATTACATACTGTAATATATATATTTTTTAATCCAAATAGTGCAAATTGCCCTCAGAAAGGTCAATATATAATTTCACTGGAATAAATATTTGGAGCACTTTGGGGGCAGAGCACATGAGCCAGATAGTGGTAGCTAACCCACAGAGCTTAGCAAGAGGGGACGCTGCTTCTTACAAGCAAAAGGGAGGGGGACTTGTCTGTGTAGTCCTGCATCACCTGCCCTGGCTAGACAAGGTCCTCCTTCTCAAGGGGAAGGGCAAGCTGGGTGGGAAGAATACATTTTGGCTATCTACCAAGGTCAGCCGAAGTCTGTGGATTGCTGCCCCTTTTGATTCTGAACAGTTCCCAGTGGAAAGGGTAAGCACTCCCACTATAATGGACTGATTTCATTTTAGAAAATACTAAGGATTCAAAAAACAGGAAGAGAGGGGTGCTACAAATGCAAGCACGTACCAAAGCCCAGGCAGTTGCAGATGGGGGTGTGCATCAACAAGACCGGCCCGTCTGCGTTACACGGCACCTGATCTGGCACTTGGCAGAGGCCAACCCAGCTGGCATTGACAGAATACAAGATGTGGGCAGGAGCAACATCTGTGTGTATGACTCTGAGGGCGACGGCATTGAAAGGTACCTGGGAAACAAAAAGCAAGAGCGTAAACTCAACCAGCAATTTGCTTTATTTCAGTTATACAAATTCATGTGGGCTACATCTGCTAATGACTGCTTGGCATCACCAGCCAGAAATGAAATTCCTGTTATTTTTACAGAAGAATACCTCTGGATGCCAAATCCTGGGGACAAGCTACTGGGGATACTTGAGGGAGGAGGGGGCAGAGCTCTGCGACAAAGTATATACTCTGCATATGCAAGATACTTCACATCTTCAAAGTTCAAAAGGGTGTCAGGAAGCCAGGCTGGGGAAAAACTTCCGCTTGAGAACTTGGAGAGCTGCTGCCTGCCAGAGAAAACAATGCCAGGCTGGATGGACTGAAAGCAGCCTGGGCTGAAAGAGCAGGACAGAGAGAATCCTCGGAAAGTCTTTAGGGTAACAATTCCCCAGTGGTAACTGCATCTTGGCTGCTTACACAAAGCCTCTGTAACGACAATACTAACACAAACCTCTGCTGCGTAGGCACATTTACCTGATAGGGTATCAGGCTGTGTAAAGGAAACACAGATTCCACGTCTGGGGGCTGCAACTGGCCCAAGTACGCCAAGATTGCCATGTCTCGTAGGACACTGCTGTGGGTGCGTCTAGAGGAGCAAAATGAGAACTAGATCAGAGACTGGTTGGGAAGCACACTCTCTGGCCAGCTTTATGAGGGGGAAGGAGGAGAGGGACATGGGACTGAAGGTGAGAGCAACAGCACAAAGGAGGGCTGCAGAATAGAAAAGAGAAGTGGCCACAGAAATGGGGTTGGGAAGGTGAAAAGTGGGTTTAGTAGGTGCATGGGATAGGAAGGGGAAGCTCCAGGAAGTTAATATGGTGGGGGTTGACAAGCGGAGCAAGAAGGGACGCAGAGCCCCCCTCCCGCTAGTGTCTCTCTCACACACAAACAGTACTTAAAATGCCACAATACTCTTTTGCTGTTATCGCAAGTACACTATTAGGCAACAGTTTGCTAGTGACCTGCTTGTAATATACATTACAAGACAGACAGGAAGGGATGCAAAGAGAGTGGGTCAAGGACTCCCAAAGGCAAGCAGAGGCGCCAGCAAAGTGAGGCTAGCTAGTCATGGAAAGGCCTTAAGGTATCACTTTACCCTGTCCTGCTCTCCACCCCACCCACCCAGTGCCCACATGGCATTGCGTGGCACTTACCCAGTGCCAGCGTTCCCTGCTCCTGGGAACTCTGGCTGGACACACAGCAATTGATGTCCAGGATGTGGAGGGTGGAAGCCTGCTTGGGCCAAGCCCTGCTGCCCTGAGTCCTCCATCCCATTCAGGCTCTTGCGCCGGAGGAGTGCTTTGCCTCTTGTGTGCAGGCCAGCAGTGCAATGGATATACTCTGGGGATAGCTGAGGCATGTCCCTGAAGTCTTCTGCACTGATCTGAACGATGTGACTAGGCGCCAGCAGCCGAATTACGTCAATCAAAAGGAGCAATCCGGCACCTTTGAACCAGGAGACAAAACAAGAGCATGTCTGAACAGTGCAGGAATGTGGGAATTCAACGAAAAGGATGGAACACATGTTATAGGGTGCAAAGTGAAGCTGCTGCATCAAGCGAGAGCACATCATTTCAGGCCTCTGTAGCTGCTGAGCCAGAGGGAGAAAGAGAAAAAGGTTTTGCAGGGCACCCAAGTCCACCTGATTCAAACACTTCTGCAATTCCAGCAGGCTTTGCCTCCATGGTCACAATTTTTATGGCCATTAAAAGAGAGAAACTTGGGTCCTTCTTAAAGGAATGCACACACATCCTGCACTCTCATAGCTCAAGGCATGACTTCCCTGCATAGCTCCTTCTTCCTAACTTTCAGTACCTTGTGTCTTCCACCTGCCATTCCTCACCTTTGAAACATATCTGACGTTCTAATGAAATCTGAAGCTTAGTACCAGAATTACATGAATATACATGGCCAGGGCCAACCTCATATTCCCTCTCTGCCAGTCAGTTTCAGTGCTGCAATTCCAAACAAGCACAGAAAATGCTGACTTTGCAAACAAAAACAGAAATACCAAACTGAGCATAGATTCCAGAAGAGAAGCGATATTGTATTAAAGCAACTGAAGACTTTGCTTCCCCACCCCCCGCTGTGCACTTTGCTGAGATCTTTACGGAAGGGCAGATGCCAGCTTCCCTTCAAGCATGGTTCTAGCCTTACTGGGTTGCCAGTGCTGCATCTGCAGCCATGTTCCAAATCTGGTGAAGTCCCCAGAGCCAGAAGCTGGGGGTTTGGGAGGCACACAGAGTCAAGGGTTCTATGCAGAGTAGACGCATTGAAATTAATGGGTCAAAGTTAGCCATGTCTGCTAATTTCAATGGGTCTACTCTGAATAGCAATAACATTGGCTACCCTGCACAGCTTAGGGTTCTAGAAGCAGAATAAGCAAGAGATATGTCAACTGAGAAGGCCAGGTAAGAAAGAGTTTGAGAGATGGGCCTCAGTGACAGACCCCACATCCCCACCTTCCTCGCCTTGGGCCAACATAGGATCTCAAACTTGCACCCAGTTGACCCCATGGCAGAAAAAGTCACAAGCTCCCCACAGCCTTACCTTTCACCCATCCCATGGTGTTGATGACCAGAGGAACATCTCTCTCGTAGGCATTGAACACGTATTTCAGCGTGTCAATGTATCTTTCAGTGTCCTGCTCACAACTGGTTGCCCCAAAGTAAACCATTTTTCGCGGTGTATGCTGGTGAGTGAACGGTGGACCTAAAAGGGGAGAAGAAATTGACAGAACTGCACATATTCAAAAGAGCTGCAACAGCACTTTATCCACCCAACGGGGTGGTGGGGGTGCAGAAAGCAATTAACCTTTCTCCCTAGACTCAACCTCTAACGGGAAAGCAGGTCATTGCTCCAGTTTGGTTTTGATCCCTTTGGAAAGGCTGGTGCTCCAAGAAGAGCTCCACTCACACCAGAAAGTAAATTCTGTGTGGGGCTTCCCTTGTGCTTGATGCAAAAACTGCTGTTAGCACAGAATGCTGCAGCATGGTTTCTGATGGGAGTGAGACCCTGTCAGCATAAAACAGCATGTAACAAATCAGAGATCTGCCTTGGTTGACAATCTGCTCCAGCGCCAAATTCAAGGAATTATTATTATTATTACAAAGTCCTGAAGATTGTGACCAGTTTACTTGCAGCATCAGTTTATCCCACATATATGCCCAGTTGGCCACTTCAATCTGCAGATCTGGCACTGTTACAAGTGCCAAATAATGCTAATTCTGCACTTGTAAGAAACTAATCTTCTGGCAGCACCTACACTCTGGAACCCCCTGCCTATTGACATCAGGCAGGCACCTTCACTGCACTCTTTTTGGCGCCTGCTAAAAAATTTTTTGTTTAGGCCAGCCTACTCAGGTACATAGTAGGTTGACATGCATTTTATTTACTTTTAGCTACTGTTGATTTTAATCATCACTGATATAATTTACAATACTTGTCTTCAATGATAACCTTAATATTTTGTTTTATAGTTCTGTAAGCCGCTTAGAGGTTTTCTTACTGTCATTTATTGTTAAATAAATAAAACAAATAAAGCCACTCAGAAGAGGCGTCCAGACATTTCACAACACTCTGAAAATGCCTCCAAAGCACATACCCAGAAGCGGCTCTGTTACGTTAATTAGGGAAACGCACCCAGGAGGCGTGAACTCTGGTTGCCCCAGATCACAGTCCAAGAATTCAATGCAGGGAAGGCTACAATTAAGAAGAGGAAAATGATATAAATGTTAACAGAATGCCTTTGACTGCCATCACTGGAAAACCCAGCCTGAAGCTAAAGCAAAAATTTGAATATTCTGATCAGCAGCCCCCCACCCACCTGCTCTTGTCAGCAACCAGGATGGTTATAAGAACATCAGAAGAGCTGAGCTGGATCAGAATGGCCCATCTAATCCTGCATCCTTCTCTCACTGTGGCCAGCCAGATGCCTGTGGCAAACCAGAATGCAGGACCAAGGGAGGGTATTCTCCCCTCCTGTGGTGTCCAGAAGCTGGTATTAAGCAGCATTGCAAAATCTAAGAGATACATGCTTATAAGTGCTAGGCCTTCAAAACTGGAAGCCTAGAGACTGCTTTGGCAAAAGGAACAAAGGCAGGCTAGCCAGACAAGGATCAGAGAGCTGACAGCCCACGGTGGGGAGGAGATAAAACAGCACCCGCCACCCCTGACCCAAGGAAAATAGGAAACGAGTTGGGAGAAAGAAGCTCTCTCATTGCAAACAGCCACAGCAGCCTTCACCAGAGAACTCACCTGTTGAGCAAAATATTAATCAGGTATCTGTTAAAAGTTGACTTGCCAACACTTTTGGGGCCACAAACCAAGACTATAGGGCAGCCTTCATCCTCATCTGAAACACAAACACAGTATCTGAACATAATTGCCCCAGTAAAGTTACAATCTGAAATGATTATTCGAAAATAAGAACTTACACACACAACTGGCACAGCTACATGAAATCTCACAGGAGGTTAACATGACCAACATCTTTTTTCAATAAAAAAAGACCAAGCAGAAACAGATGCTCCCTCCAAGCTTAGAATCAGAGAATACAGCTTGGCCCAGTTCTTTCTCTGTGGACAAAGGACGGCCCCATTGGCTTCATTTTTATTTAACAAGTCTTCAGATACAAGCACTGCTCCATTTAGGTTACAGCTGCACTTCACCCTTGCTCACGTTAGCTTTAAGCTACTCACCTTGGCACGCTTGGACTAACTCTTCAACTGCTGACAATGTGCTTTCCGACATCAGCAGGCCACTCCTGGGGTCTTGCTTCCCAGCACCAACAGAAGCGAGCACTGTATCCTCTGGAGTGAAACTGGGAGCCTTCTGTCTCTAGGAATGAGAAGGCATTTGTCTGAAGGTGGTTTTAGCCATTAAAAAGGGGGGGGCAGGCTAGACTGTATGTCTATTAGCAGGTATTAAGAACCCCCAACTTCAGAGACAACATCCCTCTGAATACTAACAGCTAGGGAATAGCAGGTTCAATGGGCATTTGGCTTCGTAACTAGTTTGTGGGCTTCACAGAAGCATCTGAGAGGCTCCTGTGGAGAGCAGGATGCTGGATCAGATGGACTTTTGGATGAATCCAGCAGGGCTCTTAATGTTCACTGCAAATTGGCCTTAGCTAGCAAGTATTTGGCTAACTGACAAACACCCAAAAAGCAGATATATCCATTGGAGTTCAGGCCTAAGTGTAGGATAAATTAAAAGGCCCCAAATCCAGGAAATGTTAACACAAAGGAAGCCTTGATTGCCCAGCAGAGTAGCTTCATCCCCACAAGAGGCCTAAAAGGATATCCAAGTCCCAGGACCAATGTAATTAACCCAAACAGAAATTTGATACAGGCCACATAGTGAGCATTTTTCATTAGCGGGTATCTTCAGACTTCAGGTGTGAATGCTCAAACTGTAAAGAAGGGCATGTTCTCGCATGCATCACACCCTCACCAAGTCCTTGACCTTCCCTTGTATAATCTTGCTTTATCAGGGTCTCCCATCACACAGAGGGTTCTACTCAAATTCAAAAGGATTAAGTAGAGGCCCTGCTTATGGGGACTGAACACATGAAGCCAGGTCCTGCAGTGTATCCTGGCCATCCTGAATCAGTTCTGCGAAAACTCAGAGGACAGAAGGAACTCACCTTTGCTTTGAATATGTGGGAGAAATTTGAGTAGCTGTGAATGAACCTAGTCGCTGGAGTATCCAGACGCTCCAACAAAATCATGGAACACTGAGGAATGAAGTCTTTCATCAGTTTGCATCTTGCATCTGGAAAGACAAAGGATGAAACCACAAATGAGACAGTAAGCCTCCTGCTTGGCCCTCATAATGCTTCAAGGCCATTGTGATAAGGACAGAAAACCATAATAATTGCAGTGGTTCTGAAGGGCTTCCAGTGAGGCCTGCCTCAGTCTTGGAAGTCTTCACATTTGCACGAGCTTTTTCTACAGAGCACAGGGAAACAAAGCATACACACAAAGAGCTATTCTCACAATAAGGCAGCTACCCAACTGTGGCTTACTCAATCTTGTTCTCTATTCCTACTATTCAACAGGTTCGGACATTAGCAGCCTGGGTTTGGCTTTTATTGGCAACAGGCCCCAAGCTCTGGAACCTTCTTCTAGAAGAAGTTAGGGAAGCACAAACACAGCTGTTTTTTTGTGTTCTGTTTTGTTTTTGAGAAGTCTGCAAATTCTGCATGATTTCAATGAGGACTTAAATTTTCTGTGGCTGCTTTGTCTTAAATGTGTATTTATCATGATTTATAAACAGCTGGTTTTTGTGTACATGATGCATTTCTTTTAGTGTAAAATACTAAACACAGCTTGTGAAAAAGCAATATAAAATATTTCAGGAAACAAACAAAACCACCCTGTGAACAGCGTTAGGCTGAAAGGGAGAGCTGCTGGATGTGAATTTTTATTATTTTATTTATTTGTATCCAAGCTTTTCCCCTAACCAGACTACAACAAAGAACAGCAAAATGACCGGTCTGTGGCAAAGGGCCACAGGTCAAAATCATGACCATCAAAGATATCCATTCTGCACACAGAAACTCCAAAAGAATTTCAAGGGATGTGCATAAACACACACCAGACAGCCTGTCCACAAAAGCCTTTTTTAACAATCTGATCCCTGAGAGGCAGAGCTCTGTGTGAGCACAAAGCACATCATATTCTTCTTCAAACATCCAAGATCACCCTCTCACAGGAACAACAAGTTCAGGGCCCACCCTCCATTCCAACTTACCTCGGGGCACAAGGTGTGCTCGGAGAATGGACTTTGCCTCTGCTTTCATTTCCTTCCCAGATGTTTCTGGCTCCTTATAAGCCACTGCTTCAATGGTGAGAGCACAGTGGGAGTAGGGGGAGAAGAGGTGATATGGGGGCTGATCTGGAACGATGTTGAACCCAAACACCCGTACAGAGCCATACAGGCACGTCAGGGAACACTTGCCAGTGAATGTCAGCGCCTGACAGGTAGAAAATAACTACTGTAAATAAGCAAACTAATATGTAAATGGGGGCTGCCCCTTTTAAAATTACCCAGAGAAGTTGTCCTAGACTGTTTTTAATATTACATTTTAATGGTGTAACCCACTCTGGGGTCTCAGGGTGAATTATATCATAATCATTTGCTGGATACCGGTCCTCCAAGTACAGTTGGACTTCCATCATTGGCCAGCTGAAGGGCCACAGAGGATGTTCTAGGAACATTAGAAACTGCCTTATACCAAGTCAGACCATTGGTCCAGCTAGATTATTACTGTCTGCAATGAAAAAGCTCTGAAAGGTTTCTGACAAGGAGTCTCGCTCAGCCCTATCTGGAGATGCCACCTGGCACTGAAGCGAGGACCTTCTGCACAAAAAGCAGATAATCTACCATTAAGCTACAATCCTTCTGCTAAAATCAGAGTTAGATTCTACAGTATTCCGCATGGTTCTGAATATAGGCCTGACTGAAATATGAAGCTGACTTATAATGACTCAGTCCATTGGTCCATCTAGCTCCAAATTATCTATTCTACACAATGACTTTTCAAGGCTTGAGATAGGAGCCCTTCTGCAGGCAAGACAGATACTCTACCACTACAGCCCTTCCATATCTACCTGCCCACTTCCCCCTGCCCCTTCTGCTACCTAGTCACCCCCCCACACAAAGGCACATTCTTCCTTGTACAGTAAGCCCGCAACTTATGCACATTTAACATGTGCACATTCAGAATTTTTTTATTAAACAGATTAGAAGGGGGGAAAAGGGGGCAGGGTTCTCCAGGACAAATGACTTTGGCAATCCCACCCACCATGGAACCAAATGAATTTCGATCAGAGGTGATTTGGACTTTAGGCACAAACTCTGTGTAAGTTGCAAGCCTATACAGTACAGCTATTCCACCCAATGGCGAACCCATTGAGTTGGAGTCCATTCTCTGTATTTGCATAAGCACGGCTTTTGTGTTTCCTGGCCACGCCCTTTCCCTGAGCGGCAGCCCCTCAAACAGCTAGACCAACCCCATAAACTGGAGTCGACGGGCAGTATTTGCATAAGCACGCCCCTTCTACTCCCAAGCCACGCCCTTCCCTTATTTGGTAACGCCTCCAACGGCGGAGGGACGACGACCCGCGCGCGTCCTGTATTTGCATAGCCACGCCCTCTCCGCGCTCACCTGCCCCTGAGGCAGAAGCAGAAAGGCTCTGCCTTCCTTGGCCTCGACGGCCGTCAGCATCTCTCCCTCATCCGAGGCTTCTTCGTCCGTTGGCGGCGGTTGCGATGGCCGCGCGGAGAGGAGGCCGCGGGCGAACTCGCGTGCAGAGCGCTGCAGGACGTCGGGCCCTCCGCGGGCCTTCTTCTCCGGCGGAGCAGGCGGAGACTGCAGAGCCGCTTTTCGGCGCCGGCGCCGGCTCCTCTGCCGCCGGAGGAGGCTGGCCGGGTTCAAGCGGCGGTTCGCCATCCCCACACCTCGCCTCGGCGGCGGCCCGCGTCTCCAAAGCGACCGCTAGCGCGCATGCGCATCCTTTCGCGAGCCGGGAAACGACGATAGAGACAGGAATAAGTAGAGCGACTTCGTGTTTCGGAACGTCGTGACGTCATATGGTTGCCTCGCAGATATAAGAAGGAGCACCGGAAATTACAGGAACCCATCATTTGGATTTCCGGGCAACAGACTTTTTTGTTTGAGGTTGGAATGGAAAGGTAGCTAGGCAAACCGTGGGAGACGTTGTAAGGTTTTTCCCCAGCTGTGTTGTGTTTTGTTTTGTTTTGTTTTGTTTTGTTTTGTTTTGTTTTGTTTAAATGTATTTCCCGCCTTTCCACAAACGGGCGCGAGGCGGCTAACAGTAGAAACGCGATAGCGTAATAAAATACGTAATAAAAGCAGAGCACAATAAAATAAACGAAGGCAAGCTAAACAAATGGCCACATAGAATTGTAGAGTTGGGAGGGACACCCAAGGGTCATCTAGTCCAACCTCATTGCAATGTAATAATAATAATAATTTTTATTTATACCCCCCTCCCCAGCCAAGGCTGGGCTCAGGGCAGCTAACAAGCAATAATAAAAACAAGTTGAATGAATACAACTTAAAAATAAGATTAAAATACAACATTAAAATATTGAAACATTAAAATACTAAAATGCAGCCTCATCACAGGAGGAAAAAGAAAGTTGGATCCAAGAAATAATAATGGGATTACCCTTTGAATTCGCCACAAATTTTACAGAGAACAACCAGCTACCATCAAAGCACAGATCAGATCTGTATCCAACGACTGAACTCTAAATAGTCCCAGACTGGTACTTTTTAGCACTGCCACTTGCCACTTTTTAGCACTGCCTCGATGTGGACCACGATTTATGTGGTGTCATGAGACTCAGGGTCTCTGTGATAGTTACACTTCAGTTTGAAGGGATCCCCTGCAAAAAAACAGAGGATCCATAATTGGTGCCCAGATTCATGCATGTTTTTGCACCACGAAGACATCAAATAACAACATAAGGAGAGTCCTCCTGAGTCAGGCCAATCAGTGGCCACTCCAAAGGCTTCAGCAAACAGAAAGCAAGTCCACTCAAGTGGAAGAGAATAATCTCTTGTATCCAATGAGAGTCCCACTCAAAGAAGATCCATTGAAAGTCATGGCCATGACAAACAGAGGTCCATTAATTTCAGTGGGTCTATCTACCTTGTGTAGAGCATAGCTGGATAGGGCCCAGTGTCAGATGGGACAAGGGTTAAGCACACCTCTTCATAAATTCCCTGCTGAAACTTCCCTCTTTCCCAAAGCTGTTTTTCCAGGGAAGGAAGGAAAGTGTGATGGGGTTTACACATGATGGAAATAGGCAGAGCAATGGAAGTCATTGCACTCTCCCCAATACTGGGATTTCATCCAACTGAGTTTTACTCAGAGCAGACCCACTGAAATCAATGCCACATCCGTTCGTTCCAATGGATCTATTTGGAGTATCACCAGCATTGGTAACAACCCACTGGTTTGGTTCATTTCTACAAATATTTGTCCTGATTATAGAGTTTAAGAATTAAAGGAAAGGGCCATAACTCAGTAGCAAAGCATCTGCCTTGCATCCAGGAGATCCCAGGTTCACCATTAGCATCTCCAGGTGGTGCTGAGAATGAACCCTGCCTGAAACCCCAGAGTGTTGCTGAAAGTCAATGTGGACAATACTGAGGAAGATTAACCATTCACCTGTATTATGTGTTTAACAAAACATACCATTAGAAATTCTGCAAAGCAAAGTGTCATCATCAAAAATACCATCCTATGTTCTCCCCCACCATGGGGGATCCCCATTTTCTCCTCTTTTAATAAAGATTCACTGTTTCTGCATATATTTTCTTTCCTTATCGGATTTTCCATGGAAGCCATAATCTGGATTAAGTGGGGAAATAATACAGGCCAGCATTTGGATGAGGATGTCATCATGCAGACATGGAGCAGCATAGAGTCCAGCGATAGACCCGTGCATGGTGGAAGTGCCAATTATTTCCAAAAAGCCAGGCACTGTAACAGCGTGGCAGTGAACATGTCAAAACACAGCTGCTTCCTCTTCTTTCATTTCAATCTTTCAAAAGATTTCAGTCTTTCATGATATATTCCTTTTGGGTGCTTTGGGGTTTTTTTAGCAGCTGAGGACTAGAGACTTGCCCAGGCCACTAGTGCATCCATTTCTACATGATGTAGTCAACGTGATCGTAACAGAGGGGGCATGAGGAGTGTTGCAAGTGTTTATAGGGTCTAATTATTCCACAAGGAGCCCAGAAGGAGAGAGCACATTTTACTTCCACTCTCCTGCGGAATCTGTTAGGAAAATTAAACCCCACAATTTGGTTTTTGGCTTGCATCCTGCTGCCTCCCCGCTCCAGGAAAGTTTCCTGTGTATGTATATCTTGCCCTCTGCTCTGAGGCATTTTACAGGTGTGCAGGGTTATGCAAATGATCCCAGGTGATTCAGGGACACTGGCCTCAGTATTCCTCCTCCCCAAAAAGCAGAGTGCCCTTGTGGCTGCGACAGTGACTTCCCCTGGTCCATTCAGGATGAGTCTCTCTCCCCCACCCTTTTCGTATTTGCTGCTTTTGGGCTTCTGTTGCTGTGCCAGTGGGAGTTTAAACCAGGGGATTTCTTCCCCGCTGAGGCTGGATGGAGATTATACCCTTGCGGGGCTGTTTCAAATTCACCGGAGTAACATCACCAAACCCCAGAAAACTAAGCCAGAAGTTGCCATCTGTGACAGGTAAGTGAGAGGAGCCAGAAATATTGCAGGTGCCATAGCTCAGTGCTTTGCGTGTAGAGGGTCTCAGGTATCTCAAAGGCATCTTTAAGTAGGGTGGGGAAAGACCCCAGCCTGAAACCCTGGAGAGCTTCTGCCAGTCAGTGTAAACCACACTGAGCTAGATGGTCTGATGGGCCAGTGATCTGATAAGTCATCTTCCTATGTAGGATGCAGGTATCTGTGTCTGGGAAGCATGTGGTCCCAAGCTATGTTTAATCCTGGCAAAAGAGCAAATGAAAACGGCAAATACCAAAGTAACTTCTCCACAGTCAAGTGCTTGAAGGAACATCTCCCATAGATACGCTTATACTTTCAAGTGAGGCTCCTCTACTTGCTATCCCACCATCCTGCACAAGCAGAAGTAGCATTACAGGCAGCAGAGCCTTGTGTGTGGTGGCACCCGTCCTCTAGACTTTTTTTTAAGGAGCTGCGGACAGGCCCTTTCCAATGTGGACTCACAGTGAGTTTAAGACCATTTCTCCCTATCCCCCAACACACCAGGCTTGTATTGGCAACAGACAGGCATCCTACTTATTTGCAATCAGCTATTGTGTTTCGCTGGATGGTTAATTACTTTTGATATTTTCTAGGCAGTCATTTTTTATTTTGTCCCTCTGAGAAGCAGTTCAGCTGAAAACCCATTAAGAAGTGCCATGCTGTGTCTGCTCCAATGTAACCAGGACTATTCCACTTCGGAATACGGAGGATTCCGTACAGCCATCATGACTCACGGCCACTGATTGACCTCACCTCTTCCACGGATTTTATCCAATCTCCTTTGAAACAGTGTGTCAACAACATACATGGGACAAAGTTATGTGCAGTGAATCCCTGACCCTCCAGCTTCCTCCAGTTTTATAAAAGATGAAGGGGGCTGGAAATTCCTATTCAATTTTCCCCAAAGAAGCTGCGTAAACAAATCAATAGCTCCAAAGTTGGAGGCTATGAGAGCCATTGCTCATGCAATCAAAACAGTGCCACCAGGGCACAAGAAGGGCTGTGGCTCAGGGGCAGAGTAGAAGGTCCTCCAGGTTCAAACCTCACCACCTCAAGGGCTGGGAGAGACCCCCATCTGCAGCCCCAGAGAGCTGCTGCCACAGCTTGCAGGGAATCTTGAAGCAGGTGGACCAGTGACTTGACTAAAGCAGTTTCCAGAGATCATAATAAGACAAGTATCAGCAGGCAAGGATGAGGAGAGAACTAAGGGGGACAACTCTCCAAGCAGCCCAGTGAGAACTGAACACCTGTCCATTTGTTTGCAACCAATCTATGTTTCGTTTTATTTGTTTGACCATTTTATTTTACAGTTCAGTATTGTTTTTAGTTTGTGTTTTATAATCATTATTAAAGGTTTTAGAATGCAGTAAAAGCAAAACCGAGAGTAAAAATAAGAAAGAGCGAGCATAAGAAAAGAAAAGAAAATGGAGGAGGAGAAGGATGAGAAGAAGAAGACCTCTATCAAAGTTATATATTTACTCTTAATGCACACCAAGGGATATAAATCATCCCAGCTCTCACCTGGGCGCTTCCCCCAGCCTCCCACCCTGGGAGATTCTCTCTCCCCTGTTTCTCACACAGGGTCTTTTCTCTTCCATCCCTCCCAGAACATAAGTATAAAGGTAAAGGTAAAGGTACCCCTGACCATTAGGTCCAGTCGTGGCCGACTCTGGGGTTGCGGCACTCATCTCGCTTTACTGGCCGAGGGAGCCGGCGTACAGCTTCCAGGTCATGTGGCCAGCATGACTAAGCCGCTTCTGGCGAACCAAAGCAGCACACGGTAACACCGTTTACCTTCCCGCCAGAGCAGTACCTATTTATCTACTTGCACTTTGATGTGCTTTCAAACTGCTAGGTTGGCAGGAGCAGGGACTGAGAAACGGGAGCTCACCCCATCGCGGGGATTCGAACCGCCGACCTTTTGATTGGCAAGTCCTAGGCTCTGTGGTTTAACCCAAAAAGAAATAATAAAGAAAGAGAGAGAGAAAAAAGAAAAAGATGCTGACAAATTCAGGGTTGCGGGGCAGGAAACAAGTAGGGAGGGCATGGAATTGAGTATCATAATGGAGCCTGTTGCATAGGAGCAGTCTACCATGCAATATTTTGCTGCTGTCCCACTTGGGATCCCCCCCCACCTGTCCTTTAGTTCCACCTTCTCCTATGGCTTTTCTCTGTTTCTGTAGCATGTACGACGCGAGTCACCACGGCTACTACCTGGTCCAGGCCATGCGGCTGGGGGTGGAGGAAATCAACAACTCCAGCCGCCTCCTGCCCAACGTCACTCTGGGGTATGAGATCTACGACACCTGCTCGGCATCCTCCAACATGTACGCCACGCTGAGCGTCCTCTCCCAGGGTGGCGGAGAGGGCTGCTGCGGTGCCCGGCAGCTGGTGGTGGCTGCCAACTACACCCACTCCCTGCCCAAGGTTGTGGGCGTCATCGGGCCAGACACCAGTGAGAATGCTTTCACGACAGCCAGTCTGCTGGGCGTCTTCTGCATGCCAGAGGTAAGCCCCCGAAGGGCGGTGGGACTTAGTGGATTAGGAGAGCCGTCTCCCACTCTGTGCTTTCTCCAGACGTGGTTGGACTACAGCTTCCCCACTATCCACAGTCAGCATAGCCAGGCCCAGGAATGAAGAAAATTATTGGGGGGTGAACAGGCACCAGCAGCTGCCCAGAGATGTCAGGGGGTTGGTGCCAGCCTGCTCTTCCTGGTCTCTGTTTTAGGCTGTTGATAGCATGTTTCACAACTGTCTCGTTGAGATTCCTGCATCGCAGGGCCAGCTGAGCCTTTTGAGTCCCTTCCAATTCTGCAATTCTGCCTTATTTTTCTCACACATTTTCCCCCAAAGCAAATTACCCTCTTTGCTGGTGCAGGAGAGATCACTGCAAAGTAAAAGCGACGCAGTCCACTGGGAAGTTGTGTTGGGGAGAGGTTCCTGCCGGATCATGTCCGTGAAAGCGTAGATTAGGCAGAAGAGAGCCTTCAGGAAATGTTGGGGAGGGCAAGGGCGGTGAATTGAAGCAGAGGGAACCTCGGACTGACGATAAAAGATGTCTGAGGAGCCCTGTATGACTGGTGACTGCTAGCTAGGAGACACACGTCCCACCGGTGGCTCTGTTTCCATCAGTGATGTACCTGGAGCAAGCTTGTTTTCTGCTGCTCCAGAGGGCAGGACCTGAACTCATGGATTCAAATGACAAGGAAGGAGGTGCCATCTGAAAATTAGGAAGAACTTTCCGAGGGCGAGAGCTGATTGACAAAGGAGCGGACGCCCTTGGAAGGTGGTGGACTCTCCTTCCTTGTAGCTTTTCAAACAGAAGGTGGCTGGCCAATTGTCAAGGGAGTCTTTAGCTGCTGTTCCTGGTTTGCAGGGGGTTGGACTAGATGAGCCTTGCGGGTCCCTTCCAACTCACAGAACTGTTTCCATCTCCCCATCCAGCTGCATCAGGGGTGAGGGGATGTCTGTGGCCCTGCAGCTGTTGCTCCCATCATCTCTGGCCATGCTGGGAACAGAGAAGGGGTTGCTGTTGGGAGTTAAACTTCAGCAACATCTGGAGGACCCGATGTATGTCAAGAGCAGTTGCCTCCTTCCTGCCTTGCTCTCTCTCTTCCCAGGTCAGCTACGAAGCCTCCAGTAAGAAGCTCAGCAACAAGAGAGTCTTCCCTTCCTTCCTACGCACCATCCCCAGCGACCAGCTGCAGGTGGACGCCATGGTGCGCCTGCTGAAGACTTTCGGGTGGACCTGGGTCGCGGTGGTGGGCAGCGACAACAACTACGGGCTCCAGGGCCTGCAGATGCTGCACGAAGCAGCCCCCCAGGAGGGCATCTGCTTCGCCTACCAGGGTGTCATCCCCGCCAGCAGCGCAGAGGTGGCCCGCATGGTCCTGGAGGTGGTGGCCTCTGCCGCCAACGTGGTGACCGTCTTCGCGAACAAGCGCAGCGCCCTCCTGTTCCTCTGGGAGGCCGCCCGGCAGAACGTGACCGGGAAGGTGTGGCTGGGCACGGAAGACTGGTCCTTGGCCACGGAAATCTGGAAGATCCCCGGTGTTCAGGGCATCGGCACGGTCCTCGGGGTAACCATCCACCAGGCACGCCTCTCGGGGATGAAGGCGTTTGAAGCAGCTTTTGCCGCATCAGAGGAAGCGGGTGCCCACAGGGGTGACGCTGGCTCATGTCGGAATTGCAAGGAAAGGTGCAGCCAGCGATTTTCCCGGTTCCGCAAGCTGCCCGACAGGCAGGTGCCGTCACCCTACGACACACAAGGAGCGTTTAGTGTGTACTCAGCGGTGTACGTCATGGCACATGCCCTCCATCATCTGCTGGGCTGCCAAACTGGTGTGTGCCAAAAGGGCACCGTCTATCCGTGGCAGGTAAACCTCCCCATCTCTCTCTGTCTCTGTCTCTGGGCATTTATCCGGCAGGGACAGTGCCAAAATGGCATTCCTGCTGCGGTAAGAGTGGGGTCTCTCCATGGAAAAAGCAGGTGCCAGCCAGGGGTGGCTAACCTGTGGCTTTACAGATATTGCTCAACTCCAGCTCTCATCAGTCCCAGCCAGCAGGATTCATGGAAGATGGAGGCTGCAACATCTGTAGGGTGCCACGGTGCTTATCCCTGCTCTGTGTTTTCCTGGAATTCCAGGATGCCGAAGAAAACAGAATAACAGCTGAGATTTCTCTGCATGATATACTCTTAGCGCCTATGCCACACCATCTCTCCAGCTGAGCATGCTCTGATGGGCATTGGGGGTATGTGAGCTGAGATAGCTCACTTGGTAGAGCATGAGACTCTTAGTCTCGTGGGCATGGGTTTGAGCCCCATGTTGGGCAAAATATTCCTTCATTGCAGGGGGTTGGACTAGATGAACCTCAAGAGTCCCTTCCAACTCTATGATTCATCTTGTTAGAGGGTGACCCAGGAGACAGCAGCCCCCAAGTCGCTTGCACTGGGCCCTGGATCTCTTGCCCTTTCCCGTTCGGGTTTGGGGTGTGGAAAATTGCAGAATCCATGGGGAGTTTCCAGGATCAAAAAATGGAAGGGGAGTTCGTCCAGGGAATGGGACCATTTGGTTCATCCAGCTTGGGGATCTTCCAGCAAAACAAGGCCCCATGCATTCAATTTTAAACATGGGGCGTTTCCACACTGCAGACTTAAAACTGGTTTAGCAGTTAATTCCTTCTCCCCAGAGAAACTCTGGAAAATACCTCCAAGTCGACAGTTTGGTAATATCTTTGGACCAACCCACAAGAACGTGGCGAGCTCTAGAGTCCTCCAGAATGCCTCACCAGATGAGATGTACTGGGGCTGACATGAGTTGTAGTGCAGAACATCTGAAGGATATTAGGTTAGGGTTGGCTGGATTAGTCTGTCTGTCTCTTTGCTGCAGCTCCTGAAGGAAGTGAAGCGGGTGAACTTCAGCCTGAACCACAGACAGATTTATTTTGACACCAATGGAGACCCCTTGGTTGGCTACGACCTGGTCTTGTGGACATGGGCTGGGCAGGAGTGGAACTACACCGTGGTGGGCTCCTTTGACAGGAACCCGGACCGCCTGAGCATCCACAAGGACAGGCTCCTTTGGCACACAGAGGATAATCAGGTAAGGAGGCACACACAGAGGAGCGGGAGGCTCATACACCCAGGGAAGATTCTTACTGTTGAGATCTAGCCACCACCCATGACGTTGGTCTGCCTGGAATTCCCCTTGCCAGGGGAAAATGGGAGCGAGCAACCCATTCTACTACAGGGGGGTTGTAGCATTGGCTCATGGGGGCACTTTGGGTCCACCTACACCCCTTGACACCAACGCTCCTCCTCCCGCCCAGGTCCCTGACTCCGTGTGCTCCAAGGAATGCGGCACGGGGGAGCAGAAGGTGCAGCAGGGCATGCACCAATGCTGTTTCCACTGCGTGGGCTGCTCTCCAGGAACCTTCCTGAACAGAAGCGGTGAGTGAATTGTCAGCAGGCAGGGCAAGGCCAGGCCAGCACCAGAGTCAGAAGCAGGCGGGCAGAGGCAATTCAACTCTCCTGCTTCCTGCCTCTTTAAACCCATGGCCTCCATGGCTTCAGGCTGGCTCTGCCCCCTTGCTGTCTCCCCACAGGGCCAACGCCTCTGAGGTCACATGGCTTCCTAATCCCAAAGCCCAAGCCTTGCATGGTGTTCCTGAGCTTTTGAGGTTTGGGGCCAGGGTTTGTGGTCTCACCTGCATCCTCTAGGAGGAAGCCATGGCCAAGCGGCCCATGACCAGAAGCAGGAAGCTCTCTTGCAAAGCACTCGGAGGGATGGAGAAACATGGAAATGTGCTGGAGCCACAGAGTGTTCGCTCATGCTAGCCTGAGGGGTGATGGCAGTGGCAAAAAAAGGAGAGTTTTGTACCCGGTATACCTTTAAAGCACATTCTTTCCCTCGGGAAATACTGGGCACCTTAGTTCACCCCTTCACAAAGATACAATGTCCAGCAGACCTAAAAAAAAACCCTACAGGCCTCAGGGGGAGAATGTGCTTCAGATGCGTTTTTATTTGCTTTTCAATTTATTTCTAAATGTGACTGGTTTTAGATGCTTGTAACTGTCTTTGGAATGTTTTAATCTTATATATATATAGTCTGCTTTCTTGTTTCAAATGGTCCACCTGTTTGCTACCAATTTGTAGAAGCAGGTGCACTTTTAGGACCCTGAGCGAACTAAGACGGTGGGTGGGCGAGGTCTAGAAGTTGGGGTGGGGAGGAAGGGGACGGGTTCAAGAGATGCAGGGATGAGTGCCAAAGACCCAGGACCTCCCCCTAATAACACTCTTGCACGCTGTAATATCAGGAGAGCACTTCCAGAGTGCAACACACACAGACGGCGAGGCACTGCAGCAGATAGGTGCACTAAGGCTGAGCTGTGTTGATGGGAGGAAAGGCAACGTTCTTGCAGCCGGGAATCCAGGATTAATTATTTCATAGAATCATAGAACTGGAAGGGGACGCAAGGATCATCTAGTCCAACCCCCTGCAATGCAGGAATCTTTTGCCTGGCATGGGGCTCAGACTCACAACGCTGACATTGAGTCTTGTGTTCTTCCAGCTGAGCTATCCCAGTTGGTTATTGCATATGTATCCTAGGCTTTTCTCCAAGCACCTCAAGGTGGTATACACATTATTCTGCTCCTCCTCCTTTAACCCCACAACAACCCTGTGAGGGAGGTTAGGCTGAGAGGCAGCGGCTGGCTCAAGGTCGCACCCAGCTGGCCCAGCGGAGGTTTGAACCCTGGTCTGCCAGGTCCTTGTAGTCAAACTCTCTAACAACTACACTGCAGCGGCCGTCCTGTTGGCTGCCCCCCAGAGATCCCAGGGATGGGGATAACGTGGCTTCCAGCTGCCTCCGCTGACTAGCCCTGCTGCCCCACAGATCCGTACACCTGCCAGAAGTGCCAGAAGGACCAGTGGGCGCCTGACAGAAGCGAAGCCTGCTTCGACCGCACCGTCATCTTCATGCTGTGGGACGACCCCATCTCCGTGGCCCTGTTGGCAGCCAACACCCTCCTGCTGCTGCTGGTGGCCGGGACCACAGGCGTCTTCGTGCGGAACCGCCACACGCCCGTCGTGAAGTCGGCTGGCGGTTGGATGTGCTTCGCCATGCTGGGCTCCCTGGCCTGCGCCAGCCTCAGCCTCTACTGCTTCTTCGGGGCCCCAGGGCACTTTGTCTGCCTTCTGAGGTTGTCGGTGTACAGCACCTGCCTCACCGGGTGCCTCTCGTGCATGGCGGCGCGCTCGGTGCAGATCGTCATCATCTTCAAGATGGCGGCCAGGGCTCCGGGCCTGTATGGGGCCTGGCGGAAGTACCACGGCTCCGGCCTGCTCATAGGAGCCATCACTGGGCTGCAAGGCACAATGGTCCTCACCTCCCTCACCATCAGCCCACCGGCTCCCTACAAGAACTACGAGGCCTTTGAGGAGCTGATTCTCCTGGAGTGCAGCCAGGGCGACACGATCCCCGTTTTCTGGATGATCTTCAACAGCCTGCTGGGCGTGGCTTGCTTCACCATCAGCTACGCGGGGAAGGACCTTCCCAACAGCTACAACGAAGCCAAGTGCATCACATTCAGCAACCTCATCTACTTCGTCTCCTTCATCACGTACACCACCGCCGCGAGCATCTACAAGGGCAAGTACCTGGCGGCTATCCACATCGCCACCCTCCTCTGCACCCTCGCCGGGATCTTCGGGGGCTACTTCGCCCCCAAGGCCTACGTCATCCTCTTCCACTCCCATCTCAACACCAACCAACACTTCCAGATGTCCATTCAGAGCTACACAAAGAGGGTGAACGCAGCAGGCTGAGCGGCGGGAAGGTCAGGCGGCCAAGGCGAGATGGGTTTCGCCGTATCGGTTTCACATTTTTTCGGTCTTATGTTCCGTTCTGTACAATTCCACACCAATTTTTTCTTCTTATTTACACAAAAGGAATCCTCGTGAATTCTAGTGCCATTTGCCTTCATACGGTACAACTGTGTGCAATTAACTTGCACAATTTGAAAGCCGGCTGGTTGAAATCCCACAGATTAAGCACAGGGAAGGTGGAGAGCTTAAAAGCTCCTTTTGCACCGGGTTTTCCTGGAGCAGAAAGTTTTTAAAAGCCTTGCTTACCAGGCTCTGGGATGCTCTCAGGAGATTTTCTGGGAATCCATTTGCCCCCACAGGAGCACCCCAGAGCTCTCTGCTTTGCTTGAAAGGTAAAGATGGTTGCATGAGGGTGGTTTGGCATACAATGGAACCTTGGTTCTTGGATGGCTTAGTTGACGAACAAATCGGCTCCCAAACGCAGAAAACCCCAAAGTAAGTGTTCCGGTTTCCAAACGTTTTTTGGAAGCCGAATGTCCGATGCGGTTGTTGGCTATTGTTTCCAGGACACCTGCGCTAATTGGAAAGGTGCACCTTGGTTTTCGAACGTCTTGGGAGTCGAACGGATTACGTTTGAGAACCAAGGTTCCACTGTACGTGTTTTTGCACATGCGAACTACAGTATCCCCAGAATGTAACCCCGGCATAAGATGCAAAACACTACAAATTCTATGATTCTATGATTCATACCGTGTACACGTCTTCGTATGCAATTTTGCTAAGATAACGTATTTTCCTGCAAAACGATTTCCCTTATATAATGCACTTTTGCAAGTTATTTTCATGGATATACACACTTACATGCAGTTTTGAACACACTGCTTGGCTGGAGAACTGCATTGCAAGATTTGGAGGAGTGGGAATATCCGAGGCTGGCTGGGTTTCAGTTTCTGTATCGTTTCATAAAGTACAGATCAGATTAGCGTGAACTGAATCAAGTTTCTCCCCCATCCCTTGATGGGAGTAAGGTCAGAGAAACCTAATCCACACACAAAGAACTCCAGGAGCTCATGGCTGATGAGGAAATAACACCGCCCACCACCATTTCCCCGTCCCAGGCAACTGGATCAGCAATGGTTCGAGCTGTGGGGGTGACCGATTCTCTTTTTCACTCCACTCCAGCAAAGGAAGGGAGTAGATGTTCTGTCAGCTGAGCAAGGGAAGGTCCTAGCGTAGAAATTTTAGCGGCCCCTGGGCTATTATTACACACTGCATTATGTTCAGAGTACGGATGTAATTGAAGTTCAGGTTTTCTTTTTTAATTACTCTCCTTTATTGGGGATGGGGCTTTACAATAGGGGCACAACGCTACGTCTCACAGTCATCTGGGATGGTAATGATCAGCGACTGTTCGATCACATCCGGGGGACCAAAGTTCTCGTTCGAAGAGAGTCTCTGTACAGGGAGCTCCTCGCTCAGGGAGCCGTGGGCGAGCGACTCCGCCACGACCTCCTCGGCAGAGCCCCCCTCCAGAGCGTGAGGGGGCTGCAGGGCCACCACCACGGCCTTCTCGTCCTCAATGATCAGGTTCCGCAGCTTCCTTTGGCGGGGGTTGTAGTTCTCCACCCGGTCGTGAATCTCCATGTGGCGCCTCAAGTGGGCCTTCGAGAGAGAGCAAGAGACGGTTGGCATGTCGGAACCCAGAGCCCACAAATGGAAGTGGGGAAGAGCAGCTAAGGGCCCTTTCCGGCGGTAACAGATGCACTGCTGGGCAAGGAGGCAAGGCAGGGGCTGAGCTGGGTTCCCTCAGGCAGGTCTGCCTCAGCCGGGCATCTGCACTAGAGGGACACCTTACGGGTTTGGGGTGAGGATGACAAAATGTCTGAAGGTCTCTGGACAACTGAGAGTGATTTATGGAGGGCCAGTGGCTCTCAAGGGGGTCACTTTTGAAAGTGTTTAGTCATCCTAAGGCAGAGGAGAATTCTCTTTTCTTCTTCCTGCCGAGGGCCACACTCCATGAAGGATAATCTCTTGGGGGCCGCTTACACGTGTTGGGCAGGGACCCAAGAGAAAAGTGAACAGAGCCACCCTCTTGTCACTCTCACCTCCTGCCCCAGTTCCCACCCCAAGTTTCCCCTCTGCTAGGCACTTGCAGATGTCGAGGGCCACATGAAAATAGACAGAGGGCCACAGGTTGGCCACCCCTTTCCTCAAATGAAGGGGGGAATCAATGCAGATACTGTAGGGAGAGGGAAGAAGGAAAAAAGAATTGCAAGAATGAGAAAGAAAAGGCATTGAGAGGGGATTTGAAGAGCCTGGGAGTCAGCTATGCACACACACACAAACACAAAATTCCTATTTCTTAAATGTGCCGTAAGCCAGACCACGAGTGCCGCATCGTACCTGTCGTGTGAACTTGTAGCCACATTCCGTGCATTCAAACTTCCTCACCCCTTTGTGCCGACGGACGTGGACACGCAGTTGCTCCACAGCTGGAAAAGCAAAACCAGGGGCCCATTAAGTGGCTGCCTAAGGACAGCATACAGCCCAGTGCTGCCCACTCCTCCAGATGTTTCTGGCAACTTCTCCCAGGGGCTGTGCTGGCCATGTCCAAAACTTCTGGAGGGCAGAAGCCTGGCCAACTTGGACAGTAGCTCTACCAAGATTTATGCCCAGCCGTTCCACCCTAGATGGCCTCTTTAACTTGGCTTAAGTCTGGGGTCTCCTTGAATACAAAAGCTCAGTGCTCTGCCACTAAGCCAGATGCAGACAATCTGGTGCCCCAACCCTAATCCCTGACCATACCAGACCCTGGGGCTGGTGGGAGTTGTAGTACAACAGCACCTGGAGGGCATCAGATTGGCAAAAGCCAAGCTGCAGGATCTGTGCTCCTCAACTGCGTAGTTCCATCTTACGCAAAAGCCTTTGCACTGCGCGTTTTGAGACAGCAAAGCTTCGCCCCTCTTAACAAGCATTTCACTCATTCACTCAGTTGTTTTGACACTCCCTCCTCTTACCTTTGAAAGTCTTCCCACAGATCTGGCAGAAGTGGGGCCTCCCTTCCTGGTGCCGGCTGGCAATGTGCCTCAGCAGGGGGCCTCTCTCGGTGAACTTTTGGTCACAAAACTCGCAGCTGAAGGGACGCTCGCCTGTGTGGGTCCGGTTGTGCTTGTCCAGGCTTGCTGATGTGTGCACACAGAAGAGAAAACCAGTCAAACAGGAGGAGAGGCCTTCTTTATATTTCTATACACACACCAGACTGTATTACAAAAGTGATGGGAATGGAAACATAGCTTTCAAAGCACCCACTATTCCTTCCTGACTAATGACTAGAGCTGCAAGATGTATCGGTAATTTGTCCAAAACCCGTATGAAGTTCACACCGCAATACCGGTTTCAGACTTTTTGAGCTGGCGATACATCACGGCTCCCCGGCTCCAGCCAGCACAGCGCCCCTCACTCCAGTCTGCCTGCAGCTTGTTCCTCCCCATTTCAACATCGTGGTGCATTGCCAGATCCCGTTGTTTGGCTGGTGATACATCATGGCGCTGAAAACCTGATATTGCCCAGGCCTCCTGCTGACTGAGAGGTTCTCTAGGTTCCCAGAGAGCCCAGGTGGGACAGGCCTGCAAGTCCTAAGCCGATGCCCTGTGGTAACTCTGCCCTTCAGTGGGAACGGCCCCAAGGGCCAGGCTGTACCCATACCTTGCGTGCGGAAGGTTTTACCGCAGAGGTGGCACTGGAAGGGCTTCTCCCCGGTGTGCGTGCGCAGGTGCATGTTGAGGTTGGCCTTCTGGGTGAAGGCGTGCTGGCAGAACTCGCAGACATAGGGGCGCTCGTTCCTGCAGAGACAGGAGAAGGAAGGGCAATGCTAGAGCATACTGGGGCATGGAAGCTCCCCGTGGAAAGGAACAAAGCAGGCCACTTCTGCACACCTATGCTTAGCTTTGATGTGCATCTGCAACCCGTTGCGACTTGAAGCCCTGTGGCCGCACTCCTCGCAGACAAACAGCTTCTCCCCGCGGTGCTTGAAGGCCTCGTGGAGGTGTAGCTCCGTCCGCGACAGGAAGCACTTGGAGCAGGCAGAGCACTGAAGAAGGAAGAGGAGGATGGACTGGGGTCAGGGATGTGCCCCTTGCGGGCTAAGCAGTCTTGCGGAGGAGGCCTCAGGCTCAACCTATTCCTCGCAGACTGCCCCTTTCCCCCTATTAACATCCCTGGAGCTTGGCCTTCCCTTCATTCTCGCATGTAAGGAAAGATGCCATCTCCCAAGCAAACCACATTCCCTGTTTCCACTGGGCTTACCGTAACAAACAGGTTTCAGGAAAAATAAGATTGTCTTTTTTTAAAAAAAGATGACAAGTCGTAATCGCCAGTAACAAAGTATTGTATGCAGCTGTGCGATTTACTGGGTTAATAATGCAAACGTAGCAAAAGGGAAAGGAAGTGTGGGTTGTGATGACAGAATCAAAGCAATTGCAAGTTTTTGTTTTAATAAAGATGAAAAAGTAACCTTGGAGTGTACTAAACCCAGACACTTACATACTCCCTGTGAGGCCTGATTCTCCTGAGCTGCTGTGTTTCCATATACAATAAAAATTAGACTCAATGGCGAAGAAGCCATTACAAGCACTTTGTCCCCTGGACATTTGCAGCTTAGGTGAGATTTTCCCCAGAAGGGCGATTTGCCAAGTCTCGGCCAACACCGATACTCACCGCGTGTGGCTTGGGGGCCCCATGTAGCTTGATGAGGTGGCTCTGCAGGTCCTTCTTCTGCATGAACTGCTGGATGCAGGAAGAGCACTGGAGCACAAGGGGACAAGAGCCGCTGGTCAGTGGCGGATGAGAGTTGCTATTCTTTTGTTTGTTTTCATTTGAAAAGAAATGCCATTTCTCACACTGAACCACACCTTATAAAACTAACCTTCCCTTCATACAGTTATCTGAATAACGTCCCACATATTACAAAGGATGTTAAAAACAAAAATGGAGATTCCGAAAACAAAGGATAATCCCTCGTATTTATAGGGTGAGGTGCAGAGCTGGAATAATTCTGAAGGTCTACTTTCTTCTCTTTTCCCCTTTCATCAAGGCTGGAGGCTTCCCAAGTTCATTACTGTAGCATCCTTAAGGTTTTGTGGGAATCTGATAAAGAGGCGTTGCAGGGACGCAATAGCCCTCGGGGTCCCTTCCAACTCTACAATTTTGGATACATACACATTGTACTGAAAGCACCTGTCTGTCAATATTACTGTATAAAACGAAGTATTGCTGTGCTGAGACTTTTTTTTCATTTGGCCTCTACTTAAAACAACTTTTCCGGCAACCTTTCACCTTACTCTGTTAAACCATTCTTCTTTAGGAACCCCCTCAAAACGCTTCCAAATCTTTCCAATAATCATCCCTGTAACTTTTAAGTATTCTGTTAACCCTTTTACAGGCTGCTCCTTCATTAGGGCTGTTCCCAGAAGTCCTACAGTAGCCATTGATAACAAAGGATACAGCACCATCCATAGAGCAGACCTGAGCCTAGAAGGGCGAGGGGAACCTCAACTCCAAGCCTCTGTGATTAGCTGAGCACCTGGCCAGGGTAGCTCAGGTACAGCTTCTGTTCCCGATGCCAGCTTTCCCCTCCCTCCAAAAGCTGGGGCCCTCCATATGTTTTGGACCACAACTCCCATCAGCCCCAGCTGGCAGGGCTGCCTTGTAGCTTCGAAGGGAAGGTTGAGGATATGTGAATCGCTCCCCTTCCCCAAAGTAAAATGTCCTGTCGCAAGGCAGCCAGCAAGACTCAGGGGCAAGGCAGGCTGACCTTATAAGGCATCTCTCCTGTATGGGACACCATGTGCACACGGAGCTCCATCCGCCTCTTGAACATCTCTTGACAGACAGAGCAGGTGAAAACCTGGACAGAAAAGGGAAAAGGACATTCAGGGAGCTGGGAGGAGGGGAGGAGGAGAGAGAGCACTGCATAGAACTGCCAGCTCCAAGGAGAGCGAGCAAACCTACAAGTTCGAGAAACGAAGCCAGAGACGCTGCTGCTTCAGGAAGCAGGCAGAGAAATTTAAGAACAGCCCTGCTGGATCAGGCCACTCACCCATCTAGTCCAGCATCCTGTTTTCATAGGGAGCAACCGGATGCCCTAGGGGGAAACCCGCAAGCAGGATTCAAGCCCAAGGGCAGCACTCTCCCCTCCTGTGGCTTCCAGCCTCTGTGTCTTTGATTAGCGGACAGCTACATGAGGCTGCACTGTAGAAGGAGAAGGCCGCATTGCTCCTCTTCTAGCCATCACCCAACCCCAAACAGCCCCTTTTTGTCCTGACTCAATGCAGGCACAAATCCTTAAGTCACCCCTCTCCAGACAGGGCCTGGGGCTGCCATCTCTGCGGCTGGTGCGTTTGCAGCTCAATGCTGACAGGCTGTGTCAGGGTCAGCTCCCTGGTGGGCGAGACAGGATTTGACTCTGGGTCTTCTACATCTCAACGCAGCCCTCTCTCTTGGGCACCACAACAGCCTCCACCCACCCAGTACTTCAGAGCTGTTCCTCCAACAGCACTGCAAGAGTGTCTATGTGTGTTTTCCAGCTGTAACCCCCTCCTTCCCATAATACCTGCTCTGTACGGTTCATGCAGTTCCTGGCTTCGTGCTCCAGCAGGTTCTCCTTCCGGAAGTAGCATTTCCCGCACTTTGAACATTCAAAGGGCTTCTCACCAGTGTGCTTCCTGCAGGTTACAAGGATTTTTTTATAGATTAAAAAAAAAAGAACAGAGTGACCCACTGCAAGTAGTCCTGCAAGGCAGGTGGGGCACTGTTGTGCTCTGGTCTCCCAAGGGCACTCACTTGAAACCAGGTACCAGCAGAAAGTAGATCAGGGTCTTCTGATCTAGGTGATTTGGCCTGCTATCAGGCAAACTGCATTTTCAATTGCTGGTTCTAAATGAGTTTTGATGTATTTTAGCTACCGTTTTTAACTAGTTAGTTTTTATTGCTTTGTATTTTGTAACAATGCTTTTAAATGTTGGAAGCTGCCTTCAGAAAGGCAGGATATAAATACATTAAAATAAAATAACATAAAACAGCAGCAACAGCAGCAGTTGACTGTCAGGAGTTTGTGACTCCCAATTGTTTAACAATACCAACAGATATCTTCCTTCCCCACTCCACAGCTAAATCTGGCTGCTGAAACAAAGAAAGTCTGGAGTAACCAGAAGTAGACTTCTGTCTGAGAAGAATGAGTTCAGTCCAGTTCTGGTCCTGAAAACAAATCCCTCCACACAGAATGTGCTCAAAGGCACCTGTTCTGGACTCCTAAGTTTTGCACCTGGGCTCTCTGGCTTCTAATAAGAAACCAAGTTTGGAGTCTGCCCATTCCTGCTCCAAATGCTGGGCAAGGAGCCAACCGTGCCTCAATTCACAAGCTGGTTCTTGGGGCAAAACAGGCAGCCCGTATCAGCAAGGCATGTGAACTTGCCTGTTGTGCACCTTGAGATAGTACTTGCTGAGAAAGGACTTGTGGCAAGTGGGGCATTCAACTGGTCCCGTCGCACCCCTGCGGCTTCCCAGCACCCCGGCTTCCAGCATGCCGCTGTTCCCAGCAGTCTTGGAGCTGCTGGGCTTCCTGGACAGGTGAGTTCTCCTTTTGGTCCTCACGCTCTTCTTCCCGGGAATGTAATCCTCATCCCTTTCCTTGCTCCCTCCTCCTTCATCTTCGGCGGTCAGGTCATTTGAGCCGGGAGCCTCCTGCGTTTCCCGCTGTGAGAAAAACAGGGCAGTAACTTCTACACACCCACCCAAACACAACTTTGTGTACTACGATAAACAGAATCCATCACAAACGCTAGCCACTTGACCAGTTAAAAAATAATAATACTTGGCCATATATGATGGTCAAGTATTTAAAACGTTCATTTAGTACAACTGTAAGAAAGGAACTAACTATAGGCTAATTTCAATCCTGCCAATTAGTTAAGCGTTCTAGGTAAAAGTTCTATTGTCATCAAGTGTTATTTTGTAGCCTAATCACATAGTGCAAATAAGAGGCGCAGGTGAAACAAGTTCAGGAGATTCAACCATTCTCCTTTACTTGATCCCAGGACCTGAGGAATAGCCCAAACCATTGTAAATGTTGTTTAAAATGAAATTTTAAACTCACACAGCAGCTCTAAGACAAAGCTACTTTGATGCTTTCTGGGTGTTTTGGACCACAACACCAGGACGGCTGGGAGTTGTAGCCCAAAAAATCTGGAGGGCATGAGGCTGGGGGAAGCTGCTATACAAACATAGCTAGACTATTTCACCCTTTACACAGGTCAAACCTGGTTTAGAAATGGAGTGTAGACTTGAGAAGGAGCTGCTGAAGTTGATCGTGCCCCTTACACATTTTCAGGTGTACACTTCAAATATGCAGAGGGGTCCCCAAGACCCCTGTGAGCACAGAGTCCTCATATCACCAGCTCTATCAGTTCCATTAAATAGACTGGCTGCCACCCACACAAATACATTTTCACCATCCCTGGAATTACCTGGACTGTTACTATCAGACTGTGGACTGTTAACTGTTGACAGTATTTGATGAGTGACCTGTGAGTTTCACAATATTTAGACTAAGCTCCACCTTTTTCAAGTACACAACACACAACCAAACTACTATGGGATGGATGAACTGGCCTTGTCTCTCCCCTAGCCTCCCCCAAAATCCAAGGCAGCCCCCCGACCATTTCCTGACAAGATGCTTATTCTGTTCAGTTTCTCAGAACAGCAGCTGCCTGAACCTAGAATCCCAACAGGCAGCTCTCAATCTTGCAGAGGCAGCTTGACTGAGTAGGCCAAACCAATCCTTCCACCATTCTACACGGAACTACAGTTAGGTTTCTTATCCAATATCCTGCTACCCATTGGGACTTTCAGTTGCATTAGAACATTTTTAGCATTTTGTTAGAGAGACCTGGCCTTTGGGACAAACAAGAACGCAAACTGGGCTTAGAAGATTCAGAAGCTCTTTGTTTACAAAGATTCACAGCTCAAACCTGCACTGTGTGTATGTGAGTGAGAGGGAGCTTGCTACTGCAGTATGACCCCATCTGCAGGTTTTGGAGCACTAACAGCAGCCAGGCCTTGAAATCAGAGCTGTTAGTTATTTCTGAGTTGCTTTTATTAGTTCGTGCTGTACTGGGACAAAGTGCACAGTTTTGTTGATGCCTGTTGACATATGTGATATTTCTGCATTGCCTGGATTTGCTGTATATGGATGTATGCTGCTTTGGAAACAACAGGCCTGTGTAGATCTGCTGTTATAACATGTGAGTCTGCACCATGCCTCACTGGATTTATTTGGTGCTTTAAAAAAAAAGAAAGGTAAATGAAATGAGGATTCTGCAATTCAAATTCTGCATCATAAAAACTGCAACATGCACGAATCACTGATTCTAACAAAGCTCTAAGTACAAGCTGGGATGGAATTGTGACTTATCCATCTAGCGTGTTTTTGTCATTGTTCAGTATTAAAATTAGCAGATGGGAAACAAGGAAATAATAGTTTTCTTACAGCCACTACGCCTATTTATACATACAGAAAAAAATACTATGAAAGATCCCACCCATCCAGAAACACTGTGTACAGCCCTATTCAAAATCCCCACGAATCAGGTCAAGGATGTTTAATGTACACAACTTTCAGGCTCTTGTAAATCTCAAAAACTTGCATTTTTGAATAGCTAAGTCTCTAGTCCTTATGATTTCTCAGATAAGCTGGAGAGCTGCACAAAGACCAGACTAACTGAACACCAGTGGTTCCTAACTACAAACTTTCTGAGCCATTCCAGGTTGTTGGAAGATAGTCTACCATAGTAAAGCGACTTGAATTTTTCAACTTTCAAATTCCAAAAATGAGGGGTGCTAAAAAGTTGTAACATCAAGATGCTTTGGTTAAATTAATACAATTTAGTTTTGCTTGTTAAGTAAAATGTGTGTAAAATTGCAAGGAAATCATTAAAAATGACTGCCAAGTACTTGCAGTTACATTATATATTAATATTTTAATTTTATTTTATTTTATTTAGCATTACCTGACATTTTCAGAAGATAGAATTAAACTTCTTTAGTTTTCCAAAAGCAGTTTATGCGTTTCTTCATCAGACATGGACTTACCAAGCTAAATGTTGTCCAATCACAAAAACATCAGATTTTAATTCTTCACACCCAAAAACATATTTTTAAGACCCCTCACTGAAGAAATTTGCAATAATTAAAGAAACACTCCCTAAACTGACATGCCCTACCACCATAGGCATTTCTGATCTGACTAACCACATACTGTACGTACATTTGGGTTCACTGCAGCATAAACCAAATTCCTCAGCTGCTTTCTGGAGGTGCAGAAGCTTGCCAATTTGAATTACGGGAAACATCTATGGAAGCTTATTAGCAGTTCCATGCTTAAAAATTGGCAGTGATGGACAAACTGACTGGAACACAGTTTACCAATCCTCCTGTAACGTGTACAAGTGCAAGACAGACTTGACTACCTTCCTGAACATACTCTTGCCCCGAGGCCCTCTGAAAACTGAACATGCATGCCAGGGCGTATCCCAGGATCCTCTGCAAAGTTGTTCTGCACACCAGGAAAGCTTCCCCAAGGACCCCAAGTTGCTTCCCCACAGCAAGTCCCTAAATGCCAGAACATGCAGTAACCCCAGAGATCTTGAATTCCCCCACCCCATCCCAGAGACACCCAGCCCCTTGGTGCAGGTCCCAACCCATCCTCCCCCTGCTCCCACATTAAGACAAGCAGCAAAGGCGTTCTGCTGCTTTGTCCCCACCAACATTGCTCGCTGCTTTAAGGCGCCTTTATTCTCAAACCGGGACGGGGCTTGTTGCGGACAAAGGCAACCCCTTTCTGTTAGCACATGACTCCACACGCCACCTCATGATTGGCGCCCGCATCCTCGGCGGCTCCTCTTTTCAGTGGCCTTTTTAGGAGCTCCTTACATTCCGGGGCGCTCTTTACTTCACCTGCATTGCTCAGCGCTATTGTTTTGGGGGACCTTTTCAGCCTTCCCCGAAGGAGACAGGGACTCTCTCTTTGGCCCTGGGCCACTTTGCTGCCCCGGATGCAGGGGCTCGGGCTGGCTTCTCGAGCAGTGTCACCTGGGGGCACAGCGCCACCAAGGGCTGGCTCTCCCCGCGTCTCGGCTAGCGCTTCGGAGCGACCCCCAAGGTCCTTTGCGAGCGGAAACGGGCCATTCTGGTCGCCGCCATCCAAGCGCCCAGGCTTGAACTCCTGGCAAAGCCTGACTGCCTCTGGGATGCAGAGCTCCTTGGCTGCCTCGAGAAGTTTCTCCCAGTTCTCCGCGGTGATGGCCAGGTGGCCTGTGTAGAAGAAGTCAAGGAGGGGCGTGAAGATCTCCACAAAGGTCTCTGGCAGGATGATTCTGCTGGAAGCTCCGTCGTACATGCTCCGGAAGAAGGAGCTGCAGCACGCCAAGACACTCCAGTGTGCCTTGAACACCAAGCTGCCCACTGCCAGGGTGGCATCGCAGTACTGCCCACTCTCCCGCTGCTTGTTGAGTTCCTGCAGGACACGCACACTGTGCTGGACAAAGGAGCCCTCCATGGTCTGCTGTGGGAGAGAAACAAAGAGCAGGAGTAGAAGGGTCAGGGATTCTTTAGCTAGGATTCCTGCATTGTGGAGCGTTGGACTCGATCAGGGTTTCCCAAACGTGGGTCTCCAGCTGATTTTTTGAACTACAACTCCCATCAACCCTACCTAGTAGAACCAGCTGTCAGGGGTGATGGGAATTATAGTCCAAAACAGCTGGAGACTCAAGTTTGGGAAACCTTGGACTAGATGAACCCTTTGGGTAATTGTAACGTTCTGTGATTGTAAGTGGATGGAAACATTGAAATCCAAGCTACGTACAATGAGAGGTAGGCTGCTCATCTTGGCAACCAGGCAGGGGTAGAGAACAAAACACTTATGTATTCCTTATTATAATTGTATTTATGTAATTGCTTTTTTCCCAAGTTCCACAGATACTGCTTTATGACATTTGTGTTGTATGTTATAAACAGCCCTGTGGTCTACTGATGAAGGGCTGGGGCAGTATATGAATTTAATAAAGAGCAATAATATTTATTAATAAATAAATAACAAATAATAATGCAGAGGGGTGTTGCTTTAATTGTGTAAGGAGCCTCGAGTCCTGGTCTGGTAAAAGAGTGGGAAATAAATATAATAAAGATAATAATAATAATAATAATAATAATAATAATAATAATTAGAGGGTGTGGGCTCTGGGCACAAACTGAATTATTTAGTCAACTGCATTAACATCTGAAAAAATTGGTTCCTTCATACCCCAGACCCAAACAACAGCATAAAAATAGATGAAATGAGCAGCACTGTGACTGTCTGTCTTTCCTCCCATAACTTTTCAGCTAAAAATGAAAACAAAGCAAATTATGTGTCCACAGCAAAATTTCAATGTTCATTTGCAGGGAAGATAATTGGCGAGCAGATCCCAACCAGTGTTAATATTATACCAATTATTAACACTCCCCTCTCTCGAAACATCAGGGGGCAGAACGCAAATAGCAAAGCCAAATCACTCCCCAAACGATAAGGTCCCTGCAAGCCTGATCATAAGAAGAAAAACAAAAAAATCAACATCTCTGAGCAGGAGTAAGGCGCCCCCCCTCCTTCTGTGTAAAAAACGCTTAGAGATGAACTAGTGCAGGGGGCGGGGGGGCTGTCAGACTACAACTCCCATCATCCTTATCCACTGGCCGTGTTGGTGCTGATGGGAGTTGGAGTCCAACAACAACTGCAGAGCACCCCCCAAAAAATATCATGGGGGGGGGGAATGGGCTGTATTGGAGGGTTAATGACTGAAATGAAAGGAAGGCGTGGGGGGGGGGGCGGTATTGCCATTCAGGCTAAAGGAAGGCTGCAGATGGCGAACTGCCAGTTCAGTTTAATTAATAAGCAAGCGACCAACAAGGAAGGGGGATTTCACTGCCTCTTCCCCCACCCCCAATAGCCGGGGGTCTCCCTCTTATTATGGGATAGCGGAAACTTGGGGAAACAAACCACAGGCTGGGGAGGCACTACTTGCCCCCCCCCCCCGCCAACAACGCGCACTTTTAAACACCCCTCACCCGCTTACCTCGGCTCTGCGCTCCTCCCTCCCTCTTATAGCGCGCCCAGCCCAGGCACAGGAGGGGCAGAGAGGAACCAAAGTGCCGCCATCTTGGACCGAGCAGGGACGTCGTGACGTCAGCGCGGCGGCTGCGGGATGGGGCGGGCGGAAGATATGCTAATAAAGAAGGCGGGGCGGCCGGTGACGCCCCGCCTCTCCCCTTCAGCTCCAAAGCGGCGCTGCCCAAGCGGCTCATCCGGCGCAGGACCCGATTCGAATTAAGGGGGAGTTCATCGAATCACAGAGCTGTAGAGCTGGGAGGGATCTCAAGGCGCGGTCCCTCACCCAACTTAAAACCATACCGGACCCTGTTTAGTTTAGCAGTTTTATTGCTACACCTGCCTGCTCTTTTTTTTTTTGGAAATCGAGACGGTTATCAGCTAGTTAGATCAGTACTATTTAAATAATCATCATAATTTAATAATACGATGTAAAGCAGATGCAGCAATAGCGGTAAGCAAACCACACTCAGATCCCACTGAGACGCAGCGCCTTTGTTTGCAATATGAAAGTATCATTGTTTCCAGAGTGATGGGTGCATAGCAGGCAGTTGGCAATGAAGTTTCTTTCTTGCAGCAGCAGGATTAACAAAGCTGCCCTAGCCCACAGCAAAGCTGTCAGTCCCACAAGCTCCATCACATGCCTTCCTTCCTGCTGTCAGCCGTCCCATCAAATCAAGAGACCGCAGTCGCTGGTACCGAGTTTCCAACGTATTAGAAAAAAACAGGCATGGCAAGAGCAAACCAACAGATTATGCCAAGCCCACAAATGGCACTGCTTTCCATATTCAGTGAAGAAAAATCTTGGTCTATTGTAGAAGGAATACCTTACAATTTTAAATTTACTGCTGCAAGATGCCTTGCAAAAAAGGGGGGGAGCCCCCATTTCTAATGAATAATAATTGCACGTTAGCCTTGGTTGTTATTAGTTATTTTGGGTGCCACATAGCTCTTCAACCACAGGGCAGGTGACGTCCCACAAAGCAAAGTTGAGGTGAAGGAGAAAAACAAGCGATAGCTCAAAAGTTAAAAATGAGGCTAAGCGTTGCAGCTTTGAGAATGGCAAACTGGGGAGGCTGTAAATTATCGGGCAAAGAGGTTCTTGCTGAGCCAGGGATTCCCTCCCGCAAGGTGTGAAGCAGGGATTCCTCTCCACACGCCCCCCATAAGGGCTGTGTCTGAAGTTTGGTGGGATGCCCCTGGGAGCCCCCTTTTATTCATTTAACAAAGTGTATTATATACAATTTGCTTTTTTTAAAAAAAAAAACAAAAACCTCTGGTTTGTGACATTTAAGTGAGGGGTGGGGCGTTGTTTCCTTGGCAACCCACCTACCTGGTCTCTGGGCGTTGCTCCTCCTTATTCTTTTTTTGGTATTTTTATTAAAGATTTTCTTGATTTACAGAAGTATGTGTGATGTCTCTCTCTTGTATTTATTCCATGTAACATTTTTACAAATCAGTCTCATTTGTTGAGACATTAGGAAGAAAAGGGGGAGAGGGGTGGAGGATGGGTGGGGGTGGGGTGGGGTGGGGATGTTTCTATTTTGCTTAATGTATGTAGGGTTTGGTGTCAGCGTTGCTTGTGCAGGTTCTCTGCTGTTCACTTGTGTTCCTTTGGTGGTGAGAGAGGTTGGGGTTGGCCTTGTTTGTTTGTGATTGGCTGTGGTGATCTTTGTTTTCGTGTGTGAGTGGGGTGGGTGGGTGTTTTGGATCAGGTTAGCCATATTGATTTGGATGCTGTTGGTGGATTGTTGTCATTGTCTTGTTGGGCTGTGTATGTGATAAAGAAGGTGTCTTCTTCTGTTTGTCCCCGTGTCAGTTTCAGTTTATTGGTTAATTTTTCTAGTAAGGCTGTTTCCCATACTATTTGGTACCATTGGTCCATGCTTACTCCTGACAGGTCTCTCCAGTGTCTGGTTATGGGGTTCCTCCTTATTCTTGATGTTCCGTCAGAATGTTGAGGCACCTTGCTGCTCTCTCTGCTGCCTGGCTCAAACACCTCTCTCTTCAGGTTCATCTTTCCATTTCTCTCATGAATCAGGTTGTTCTCCATTAAGCCACCTTTGCAAAGGGAGACCATCTCCATCTCCTTTAAAATACAGTAGAAAACTCCTACATCCCAAGTTGAGGGGGTGTGTGTAGCACAGTATTAGAAGATCTGCTTTCAATGCTGAGGGTGGGGCTGAGAATCTCCCCTTTCAGAAAACCTGAAGAGCTGCTGCCAGTCTGTGTGGGCAATACTGAGCTAGATGGGATCAATGGTCTGACTCCGTATAAGGCTGCTTCCTTTGTATATCCTGCAATAATAATTCCACCGGAGCAACAGATGAGGAGGTGACATGGACCCGAGGGAATGGAGGTTACTCTGAGGATGGAATAAGGATGAGTAAGGAATGCCTCTGAATGCCAGGTGCAGAGGACCCCATTCATGCCCTGCTTGCGAGTTCTCTGGAACAAAACCCTAATTGCAATTCCCTCCAGTTGATTGCAGCACCCTTCTCAACTGGATACAAGCAGCAGGGCTCCCACCGTCCTTCAGAAAACTTGCTCTCTCTGGGGAGGCTCACCCGATGTCATCATTACAAGTAAAAGCATTTTGTTTTAACCAGACCTTTGGCTTGGGACTACTACCTATGGCCTTTTTGAGGTCGTGCAATGTTTTAATACTTTTTGTGTATGCGTCAAGGTATGCATTTGTTCTTTGTTTCAAAGAACAAAGAGCCACCACTGAAAAGGCCCATTCTCATGTTGCCATTCTCTGGATTTCCTGTGGAGGGGGCACATGAAGAAGGGCCTTGGATTATGATTGCAAAGTCCAGATTGGTTCATGTGGGTGGTCCATGGTCTTTTTAGTGCAGCTGTGGAAGTTTTCCAGGCGGGGCTGGGAAAGACCTGTGCGACCCCCCCCCATCAGAAGCACTGCCAGTCAATGTACGCAATACTGTAGGGCGCCAAGGACTGACTTTTTGTTCTACCAGAGTCTGATCCCTGTTCTGCATTACAACTAACACATCTAAGAACTCCAACCTATTCCATTACAAGCCCATCTTTTGCCCATTTGTTTTTGTGTTCTTCTTAGGAAAGAGGCAGTCAGGTGGCCTTTATGACTGGTCAGCTGGGTAGGGGCCAGGTTAGATTCTTGAGCAGTGGCATGTGGAGCCTCTCAAGACTTTGCCATCTGGAATTTCCTCTGGCGGAAGGTGGGGTGTAAAATGTCTTGAAACAAGTCAATAAAAATGTCCTGCTTTGATCAAGGTCTAGTAGGAAGCCACTTCCTGATTTCCACATATGGAAAACGATCCCCCTTCAGAAGCTGTGACGAACTCCCTGATTTAATGCTATGGCTTTTTTGGTATGTAAATAATATATCTGCGTGCTTCAGTGGATGTGACTCAGAATTGGGAAGCACTGATCTGTGTGGATAGAGCAATAAAAGCTTTTATTATGGAGCGTGTCCACTTGCAAAGCCTGCTCCAGCAAGACACTGTGTCCACTCCTCACCCCGCCAAGTGTCACGGTTGCTGCTGCTGTTAATATGGACACCCTTGTTTTAGAACAAAGGAGTTGGGCTGTTCTTGCTTGCTTTGGTATGATGCATAGACTCATGGTCTATATCGCAGGCTAGGGAACCTTGGTGCCAGTGCTTTTGCCTGGCTGAAACATGTCATTGAACTGGTGTTGCATCATCCTTACTTGCTTGGATGGGTGGATGCAGAAGTGAGTGTGAAAACATCTGACTTTTGCATAGCTGGAATATAGCCTCCTTGTACTAAGGTTAAGAAGTGCACCTGCAGCTTGCGGACCTTGGAAGGTCGCCCATGAGTCAGAATTCATCCCTAAATCTGAAAATGTCTCCCCACCCCTACCTTAGCAAGAGCCACACTATTTTATTGGGCTGGCCAGTTATGCCCCATGGTCATTTTGGCTTGTATTAAATGCTAATCCTGTTCAAGGAGGAAATGGACACAACTCATTTCAGCAGACCTACTCAGTTGGATACCATGCATTTACCTCCCGTGCATATCCTAACTTCAGCCGCAGATTTAGGATCACAAGAGGCGATAAAGCAATTGCGACTGTCAAAATCCTGCAATAGCATGTGAAATGTGGAGATAAATATCCAACTCACACTTATTTTGGCCACAGGAGAGAATGTGATGCTGGGACTGTTTGTTAGAAGCAGTCCAGAGTCAGGCTACCTTTTCCTTCAACATCAATTTCAGGTTGTTGCTCAGGCCACTGCTACTATGAAAAATTCACTGGAAGAGCCATGATGCCTGGGGTTGATGGGAGTGGTAGTGTAAACAGTTGGGAGGCACCCAGTGGATAGCTCAGCCAGCAAGAGCATGAGGCTCTTAATCTCAAGGCCACGGGTTCGAGTCCCATGCTGGGCAAAATATTCCTGCATTGCAGGGAGTTGAACTAGATGACCCTTTGTGGCATCTTCCAGCTCTGTAATTCTATAACTCAGGCTTCCTCAAACTCGGCCCTCCAGATGTTTTGAGACTACAATTCCCATCATCCCTGACCACTGGTCCTGCTAGTGAGGGATCATGGGAGTTGTAGGCCAAAAACATCTGGAAGGCCGAGGTTGAGGAAGCCTGAACTGGTCTTCTTTCCCATTTTATGGCTAAGAAGTGTGTAATCCAGCAAAACGGCACCCCATACGTCCCCTGGCATAGAACAAGTCTCCTTAACACACACACACACCTTTACTTAACATTCAGCTTTCAAGTTTAAAAGAAAACAATAAAAAATATAGGAAATATCTTTGCTTCCGAGAGCATTATCATACAGTACTCTAGGTTAAACACAAGTATCTACATTAAAGTTAAAAATAAATAGGATGAAGGCAAATTCATCTGGTTCTAGAGATGGCACAGAGATCTTGGCTGTGAGTATGACAAAGTATCATGAAATCTATTAATAGACTTTAAAACAGCCCGGCACAAAATACTTAAACCTTACTCATCAAGTGAGACCAAAACAAGATGTCGTAAGCGTAAGCAGCAGCAGCAACAGCAGGTCTGTAAACAGCTGGCAGAGTTGAAAAGGAGCCTCTCTCGCAAGTGTGTCTTTTTCTGGCTTAAAGAGGGTATATATAGGGGGGGGAGGGACTTCAGTGTTTACTTGTGGAAAGCAGGGGGTTGCAAAAGAACCCCGACCAAGTCTGAAGGAAGAGAAAACAACAGCTGACCTTAGCTGGAAAAGGGGAGGGAGAGGGTAAGAAATGAGAAACTGAAGCAGCATCACAGAATGACAACACACACAACCCCCCGCAAGCAACGATGTCCCCACTTCCCCCAGGCAGCTCTGATGGAGGACCTCACCCGCCGTTCCTGCAGCAGATTCCCCCCCCCAGGGGTGGGGTACCAACCGAATCTTATAAATTAGTGGCCATTCTACCTGCACAACCCAGAAACAGCTATGCTTTGCCATGCCTAGGGCAACCATACAGCAGCAGAGGCAGCCACCGTGGGCAAGGCCCTCTAAAATAACGTCCTGTTTCCATCTTTGCTAGTGCTGTGCCTTGGCAGCAACAGAGTCTCCTTCCAAATTGCACTGTGATTAAGGCACCGACCGTGAAGAGCACCTCAAAACAATCTACTGGAGGGCAGGCCCCCCTAGGTCACTAAACTGGCAATGCTCCCCTGCCCAAAGCTGGCCACTCAGACTAAGGATACTAAGATTGAGTAGACAAGAGCTCTTTTGTCTTGGGTCCCCCAGATTTGGGCAGACTATAACTCCCATCATCCACAGATAGCTTAGTCCAGGGGTCAAGGATGATGGGTGTTGCTGTCCACCTACATCTGGGGACCCAAGGTTGAAGAACTCTGTGCTGATAGAAACAATGATTCTGATGGGAGCTCCTGCAACAGGAATCAATGGATGATATTCCAGCAGCAACATGCAACTGAAGAAATGGGCATCATTCAGGTTGCTGGGGGGGGGGGGAGGAAGAGCAGCCCTCCCCATAGGACTTTTCCCCTAGTAGGACTTGGTGGCAGACCCAAGGCACCAGCTAGTGACAGCAAAGATGTCCAGCTTATTCTTAGCCACACAGGAAAAGCCTTGCTGGATGCAGCGAAGGGTCCGTCTAACCCAACACCCCCATTTCTGACAGTGGTTAGCCAGAAGTTTCTGGCAAGCACAAAAGCTCTCTCTTGCCAACTAGCATTTAGTGGCACTCTAGTCTCCCACACAAGGACGTTTCACTGAGCTAACCTGAATAAAAACGGCCGCTGGGCGTCTCCTGCAGAAACACTACAAGGGGACATCACATCTTGTGGCAAGGAGTACCATAAATAAATTCAGTGTGGTGTGTCTCTCCTGAACCTACTGTATTTCGATTTCATGGGGAGACCTCAAATTCTAGTGTTGAGCGAGGGGAAGGAAAGCCTTTGCTCTATCTGTGTTCTCCTCTCCATGCATAATGACTTTACGTGAACTGTGCTCATGCCTTCGTTTGGCTATTTTTAAGCAAAACAGCACCAGATCATGTTAGCCTAAGGGGAAGTTTTCTGATCAGCTATTTTCAAACTCCTTGGGAACTGCCAGGAAGGAACCGGAGGAGAATTGCACACCTCCCTTTTCAGGGATTCCCCTGAAGACAGCACTGTTGATCTCAAAGAGCCCGCTCCTTGCCCTCCTCGCCACCCATGCAGTCCTCGCAGCCGAGGACACCCGCCTCCCAATCCTTTCCCAGCTTGCCTCCCCAAGAAGCGGCGCCACAGATTTCCTCCAAGCCCCAGAGACAAGCTGTCTGACTGCTAGCGCAACTCGTTCAGGTTCAGGTTGTGGAGGTTCTGGCGCTGGCGGTTCAGGCTGATGGCGTTGTCCAAGGGGCGCTCCTCGCCCTCTTCCAGCGTCTCGGGCATGAACTGGCGGAAAATGCTGACGCTGCTGTGCCAGAAAATCGGCTCGGGCAGCTGGCCAGCCAAGCTCCACTTGCGGGTCTCCGGATCGTAGGACTCCAGCATCGCCGAGAGTTCAAAGGTGTTGTCGTAGCCGCCGGAGACGTAGAGCTTCCCTCCCAGGACGGCCAAGCTCCCTCCAACGTGCACCTGGAAGAAAAGAAGAGCGGTGTACAAACCAAGCAATCTCTTATCTACTCTGCATTTTGGGAGGTTGGTCGCCTGCTTGCTATGCTTCCGGAAGCCTTTTAAGATATCGTAAACCAAATGGTGCAGCGTCGTTCCCGAGATCGAGGAGCAGGTTTTTGTCTGTGTTCGGATGCAATTGGATGCCCTTTCGAATTGAAATGGTGGGCTGGACTTTAAAAAAGGCTTTTCTATTCTAATGAAAATGATCGGGGATTTGGTAGGGCTGCATTGTATTATTTATGCAAATTGATTTTTTCTGGAGTTAAAGATATGACTGGGACAAACCTTGTTTCGTTGAGTTCGTATTTTGCACAATTTGTATACGGTGTCTGTTTGATAATGTGTGGTTTGCTATGCCTAATAAAGGATCTTGATTGACTATTCTAATAGCGACGCCTTGAACTGGCAGCAAATGGGCACAGGCGTAACAGGAGTCTCTCTCCTGACAGCAACCATGCTGCAGCAATCTGCACTAACTGCGGCTCCCAGATCAAGTGCAAGGGATTCCCCACAAAAAGCACATTGGAGTAATCCAACCCTCTCTCGCTAAGGCTTTTCTCCATTGCCACCTTTGGTCTGGACTCTTCAATCTCCTCCCCCTTCAGTTCCAACTACTGCTCAAGATCTGAGACCCTCACCTGAAGCATTGGAGGGATCTTGTCCCATTCGTTCTTTGCTGGGTTGTAGACATCGACTTCAGCAGAGTCGTCCCTGCAGAAGGAAATCAAGTAGAGGTGACCGAGAAGAAGCTCCAAACACCCCCTAGCCTTGTCGTGCGGATGGGAGGGAAGGCACGGTCCCTGAGTGTCTACTTTATTCCTTAACGGGGCATGGGGACCCAATCCACTCAGATCTCATAGCGCTTGGCGCACACACGCAAAGTCTCAAGATTTCCAGGGCCTTTTGTGAGCAACTTAGAAAATAAAGATTCTGGTTGGTAGGACTGATGGAAAGGAAGAGGAGGAGGAGGAGGAGGTCCTTGTGCAAACACACCAAACCTGCAAAAAATGTCCCTTTCTCTGTCCTCTGCTTGCCCCCAACCTTCCAGAGATTTGCAATCTGCTCTTTCCGTAGCCTCTCTAAAAGCAGCATTCCTCAGACTGTGGACCTCCAGATGTTTTAGACTATCAAGACTTTGAAAAGCTGGTACCACTAGATCAAGTCTATCAGTTATGTGGAATTAATAAGCTCAATAGTTTTAACTGGAACATGAATAAATGTGCAATTAATGGCTACTGTTTTGAATGCTATTGTGCTATATTACCTTCCTTAGTGGAGCATGAATAATGCTATTTATAGGGCGGGGAGCACAGGGGTTTATGAGTTTATGGAGCCAAGGCGATGGTGACCTGAACCACTGAGCTAGACTTTGGATGAGGAGGAGCTGCCTGCAGTTTCCACCCATCTTTTTTTGGAGGAGGGGAAGGAGATAAAAGGAGAAACCCTAGAAGCTTCCCGAGCCGTTGCGTAACGCCCGTCTCCTTGCTCTGTTCATGAAACAGGGAGCCTGACAGCAACAGGTGAGGGGTGTCGATGACAAAAGAAATGTGCTTTTTCTGACCCTCAGAATGGCAGCCTGGGAGCCCATCAAGGCTACTACAAAACTCCCAGCCGAAATGGAAAGGCTCAGAACCTTCTCCTGGGCTGCTTCCTCCTCCCATCCCAGCAAATGTCGAATGCCAATTGAATTCGTTTAACTTTGATGGGTAACCGTGTTTACAATGAAATGTGGCACTTAGCAGAAACGTTTGGGGAGGTGGGTGCAAAGTGAAAGGGTGTGTGTGTGTGTGTGTGAGGGTCACTGTCCTGTCGGCTTTGGGAGCTGCAAAATGTTTCTGGTGCCTCTGCAGGAATCTAAACTATTTCTCAAGCCAAGCTCTGGAGGGTTGCAAAATGCACAATTGCTGCTGGGGAGTAGAGCAGCCAAATGCTTTAGCAAGCAACTGTTAAATCTCAGTGGGGCTGGTAGAGACGGGGGGTGGGGGGTGGAATGGGCCAGAATGAATCTCAGCAGCAGGAATTCCAAGCCTCCCGTTCCTTGCCTGCACCAGCGGATTGAAGCCCCTTAAGATTCATTTCAAGCATCAGGATCAGGGGGCAATTCCTGCTTTCAAAAAAGGATTTTCTTTACGTCTGGGGAAGCGGGTTGCATGTCCTGCCCCCAAATTAGGCAGAAGCTAGCACTGCAGGAGAGGAAAGAGCCCTGCAGGGACCAAGTGGCTATAGTAAGCCGGACAAGGGTGTGAAAGCGAGTTTCACCATCCTGGCACCCTCTGAGGGTTTTGTACTAGGCCCTGATTGAGCCAAGAATCAGGAAAGTCCCTACTTGGACCCCAGAGCTATAAAGTCACTGAGGCCCCATGCAGCAGCTGTTCATTCATTGGGAAGAGTATGCTGTACCTCCCCAACCCCCCCATAAAAAAAAAAAGATTGTCTGATTTCTAGATGAAGGATGAGACTGAAGGTCACAAGGAAGCTCCGCCCAGCCCCTGTTCACACAGGAGGAACCGAATGAGCCTCCACACCAGAGGAAGCCTCTTGGTGACTGTAGGGGCCACAGTTGCAGCAGTCCCTGGCCCCTGCCTGGGCAAGTGAATGGGTGACCGATGGCTGCGAGTGGGCTGTGGCAGCTACAGCCACATGGAGGCTCCTCAACCGATAGGAGTTTCTTGGCACAGCGAAGATCCGCCAGGTCTTAAGCTGGTTCTGGAACCCATTTCTGAAGTCTACAGAGCGTGAACTGCAACCTGAACAGAGCAGGTGCCCAAATCCCAACAAGGAAAGGGGCAGCTGACCCCTTCTCCTTCCTCCCCCCTCCTCGCCACTCCCCTCGGCCAACTTGAAAGATAACAAGCTTATCCAAACTATTTTCAGACCTCGCTCGATCACAAGCTCAGCCCATCACTGGCTGAAGGGCTCGAGTGCCTTTCAGATAGCAGGAACCTGACCTACCACAGCCCCTCTCGATGAAGGGCACCAGGGAGCCACCTCTGGGAAGCAACAGGCACTTGGAAGCTCCCTTCCCTAAGCTTTGCCAACTTAATCTGCAGAAAGAGCTTTGGAGGTATGAAGCAAAGTTCCTTCTAGGGGGATGGGGGGGGCAAGAGTTCCTTCCCACCCCCTGCCCAGTCCGGGATGTTGCATAACTGGACCAGCATCCCACAACCCTCCAAAAACTCCAGAGAGATCAAACACATTCACAAAGAAGCTCGTAAAAACTCCTATGCAGACACATCCCTGTTTCTGGCCTAGCAGGGCTATTGTGTGGGTGGGACAAGTGGCTTTTTTTACAATTCTAGGTTGCACATTCCCACCCTCACCCCATCTTGAGAAGAGATGGCAGCGGCTAAGGCAGCCCTTACCTGACAAAATACATCAGCCCGCTGAGAGTGACGGTCTTGGGTGCGAACGACCAGGGGGGCAGCTGCCCGCAGTTCACCAGGGACCACAGGTCCGACTCGGGGTCGTAGCACTGCATGACCATGGACTCCTTGCCGGACAAGGAGCCGGTGGCGTAGAGCTTTCCGCGGCAGGCGGTGGTGGAGCAATTGTCCATGGGGTAGAGCATGGGCTGCAGAGGCTCCCAGGCGTCCAGCGTGTGGTCGTAGCGCTCGGTGCTGTCAGAGGCTACCACGTAGAGCAGCCCGTCCAGGACCACGGAGCTGTGGTACTCGCGGGCCTTCAGCATGGGAGACACCTCCGTCCACTCGTTCACGCTGGAGTTGTAGCGCCAGACGCAGTCGTAGAGCCTCGAGCCGTCGGAACCTCCTAGGGGCAGAGCACCGCATCCCATTAGCAAGGAATCATTGACCTGTAGAGTTGGAAGGGACCCCAGGGGTCATCTGGCCTGACCCCCAAAAATGCAGGACTCACACACAAGACTGTGGCTCAGGGCACGTGGTTCACCCTAACGGTTCACTTACGTAAGGCAACAGCTCCATCTAATTGAGCTCCTTTGTACTGCGTTAAACCGTGCCTTCCTACAAGCAGCAGCAAATCTCCTAAGATTTGGGACAGAGGTATTTCCCCTGGAGAATGCAGAACATGACTTTGATCCATCTTTGATCCACACCAACAAATGCATTTCTTAATTGGGGGAGAACTGCCCACGTCCTATGTTTGCTTGCAAGCCCAAATGCCCCTCGCTGAGACACCTCAGCGTTCCTTCAAGCAAGACCAGGCTCTGATCAAACCCAGAAACAAAAAAGGGGTGCGCTAATTTCCTTAGGGAAAATGGGGTACAGGGCCACTATCATCTGTGGCAAAGAGAATCAGCTTCAGGCCTGTGTCTGATGCTCTCAGACTCTGACAAGAACCAACCTGTAGCTTGGGGAGAGCCGATGGCCCTCCTGTGGCACGATGGGTCAGTGCACCTGGCCGTTAACCAGAAGGTTGGTGGTTCAAGACCACCCAGGGATGGCTGTGGGCAGGATTTGGACCAGATGACCGTCATGATCCCTTCCAACTCTACAGTTCTATTCTATGATGGAGATGTGGTACCCGCCAGGCGTTTGTAGACTACAGCACCCATCCATCCCTCACCTTTAGCTGTTTTGGTTGGGGTGGATAGGAATAGCTGGGATGGGAATATAGGCTATCCACCTGTGCTGCACACAGACCAGCTGCATCCTTCATCTGAGGTCTACAGGGCTTAACCATGCTTGAAGAACCTCAGCCTGGCTGATGGGGCAAACTTCATGGCTTCTCCCCACCAAGAGGAAGACTCCGTTCCTCTGCACATCCCAGTGATCAGCTGTGGGCATGGGACTGCGGCCACCAGCTACCCTTACAAAAGCTCCTTTCTGGGCCCTGCACATGTATGTTTGCAGGGTTGTGGTGGTCCCCAAAGCTCACTGGGGGAGGCTTTGCCGAGGGAGAAAATGTCTGCCCCAAGGGCAGCCGCTTGATGGGAATGAGAGAAAATCCTCCTAATGTCCTTTGACAGCTGTATGGAGAACTCCCGCAGGGAAGATTCCCAGGAGGGCGGCTGGTGCTGGGGCAGAGCACAGAGGCGTCCCGGCTCAGGTGTCTCCTCGCTGGCTCCTAGCACCCGCTCTATAAATAACTTGCAAAGCAATGAACAGGAAGGGGGCGTGGAGACTCACACAGAGCCCCTTGTTCAGCCTCCTCTCTCCAGCTTCCCAGAAGGAAGGTCAAAACAAACTGGAAGCTCCCCACAAGCTCAAAGGCAGATGCTGCTGGTGACACATATCATCATCTCTAAGCATCAGCCACATACTCTGGAGCTAAAGAAGGCATGTAAGATTGTCAGAAGAGCCCTGCAGCTGGATCAGGCCCACTTAGCCAAGCACAGTGACCAGCCAGCTGCTTATAGGAAGCTGCAAGCTTCCCAAGAGTGAGATGTCTGCAGCCTAACACAGTACAACACATTCAGCCATAGGGCATTATTGACAAGAGGGAAAGGAGAGAGAGTGGATGGGGCCTGTTACCCTGGAGAAGAGCTGCCTGTAGGATTTGGGCAGGAGGGTAGCTAGGTCCTTAGGGCACAGACCCATGACGCAAATTGGCAGGTGCTGATATGCATGGGTCCCCTTAAGATAATAAGAACTGAACAATACAGCTGTATCTGATCAATGGCCTATTTAGTTGCAACTCCTGTTTTCACAGGGGCCAACCAGATGCCCCAATGGAAAGCCCACAAGCAGGACCCAAGCAAAAACTGCCACTCTCCCCACTTATTATTGGCCAGCGACTGAAATTCGGAAGCATTGCTGCCTCCATCCCTTAAGGCAGAGCCTAGTCAGGGTTGCTAGTAGCCATGGATACCCTTGTTTCCCCATGAACCTGTCCAATCCTCTCTTAAAGCCATCCAAGTTGGTGGCCATCACCGCCTCATGCGGGAGTTCCGTGGTTTAGGTGCTGTTCGTGCAGCTTTTAGAGGGCACCCCTGTGGCAAACTCCTTCAAGCAGGGACCCTCCAGCAACTGGCAGCCCTCCCGTCCCGGCTCACCGGTGACATAGATGTCGTTGCCCAGGGCGGCGGCGCTGTAGCCTCCTCCGAGGTGCTCGGGGAACTCAGCCAGGTAGCGCCAGTGTCCCGTGCGGGGGTTGAAGCAGTCGACGGTGACGAGCTCGTCGCAGTCGCGGTCGCAGCCGCCGAGGAGGACGAGGATCTCGGCCAGGCCGGTGGAAGGGCGCGGGCGGAGGCGGGCGCAGGGCGCGCGGTCGTGGCGGTCCAGGCGGCCGGCCTGGAAGAGGCGCGCCTCGGCCACCAGGCGCAGGCAGGCCTCGGAGCGCGCCACCAGCGGCTCGCCCTCGACGTGGGCCAGGAGGGCGAAGCGGCGCACAAAGGGCAGCCGGACGTGCGCCAGGAGCTGGGGCAGGAGCGGAGCGCGGGCTGCCGGCTCGGCGCGCACCCAGCGCAGCGCCAGCTCGAAGGCCGCCTCCTCCTTGGGCACGCGGAGCGCGTCGTCGCGCAGGTACGAGAGCAGCCGCGGCAGCGGGAGGCGCTCCATCTGCGCCGCCAGCTCGCCCTCGCTCTCGGCGGCGTGGCGCAGGACGCAGCGGCGGGCGGCCGCGGCCAGCGGGGCGCACGCGAAGGCCTCGCCGAACTCCTGCATCTCCAGGGCGGCGGCCGGCTCCAGGCGCGCCGCTAGCCAGGCCCCGCACGCCGCCTTGACGGCTGGGAATTGGAGCAGGTCGGCGGCGCGCAGCAGGCGCTCGGCCAGCTCCGGCCCGCCGGGAGACGCCACTCGGCCCGTGTAGGCGAAGTCGAGCAGCAGGGCCAGGCACTCGGGCTCCACGCCGTGCAGCCGCACCCGCGCCGCGCGCGCCTCCCGCAGCCCGCCGCCGAACATGGCGCGGAAGTAGCCCGAGGCCGCCGCCAGCACTGCCCGGTGGGCGCCGAACTCCCCGCCGCCCGCCAGCAGCGTCACGTCCAGCAGCGCCCGCTCCGCCCGTAGCGCGCACAGGCCCCGGAGCAGCGCCGACGCGTGCGCCGCCTCCTCCGCCGTCGCCTCTTCGCCCGTCGTCGGCTCCATTCTCGCCCGCCGCTGAGTCTGACTGCTACCCGACGCCTCCGCGCACCCCTCGGCCGGCTCCTCCCTCGCCTGGGCTGGCGCCGGTCCCGCGCGCGCTCCGCCTCCTCCGAAGGGCGACGACGGCGCGCCTGGCTGGCTGGCTGCAAGGGCGCCGCTCTCAGTCGCCAAGCAGCTTCGGAGAACACCAGGCTCCTCGCTGCCGCCCTCCTGCCTCCAAGGGGAGCCGGGGGGGGGGGGGCTCTCTCGCTTTAGCCTTGGGAAAAGGGCAAGCCTGGGCTCTGGAGAAGGAAGCGTCCGCGAGCTCCAAGCGAAAGGCCACAGACGCTCGGCTGGACGTAAAAGGCAAATTGCTTGGAGCCTTCCAAGGCAGTGGCGGCGCCTTTCAGCCTCCACCCGAACCTTCGCTAACTCTGAAGGGCTCGTGGGTGCGCAGGAAGAAGGCCCAGGGGAAAGGCTAGCGGGATGCGCCTGGCGACAGCCCTCCTTGCATAGCTGCTCGGGACATCATAGCTACCCGCTGCTTGGCTACTAGTCACGATGGCTCTAATACTCCTAAGGCTGTAATGTTTCTGAATGCTTCTTGCTGGAAACCGCAGGAGGAGAGAGTGACTTTGTGCTGGGGTTTCCAAGAAGGCGGCATCTTGGTGGCCCCTGCCAGAACAGAATCCTGGACTAGATGGGCCACTGGTCTCATCCAGCTGGCTTCTTTAATATTATGTTCACTGTCTGCACAACTCACTCCCTAGTGAACATGCATAAGGTCAGGCTCCGTGGTAACAGCTACAATTCCCTCTTGACATTGAATTCTGTTGAATTTATTTTACTGTATTTTATTTTATATATTGTAGATTTTTAGTATATTTAGTTTTTGTATGCTCCTTTGAGATTTTTCTGAGTACAAAGTTGCTTATAAACGTTCTAAAGCAGAGGTCAGCAACCTTTTTCAGCCATGTGCCGGTTCACCGTCCCTCAGACCATGCGGTGGGCCGGGCTATACTTTTGGGGGGGGGGGGAATGAACCAATTCCTATGCCCTACAAATAACCCAGAGATGCATTTAAAATAAAAGGACACATTCTACTCATATAAAACATGCTGATTCCCGGATTGCCCGCGGGCCAGATTTAGAATGCGATTGGGCCAGATCCAGCCCCCGGGCCTTAGGTTGCCTATCCCTGTTCTAAAGAAACAAGCCACTGAGTGAGCAGGGGTTGGGCCAATGGGAGTAACTCCCGTTGAACTCAGTGAGGCGGACTCCCAAATAAACGTGAGGCAAGCCTCGTGGACTTTCCTAGGAAAGGGCCCGTTTCACCACTCTTTCACATTCTGATGCATGCAGAAGATTATGATGCAATAAAGAATTAGTCACTAACACCCCTGTTCTAAATATAGTGGGTGATGCTGAGTAAGTCATACCCAGAGGGTGACTTAGCTGGCTATCCCCCATCATGGGGAATTAGTGGATCTGGCTCCTAAGCTTAGGACTTCACAGCTCAATAGTCTGGTGGTGCATTCTAGGTGCACTCAGGTGGGCCCTCTCCAAAAAACAACAACTTAAGCAGTCAAGTACTTCTTTATAGTGCCAAAAGAAAGGGGGATAAACAACTCTTGTTCACATGCATCCATTATTATTTGACAAACTAGGACACTCGCACACTTACAGAGGCTGCGAAACCCCTCTCCTCAGAACTAAAAACAAATGCAAATTGTTAATGGGTTTTCCCAATACCCCCACCCACTGCAACAACACTGCTTTATTAAGATCTGGAACCTTTTCCCCCAGCACCAAATATGGGGTTACAATCTAAAATTCACCCCAGCAAGTGGGAAGATTGCAGTAGGATAAATGGCAAAACATGACTTCTTATTTCAGTTACACAAACGTGGTGACCTCTTGGTCCTAAGCAGAGCACGCCTTTTCCACGGAGCTTCCAAACACGCCTGGTTCGAGTTGGGGCCTCAGCATCCGAGCAGCGCACTGCAAGAATGTTGTGCTGAAGCTCTCCACTCATAGCCTGAGTGTTTTCTCACACAAAGGCCTCCTCTGTTGCAAGGACACTGCTTCTCTCGGATCTGCAACTGCTGATCAGCACATAACCATGTCAGCTGCTTATATAAAGCACACCAGGCCAGATCCCATGGCTGTAAACATCCCAGGAAAACTTTGCAGCCGAGACGTTTGCTTTCCTCAGCTGGGCAGTTTCCATTTTCTGTGCTGTTAGTACTACCAGTATTTCCCTCCCCGCCCCCCACACCAAAAGAAATATTTGGTTTTTTAATAATTTTATTTATAGTTTTCATTTATATACATTTCAATGGTTTAGCAATAGTTGTAACATTTCAAACCTCAACTTCCTCCTCTTTCTGCGGTTCCTTAAATTTATTTTAAATTTATTTATTTTTATTATTTCCAGCATATTCTAAATTAACTTATTCTAAAATATTTGTTTTATTTTTTAATTGGGCAGTATCCAATGTCACTCACACTCAGATGAGACCCATGGATAGGCAGAGGCCGCTTTTTGCAATATCTGCATTTATTTACAGATTCCCCAATGGCTGGCATTAACATAGAAGACCCTGGATCTGTAGTCTCCCACTGGGAGAGGGGAGGGGGGGATTAAATCCAGTGGTCCAGGGACTGAAAGGAATCTCCTTAACAAAGGGAAGGTGCTTGGCCACACTGCCAGGGCCTTTAAGGCAATCCTTGGCACTGCTGCTAGGTCCCATTAATGTAACAATCAGGAGGCTTGTTGGCAGATCAGACCTGCATTGACACCATCAAAAACCCATAAAAGCATAAGGTTCAATTAACTCTATATGTGCTGGTCTCCTCTACTGATCTCTCAAGGATGGAAAGGCCCATCTTGTTATTCTTTGGATTCATGTTTTTAAAAGGCATGCTTATTGCTACTTCTGAAAAACTGAACCACCTTGCGTGCCACCAGAGGCTATGCAACCCCCTCAGGTTTGCATCAGTCTGGGAACTGTTCTGTGATTTTTATGACCAATCTCATGGTTGGCATATTCATACTAAATATGATTTTATCCAGCAACATCTATGAACAGCTGATATATTTTGGTATAAATATTGTATGAACGGTGCATCCTACCATGGAACATATTTTACGCTATTCAGTCTTTGCAAAACGTTTTTTAAATTTTACCTTGCACTTTTACCCCTTTTGTTTTTATGACTGTTTTTATTAGTTTGACGTTTTGTTTGTTGCATTTGCAAATCTTATATTTAAAAGTTTATAGACACACACAAACACACACACACACACACACACACACACACAATTACAGGGACCTCTGAAAGGGCTTCCAGTTATTGCGGAGTGTCCTGAAACTTAATGAATTGCGACCTCAATTGTACAAAACAAAAACCTTGCAAGACTTCCTGCGAACTTCCAGTGCCTCCCAAACCCCGACTGGGAAATTGCCCACCAGGATCCCTTAAAAGGTGCCAAGCTTCCGGGTGAGTGTCACAAGGCAGAAGCGAGCCAAGGGACTGACGCGCGTCTGCCCGTCCTCTCCCTTCTTCTCCGCCTCCCTGCTCTCCACTATGTGATCTCTCGCTGGAGCGCAAGGACTACGATTCCCGGCTTGCCATGCGAGCAGCGCAGGCGCAGTGCTGCCGCCAGACAAGGAGGCTCCTCCCCACTCGGGAGGGCGGGGCGGGGCTTCGGCTCCCTCCCCCGTTGCCGGTCCCGGGAGGCGCCGCCGCCGCCGCTGTTGGCTTGCCGCCGCCTCCTCCTCCTCCACCTCCTCGCTCGGTCCTCTGATCCCACCCAGCCTGCCAGCCATGGATTCGGACTCCTGCGCTTCCCCGCCGCCCCCCGAGGTGAGAAGAGCCCCCTTGCCCTCCCCCCCAGTGATGGGGTACAAGGAGTCCCGCCCCCTCCCAACCCCCCTACTGCATATATACCCCCCAGAACCCCCACTTTCTCCTCTCTCTCCCCCAATCTCAGTTTCGCCCCCCCCCGCTTTCTCTTCATCCTTCTCCAAGCCTTCTACCCGCCCCCAGCCCCAGTTCAGGACACCCCCATCCACTGCCCCCCCTCCGCGCAGAACTGGGTCTCTCGCTTGAGGTTGGATGTACGTGGGTGGGAGAGGGGGAAGGCGTGGCAGAGTTGAGGGGGTGTCCGGAGCTTCTTTTTTCTCCATTTAAATCTCACCCCCCCTTCTCCTCCAGCACACCTTTTCAAGCCTTCCTCGGCCACTGTTCTCCCCTCCCTTCTTTTAAGGGTGCGATCCTTCTCTGGTCCTTCATCAGCACCCTGGGGTGTGATTGCCCCTGCCGCCCAGGGCCGGTTGCGATCCGGCTTGCTGGGCAGCCGGTTGCCCCCTCCCCATGCCTGACCCTCACTCCTAATCCCAACAAAGAAGCAGGCTCCCCTCCAGAAGAAACCTCCCCGCCCCCCCTCCACCGGGCATTGCCCACTTATTGTGATGGCAGGGGGTGGGGAATGGGCAAAAGTCTGCAGTGTGGCGCGGCGCTTTAAGGGGGTGCTTGCAAAAGTGGGGATCCCCTCCCCTGCAGCTCCTCAGCCAGTCACCCCTCCCTTTAGCAAAGTTTTTCTCAACGCCCCCCCCCGCTTTTTCGCTCTCCGAGTGGCACCTCGCTGGCCCTGCCCTCTTCGAGTCCGTGGCTGACGCCCCTAGTGGTTACGCCCGCCTCTTCCTCCCTCCTTGCAGGATTTTTCTCCCGGATCCAAACGATGCCGCACGGTGGAGGACTTCAACAAGTTTTGCACATTCGTCTTGGCCTACGCGGGGTACATCCCCTACCCGCAAGAGGTATGGACGTCGGAGTGCGGGGTGGAGGCTGCCTTCGGTGCAGCTGGATAATCGGGGCGGGAGGGGAAGGGGAAGGGGCGGGCTCTGCTTCCCAAGATGCGGCTACGCTGCTGTGCAAGAGTAGGTGTTCTTTTCCCCCAAAGGCTTTCTGGGATTCGGGGCCCTGGCAGACTCCGGTTCATTGGAGGGGGGGGGATTGTTTCCGGAGGGCAACGATCGGGGGAGCAAGCAGTGAGTCAGGGAAAGGTAATTTTTGTGTGTGCGAGAATGCCTTTGCAAATGCTGCCTGGGGATTAGGATGCGTTTGTGGGATGAAGTGTCAGGAGGTGCTTTTTTCTTGTGCAGATTGGCAGCCATTGCCAACCTCTTGCCAGCCTTTACCAACCTCCAGAAATTTTGGACTACTATTCCCATCAGCCCCCATGGGCCATCATGTAGCCATACTGATGGGAGTTGTGGTCCGAAACCCCTGGATAGCCCCATGTTGGCTACACCTGCATTGATAAGGAAGTGGGAAAGGCTGATCTACAGCTCTTCTGTTCTTTCCTGTCCACCCTGAATGTCCAAACGGACCAGCTGTAGTGGCAAAATGCAGGCAAAACAGTGGAGATTCCTGCATTGCAAGGGGCTGGACTAGATGGCCCTTGGGGGGATCCCTTCCAACTTTGCAGTTTTGTGAAATGGTACAGGTGCAATTTAAAACAATTGTTTGGGTGCTGGGCCCAGTTGCACCTTCCACTTAAAAGGCATGCAGCCTCTGTGAAACTGATTTCTCTTTCTGCAGGATGCTTCTGTGCGGAGCACCCCCAGCCCCCCCAACAGCACCGGGGGCACCATCGACAGCGACAGTGGGGATGTGGGTGAAGCGAGGCTCCCCTCTGCCCTCTCCTTGTCTGGGAAAGCACAGAAGAGCTTCAGCCAGCTGACACATCGGAAAGCTTACACCTCCCTCTACCAGTGGGCAAAGCCACAGGGCTTCCTGCTGGGCAGGAAGAAAATGGGGCTCAGGAGGAAGAGGAAGCTGAAGCGGAGGGAGGTGCTGGGAGGGGAGGAGTCCTATGCGCAGGCGCCCACGAGCCCCTCTTCGGAAGGTGATGCCCACTCCTCCACGGGCCGCTGCTCGGCATGGGACTCAGACTCGCTCTCCAGTGCCTCGTGCCCGCCAGCGGCCCCACCAGAGGCTCAGCGCCTGGTTCAGACGGTAGGCAAGCGCACCATCATCCGGCAGGGGAAGCAGGTGGTGTTCCGCGACGAGGACGGCAGTGCAGATGACGAGGACATCATGGTGGATTCAGGTATGGAGCAGAGAGGCTCTCAAACAAAGCACTGTCTTTCTGCATCAGGCGGAAGGTTAAAAGCAGGGGAGCCATGAAGGCTGGATGGCATGTGCTGACAGCTCCAGCCAAAACTTGCAGAAAACATCTGAAGGGCACCAGGCTAGTGACTGCAATGCTGGTGGCCCCACATGGGAGAGCTTTCTCGGTGGTGGCTCCCTTTACGTGGAACGCTTTGATTTGTGTTTTACTAGCAATTGAAAACTTTTTAAATGAGTTTTTTGATTCTCTTGCTTTTTCATGACCTGATTGCAAATACTGCCTTTTAACTACTTCAATCATTTGAGTTTTTAATGGCTGGCTCACTTCCGGCTTCATATTTGTAAAACCACAAGGGGGTGGAGGGGGAAAGCAGGGGTATAATTTTAAATAAGAATATATATTCTTAATATATATTCTATAATATATATTCTTTAATATATATATTAAAAGCTCAGTGTATTAACAGTCCATTATTGACAGAACTCTCACCGCTATTAAAAAAGCCAAATTAGTATTTAGAAATCATTATTGTGGTGTGACCAGTTGAAGGCAATGAATTCTCTTGCTACAACAGATGAACTCCTTGGGGAGCCTGTGGGGCCCCTGCAGTTATTGCTGGCCTCCATCATCAAAGAAGCAGCAAGGGATGATGGGAGTTGTAGTCCAGAACAGCTGGAGAGCTGCAAAAGAGTAGCCAAGCCCTTTTCTGTGTCACCAGAGGCAAGTGTGTTGGGCTGACAAATAAGGCTTGCTCCTTGGAGGGAGCATCCACCTACAAACAGGCTTCCTAGGTAGATGAATGCGGTTGTATTTGAGGACTGGTGGTGTATCTGATGAGGGTCTCTTACCTGGAACTTGTTTCTCTCTCTTCCTCCCTGCTGCACAGATGACGATTCCTGGGACCTTGTGACCTGTTTCTGCATGAAACCCTTTGCCGGGCGCCCCATGATCGAGTGCAACGAGTGCCACACCTGGATCCACCTCTCCTGTGCAAAGATCCGCAAGTCCAACGTCCCAGAGATCTACGTCTGCCAGAAGTGTCGGGACTCCAAGTTCGACATCCGCCGCTCCAGCCGCTCCCGGATGGGGTCACGCCGACACTTCCTGGATTAGTGGGGTGGAATTTTTTCCCCTAGCGCGTTTGACACAAGCAGACTTGTCATGTGAAACATGAGACTCTGGTTGGTGGGGGACAAACCCAGCCACAAGCAGGGAACATCCACTCTGCGGTGAAGGAAAGCGTCTCGAGGCACCCTCAATGGCCTAAATCGCCACTGGAGAAGGACCCGATTCCGTGCCCCAAAGCAGGTCGAGGAAAAAGGGCATCATTAGGACGATAAGAGGAAGGGGGGGGGCCTTTCTGGTGTGCACCTCACTTTCCTTCCTTTCTGTTGTCCCAGGTATGAAAGTATGGCAGGATGAACTGCCTGATAGGTGCTGAGTGACTCCACCATCAGGGAAGTGGATGCAGTAGTTTGAGAGCTGGAGATGCCAGCAGCTGTTGCACTTCCACAGCGCTGCAGCAGGAGGTCCAGGATCTCTCTTAAGGGTTGTGTGAAAAAGGGTCGCCTTCCCCATCCAGTGGAGAGCCAATCCAAGGTCGCCTCAAAGTGAGACAGCCAGTGGCTGCTTTTTAAAAGCCACCTTCAGTGAAGGAAGCCATCTGCTTGTGCAAGCAGGGAGAGGGAAGGGCAGTCATTTCTCTCCCTTCAGAGGATGGGCTCAATTCCTACTCTGACGGGCTCCTCCTTCTCTCAGGTCCAGAATGGGCTTCCTTTCACATCGGCTGGCTCTGTGTTTGTAAAGTGGGAAGCATGTAAAACGCTTCTTCTGAGCTGATGGGGGTGGTAAGTCTTGGCACCTGGGGATGCTTCTGTGCATCCAGTACAGAAGAGTCTTGCGAGCTGGGAAATGGGTGCAGACATCTCAGGTTTAACAAGCCCAGTGGATTCCTGCCACCAGAGCGCTGATTCCTCCTTTGCAGTGACCAAACTGGCTTATTGCACAGATGTGAATCCTCAAGTGGATTCTCCCTTTGCATCGCTCCGAGCTGTCGACAGCGAGGAAATGTAGTTTTTGTGGGGAAGAGCAGCAGGCTCGGCGGCGTGAGCAGCACACCAAGACAGACAGCCGTCTTGCCCGAGTCTCAGCGTGGACAAGTATTCCTTTGGGCACCTAATGTGCGATGACCCAGGTTCTCATATGGTGGACTTGTGTTACAAGTGGTAATGGATGGGGGATTGATACCCCTTAAGTCATTTACCCAATTGGTTTGGTAGGGTTCCCATAGTGCATTCTTCTGCCATGACCGCAAAACTTTGTCCGTTTATCAGAAGCAAATATGAAGAACTTGATTCCTCTACACAGCAGGGTCTGCTTTCCCTCAGGCTCCCCTATTTGCCAAAGACAGTTCTTCCACAGAATGCCCCAGGCTGATGCTGTGATCACCTGGCAGCTTCAGCTACCATCTTGGGTTTTTGTTTTTTAAAAAAATGTCTGCAGAGCGAGACAAATCAGTGTAGGACATCTTGCGGTGGAGGAAACAACCGAGGAAGAAGTTTCCTGTTGAGCAAGCTTTCACTTGTATTTTGGCATTGAGCTCTAGGACCCAGTTTCAACCATTCTGCAATCAGGTGGTGTCTGGCAAGCCCAGTTAATTGGATTTTTCAGCAGAAGAATAAACATCTTGCATGTCTGTGAGTTCATCTTTGTGCAATCTCAGTTTGAGAGCTTTATTTTTTTTTTATAATTAAAATTATTTGTATTATCGGATGAGGCTCCTTGTCTGTCTTTCTAGAAAAGAAGTAAAATCTTTAAATGGTGCATGGGCGACCTGTTTCGGTGCTCAGTAAGAGTGGAGGCAAAACCACTGCAAAGCACTGGGAGAAGGAGCTGGGAGGTGATAGGGTGGCGACGGCAGCTTGAACATAGATAGCATCCTTTGGGCGTGACTTGTGTAATAAATGCGAAAAATGCACTTCCCTTTGTTGAGGACGGGTGGTAGTTCAGTGGTAGAGCGCTTGCTTTGCATGTAGAAAGTCCTCAGTTCAATCCCTGGCATCTCAGGTAGGGCTGGGTGCAGACAATACTGAGCAAGCTGGACCAAGGTTCTGACTGGGCACATGGTTGCTTCTTGTTTTCTGAGTCTGGAGGAGCAATTCTATGTCAACACCATTGAATTTCTATTCATTTAGCCCACCCAGTTTTCCACTACAATGCTCAAACCAGCAGAGAGCTTTGAATGTAGGGGATCAGGAATGTCTGGGGATCACGAACACCTTGTTGGCAAATGGGCTCCTGGACAAGATGCCCCCCTTGGTATAATCCTGCAACCAGGATCTCATTTAGTGCTTAAGGCCCCAACTTTGGGGCTTCATCTCCAGTTACAAAAGTACCAGTCAGCCAAAGTCACAGCCATGGCTGATCAAGGTGTACCAACTGTCCGATGACAGCATGCAGCTTTGTAGGTTTAGGGAGGTATGTTTGGTCAGTGCCAAGAACAGCCAGTAGGAATCAGGTCCCACCCCCACCCCCAACACTTCATTCCAAACATTGTTAATATTTCTGCTTGATTTTAATGTGATTACAGGCAGAGCTGTTGGGGAAGAGGACGGTAGTCTTCACTCAGATCACACTTCAGCCTCAGAACTTCTAGTGGCCTGAGACGAGTCCCTATTGTTTTGGTATTTCCCTAATACACACTCCCTCTCACCCATATAAAGTATGATAATATTGTCCCACCAGAGAGGGTTGTTGAGAAGCTAAGAGAATATGGGCAAAGTGAAACTGCTTTGCATCTGCAGAATGCTGGAAGTCCCCAATCTTGAGTTTCTTAAAAGCATTATTTGTAGCGAAGCCACTCTTGAGGTAAGAACTCGCCTTGCAGGCTCAGAAAACCTCCAAAAAGGGGGATTGGCAGTAAGGGGGCGGGGTGGGCAGAGACCCATCGTAGTTAGGTAAGAGAGGGTTCATCCCCAAGCCAGAGGGCAACATCCCCCACAGCTGCCATCTTTCTTGAGGCTGATGGGATGGGGACACATGACTAAAGGATTCCCTTAGGTAACAGGCTCAATTTATGGGCATGACCATGAATGCCAATAGCTATTAAGTTAAGCTTGTCACCAAATTCAGCTGAATTAAAGAGGGGGAGAGCACTGGTATGCCAGCTAAGAGCTATGAGCACCTGGAACACGAATGAGAAGAGCATCAAGCACCTAGGTGGCTCTTACAGCCACTTCCCCTCTAGTCTATGGGAGCGGAAGGAGCAGAGGAAATAAAAAATGCACACATTTCCAGACACCAACCATGGCTCCATCACCCTGATGGTGCCCTCTAGCTGCTGTTGGACTCCAACTCCCATCATCCCTTACCCTGGCCATGCTGGCTGATGGGAGCTGAGAACCTAACAGCAGCTGGAAAGTTAACAGGTTAGGGAAGACTGATCCCTTGTACAAAGTCTATTGCAAGAAAGAATGACCGATTAAGTCACCAGAAGGCACTACATTTAGCCTCCCTGAAGGATCAGAGTAAGCATGTCTGGCTGTATCTTTTGCCTTCTTGCCCGTTGGGAGGCTTCTGTGCCCCTGCTTTAAGTAGCCAACAGTCTGGAGAAAATGGGTCTCTTTTATTGTCCTTATTTGTTACAGGAGAAACCAGAGGCTCTGTCCTCATTAGCGGCTCATGCACTTTGCAAAATTTCCAGTCACACGAGGCAGGGGCTTTGGAAAGCGGGGAAGGATTGAAGCAGAGGGGTGCTCAGGCTGAGCTGGGTTCAAAAAGCAGAAGGTTCAAGTGGTTATTGTCAGTGTTAATTACCAGTGTTAATTCTAGCCCGATTCTGGTTCCTGAAGAGGCCAGGTCACAGATTTCTGAAACCAGAACTCACTGCGATCCAGGAATAAATACTATGACCATACAGTGTATTTCTCATTTCATCAGCTCTGAAGGAAGTTGGGATAACTGGCATGTGGAAAAATGAATGGGGCAGTCGGGTAGGGGTGTCAACATGAATAAAGATCTTTACTTGAAGGTGCCATGGGTTAACCAAGGAGATGGATATTACTAGACCAGAACTTGGTTCAATGGAAGATGCGAGAGAAAAATATTTGTCCAACAAAACAACTGAGGAGCAGCAACACCTAATTTCAAGAGGAAAAGGGGGCAGGAGGGATGTAACAGGCTTCATGGAATCAGTTATCGTTTTACTTAGGGTAAGAGCTGAGGTGGGGACAGATTGGGGGGGATATGATCCGGATCCAAATGAGTGGGGCGAACCCAGTTATACAAACGAATAAAGTGGCGCAAGGGATGCACCACACTGTGTGTGTTTCAGGAACTGGCAGTTACGACAAACAGCTTGTTTTGGCATTCAACACCCCCAGGGATCCTGCATAAATGTCATCAAGGAAGGTGTTCCAAGGACCAACAGAGAGGCAACTCCAGCCTCCTCTGTTCGTGTCTGTAAAAGGAGCTCTACACTGCCACCAGGAACAGAGGGCCAAAAATGGGACTCCTGCAACCTCTCCGTTGCTTTCTTGCAGCACAAGAGCACCCCTGGTCTGCGGTGGGAGCAATCTTCCATCGGGAATGCTATTGCCTCTGATTTGGCACTCACTTGGCCCTCCCACTCCTATCTCCCCACCCTGCCTCCATCCGCACGACGCCTTTTGTGTACATCAAAACGCTTATGGCGACTTTTACTCCTTTTCCGGGCCAGCTTCCTGCTGTGCTCAGAACAAAGACAAGCTGACAGAGAAACAGTTCCTCTTAGTGTATCATATTATATCAGCTGCTAGAGAGAGAGAGATGATGATGGACAGGAAGATTCAAACGTGTTAAAAGAAAGGCTTACAAATTTCCCAAAGTGCATTTTGATTTCGGAACGTGGATATGAGCACCGTGTTCTTTGCATTGCCGAACAGCCGCAAGGGTCTACGGGGAGGAGGCCGCGAATGTGGCCGCTCGCTCCTTCACCTGAAGTAGCCCGCACCCCCTCCACTTCCTGCAAGAATAAAATCGACACCTCACCCACCCCGCCCCCCATTATCCACCTGCCCCAAGGCTCCCCCCGCTGAAGAGGACACTGGTTGCTGCAGGGGAAAGGGGGGCTCCTAGTCTGCAGCCCGCCCCCTTGCGTTGACAGGGGCAGGCTGGAAATGCTGGCCATCGTCAGCTGTGCCAGTCAAGCAACGGCCCCCAGCTGCAGGGTCTGGGTGCCACTGTCTCGTTAGAGTAGATTCCTCTCATTTTGTCCCACAATGTTACGTTGGGTGTCAAACCACCTTCTTCTGCCACCGATCAGGAAATAAGTCGCATCCCCACCCGTCTGAAGACGTCATCAAATCCAGGGAGGAAAGATGGTGCCATATCTGCTGGCTCCTGGGCACAGAACTCAGCACCTGCCCTCTTTCCCACCAGATTAGCTGTCCGCATCAATCCGGTGAGCTGTGGGGGTAGCAAAAAAAGGGGTGGGTGGGGAGAGGAGAGACTGTTTTATAGAGGCTGAGGTCAAGGCACACTTGCAAAAGAGCCACCACTGAGGGAGGTGTAAAGGCACTTTTTAAAAATAAGAAGTGGGCAACAGTGGGTTCACCCCCAGGAGACCCACATTGTGCTCCTCCCACCCCTGTAAAGCACCTCCTGCAGAATGGCAAAGGAGAGCAGGAAGCAGCCTGCCTCCAGCCCTATGCAGCATGCCACCATCCACGGGGGAAACTGGCAGGGAGGCCCCCAATCCAAAATCCTGGCACGGAAATCAATTTTGTGGGCCGTGGCTCTAAGCTATCATAGCTGCAAAGTTGGGGATTCTGAAAATCTGGGTTTACCCTGCCCTGCTGCAGCTGTGTACATAGGGGCATGAAGGAGCCTCCAGAGGCGCAGAGCAAGGCTGCCGTTCCTTTAGGAGCCGGAAGCTGCTCCCCAAACCAGCAGAAGTCACACTGCATGGATCTGGCCAGTCATCTCTGGGCACTCAGGATAGGCCTCATCCTGAAGGTGTGCAATATTTCTGCCACCTTGGGGACTGGAAGCTTCCTCTCTACTTTGTTGATTTTATCAACTCTAAATTATTATTAACTTTAATTTGCTACTCAAGCTATTATTTGTCCTCCACCAGCAGGCCCCACAGTGAGTTACAACAATTTCATTTTTTAAAAAGAGTTAAATCAGTCCCAGGAATATCTCCAGTGTCAAAGACCAAGGTACAAGAGGTGGGTCATTTGACAATGAAATCAGGTTTAAGGGGTTCTCTGTGCATCCTCATAGTCATGCTTAAATTGCTGGAGGAAAGTCTTGAGATTCATGCCTTGGCTCCATGCAGCAGTGTGCTGTGGCCACAACCCTCTCAAACTCACAGCCTCTGTCAGCGGGCTGAAAGAACATGAAGGCAAAGGAGGCAGGAGTGAAATTTGGAGAGGTGTGTGTCGTCGTCATCCCCCTGACCCCATGAGTCCTTGCAAATGCAATCTTCCCATCCCCTGCCCACGTGGCAGCTCCTCAGTGGAAGGGCAACGGATGCCTTTACCAGGCCTGTAGAGGGGCTGGAAGCGGAAGCAGCAGACCAGGGCTTTGCTACTTACACTGCTTTGGTATCCGAAGGGCCTCGTTGTCGCCAGACATCACTTGATGCAGGACTCCTCGGAACTGGTAGAGGACTTTCAGGCTCTTATCCTCCCCGACACAAGGGTCGTAGAACCCAGGCAGGCCGGCCTGCAAGAGAGGAATGGTCACACGCTGAGTCAAGGAGAAGGGTGGTTATAGAGATCTGATCATTAAGTAACTGGTTGGGCCCGTCTTGAAACCTCCTGCCATTGGAAAACTCTGGATGAAAAAGTTTAACGCTCGGATATGGCCACCAGCTTTGAATGATAAATTGATTCAGAAATGCAAGAGGGCCAGGGGAGAAACACATGAAGGCAACTTTGCAGCAGTCTGGTGCCAGTTTATCTCTTCTAGAAACCTTAACAATACATCAATTTAACGCCGTCTAATCACCTAATCACCTAATCACCTAATTCCTTGAGTTCAGTTGATTCTTTTGATGCAGTTTAGTTGGCAGTTCTTCCTCTCCTTGGTATTTGCTGTGTTTGGTGCTGTTTTTAACCACTTTATGTTAAAAATTCCAATAAAAATGTAATTACAAAAAAGGAAGAGATGATGGTGGTTGTGCAGAAGTATGCACTGTGTGTAAGGGCTAGTGCACTTGCGTGCGCGCACACATACACACCACAGAACCATTGTGAAGCTTGGCTTCTGTACCCTACTGGAAGTCCAACCAAAGGTTTACAAATCTCCCCTCATGATTGCCTGGCTTGGGCTGGCAACCACCCCAAGGCGCCCTCAGAAATGGAACAGGTGAGTTGTGTGGGCTTATCTGCTTCCCCACCTCCCTGCACACTGGCCTCCTCCTTACCTTGGATGCTTCTGTAAGGATGAGCTTGGAGTCTTTCACCAGGCACTGCAAGGGCACAGTCACGTCTATAACCTTCACCTTCTCGTTCCTCCTGCTCTGGTCATTGACGAATTTCCCATACCAGGCATTCACCACAATCAGGCCTGCATTGTTAACGAGAAGAAGCTGTTGGCGCAGAGGACACTTTCAGGAAACAGGGGAGCGCCCCCCCCCTCCAGGCAAGTAGAGAGAGAGAAAAAAAGAGAGGTCTGCCCAGGCCTCTCACTACATATAATCAAAACAGATGAGCACACAAATCCCTCCACCGGGATAGAGGCTCCCCCTTTGAGATTCCATATATTCTTCCACCTTAGAGGCTAGGACCTTCATTTATTTTTTAAAGAACTACTGAGGTTCTTGGGTTGCTGATTTCTGCAACTAGTACCAAACCCTGAGCTAGCACAGTACAATAGGAGGTGCCTTACACTGAGCAAGCTCAAGCTCAGCTTCATCCATGTCAATGGGAATAGGCTCTCCAGGGATTCAGACGTTGGTCTTTTTTCTGGCCCTACCCCAGAGGTGTCGAAGTATGAACCTGAGACCTTCTGCATGCAAAGCAGGTGCTCCACCACGGACCTACGGCTCACCCGCCACCCATATGGGATGGATATGCCCTTGCAGATAAACTAGAACCAATTGGGCATTCCAGAATCATTAAAGCAAACGTTCTGGGGCACAACCTCTTTCCACTTAGTGTTTCCTGTTCCAATAAGAGCAGTAAGCAACACAGTAGCATTTACGAACCCAAACAGAAGTGTGCAAACACCTCAAATGCCTGAAGGGCAGACTTGGGTGGAAGAAAAGGGAAATCAGCACTCCTTACCCATCCTGGCTTCTTCAGCCTCAATAATTCTCCGGACAGATTCCTGCATCAGCCGCACCTAAGCGAGGGGACAGACCAGGATTCGGCATCAAAAGAAGAAGGCTTATTTATTGTGTTTGCAAATATTCTTAAAGGGAAAAAGGAGGAGGAGGCGGCCTTTATAGGGACTGCACTTGTGTAAAAACAACATGTGAGCCAGGAATGGTCTAAGCTCTGCCTCTTCCATCACAGGAGGCTGCAGAAGGTTGCCCTCCAACTCGTGGAAAGCAACAGGGATGGCGGACCTTTGGGCATTTTGGGGTTGGTTTTGTGTGTGAGAACACCTGAAAGGGGAGCCCCTAGAATGTGTTGCTCAGAGGCAGAGAGGCAAAGTGGGAGCTGCAGCAGTAGGACAATCAAGCGCAAGACCCAACTCCTCTCTAGGAACCTCATAAAAACAAGACCGGAGGGAAGGGCCAAGGCTTGAGGGTGTGTTCTCCTTCAACACACTACGCTACAAGGGGCACGAGGAGGAATAGGATGATGATGAAGAAGAAGAGTTTGGATTTGATATCCTGCCTTTCACTCCCTTTAAGGAGTCTCAAAGCGGCTAACATTCTCCTTTCCCTTCCTCCCCCACAACAAACACTCTGTGAGGTGAGTGGGGCTGAGAGACTTCAAAGAAGTGTGACTGGCCCAAGGTCACCCAGCAGCTGCATGTGGAGGAGTGGAGACTCAAACCCGGTTCCCCAGATTACGAGACTACCGCTCTTAACCACTACACCACACTGGCTCTCTGGATGTGAGCAAGAGCAAGGCTTGCTCAGCAGCTGCAGAGGTTTTGCTGCCTACATGCTCCCAAGCATAACTTTGCAAGGACTAGAAACATGTTTCACAGAGAGAGGTGGATTTCTGCACTTGTGTGTGGAATTGCGTCACACTCGCAATTTCTCCAGGGTTGCAGGACGAGGTGTTCTCCAAAAAGTGGTGCCAGGTTCTCTCACCTGCCTCTGATCTGGAAGGCCTCCTTACCACATGCGATTGGAGCCTGTCATTGTAACTCAGCCAGGAGGGATGTGCACTCTGCAGCCTGCCCAGAGGCATTTGGATCAATTCTCCCTGCACTCCTGTCTGGATGCTGGCACTGCCCAGAGGTGACCAGGCAAAGTCTCTCTCTCTCTCTCTCTCTTTCAGCCTCGATAATGGAGATTTGTTGTAACAAGAAATGCATTAGCAAGGGCTAGATTTACTAGTGGCCTTGTGGATGCTTGTCATCAAGAGGCAGGGTCAAAATATATGAAATAAGTGAGAACCTTAGACATTGAACGAGACCAAGGTGGAAACATCTAGCCCAGTACTGTGCATCTCATAAGACATCACTTGGAAGTGCACATACCAGGTGTGAAGCAGACAAATGACAAATAAAAAGAAGTCAGGGACTAAACCTAGGACATGTAAAGCATATGATCTATACAGTGGCGTAGCGTGGGATGTCAGCACCCGGGGCAAGGCAAGTAATTTGCGCCCCCTAACCCCAACCCCCAGATGTTGCGCCCGGTGCGGCCGGCCCCCCCTGCACCCCCCACGCTACGCCACTGGATCTATAAGAGACATGGCCCTGGCCCCCAAAACTGGCTACAGTCACACTCTTGCACGTGTTCTGTTTTTGAAAACACACACATTCTTTCTCTCGCCAGTAAAGGCAGGCGATGAGGCAATTAAAACAGACTCAGTTACATAAAAACCTGATTAAAAACAAAATAAACCCAACGCTTTCAAAAATGAAGACAGCCAAGAGTGACAGTGAAAATTTGTGAGAGGGCTATGCAAAACTCACAAGGGTGAGTTAGGAAGCAGCAACTCACCAGACCTCCTCAAACACCCACCCACACTGTATTTTCAGTTGTCAAAGTGATTTTTGAAGGGAAGAAAAGCCCTTGAGATGAAGCCCAGATCAATTATTCCAAGGAGGAAGTGCACAGAGAACCCTAAATTATCCAGGAACGGGGAAGGAAGCAAGACTTGAGACTCACTGCGGCTTCTGCTTCCTGTTTCTTCTGGAAAGTGTCGCTGGCCGTGCTCTCCCGCTGCTTCTCCAATTCTCTAACGTTCAGACAGGGGAGAGGAAGGAAGAGGGTTTCACTGTCGTCTGGGCACCTGCCTCCCTTCCCACTTTCCCCCAACCAGTTCCCTGAGAAAAGCAGCCATGCCGCACGAAGGCTGGGCCAGCTAGTGCATTAAGGATGGCAGAGAGACAGAACAACCGGACTCATGCAAGCCAAGCCCAGTGAAACGAGCAGGAACGCTGCTTACTTCTCTGCTGCTCTTGCAAGTATCAAGGGCCCCCATAGCAGGAGGGCTTCCCAATGATGATGGATTGCATCTCATGTTAATTGGCGAGAGCAGGAAGGTATCCTTTGGACAGTTTTCTATGCAAGTCACAGAAATACCCCCTTTGCAGCCCAGAGTCTGGCTCCTTCTTTTCGCTCCAAAAATCCCTCCACCCTCACAGTAGAGCTCTGTGGAAAAGAGCAGGAGGGTGTCTCCCCCCCCCCCCCCGCCAAACCACCACCCCTGCTTTCCCCACAGTGGCCGGCCAGAAACTTCCAGAAGGACCACAAGCAGGCCTGGAATGCTACAAACCTCGCTTGCTGCCCCACCCCCCGGCAGCTTGTTTCCAGAGATGTGCTGCCTCTGATGTACACACTGGGCAGCCCTCTCCTCCATCACCAGCTGCCTTTGCTGTGCTGTGCCCTGCGGGTCAGTTCCACCTCTATCCTCCCCCAGTGCATGCTGGGAATGCTTTCGGGGCACTCACTTCTCCTTCTGCGCCCTCAGGTAGGGCCTGATGATGAGCCTGTGCATGGCGAAGTAGATGACGAGGGGCCCCGCCGTGGCGTAGAAGACCGCGCTGGGCAGCAGCTGGTCCGTCAAGTGGATGGGGAAGAAGTAGGTCTGGCTGGCTCGGTTCAGCCTGAGATGCAGGGGAAAGCAGAGCAGTTAGCTGGCAAGGCAGGCACAGAGAACCTGCAGGAGCCAGCTTCAAAAACACTAGGGGCCAGGGGAGGGAGAGAGCATGCCCAACTCTCTGGTTCCTTGTCCTGCTCAATCATTTGCTGCCAATGGCGATGGGACTCTGGTGACCCTGGTGTGGCAAGGGGTGCCTTGAGCGGCGGGAGGCCCACAGCCAGAACTCTAGAGCAGGAAGAGGAGGGCCCCAAACCTGCTGGGGCCCACCTAGATGACACACGTCTGCCCAGGCACACAAATTTAAGGAAATCCCTCCTCCATGTTTCATTACTCAAGGCTGCTGAGCTTTTTTAGCAGTGGGCGGGAAGAGAGCGAGAGACAGGCTCTGAAGTCCGATCACTGATCTTCCGCTTTTCCCAGGCCGTTCTGCTGTGTTCTGGAGCCCTCTGCTGGCAAAACCGAAACATGCCAACCAGAATGATAGCGGCACACATTGTGATCAGTGTCTCCAGCAGACGCAGCTTTAACAGGTGTCTGGTTGTTAGACATACTGTGTTGCCCCGAAGGTGAACTTGCTCCAGAGGCTGTGCTGACACCATGTGAGTACTCAACATAACCCTACAATTCACTGGAAGTAGCTATAGCTCATATATGTTTACAAATCCCTGCTTTGATATCCTAATTGGCCTAGCTTTCATGGTACCCCTATTTGTGGGAACTGGGATTTGGGCTCAGAGCCTAGAAGAGGAACCCTGTAATGTTCTGGGTGCCTACCACCTGCACCACTGATCAGTTGGCTGACATAAACTGCCTTAGTGTATAAACAATGTATGTGCTTTAGGCTGGGTGCAGACAGTCCATTGTAGGACAAGCCACCTCCTTGCTGTGGAGGCTACTTGCTGTAGCGTCCATCCTACATCTGCAAGGGCAAGGGGAAATGACAGGCTGCTTCTCGCTGTAGGTCTATTTCTCTTCTTGAATAAGGCATTAGAACTGATCTTCCCTGGCACTTCCGCAAATCTTGAACTCCTAGAGCCCTCCTCTGGCTCTACGGCCTGGGTGCAGGTCAACAAACAAACAAAGTGTGATCATTCTGAACTACTAGTCCCTTGGAGGGGCAAGGCCCAGGGGCTTGAGGAGCTCACAGTGGGCATCGTGCTGAGAAGTCGGACTAGGCAAGGGGGCCCAGGCATACCAACCCTTACATGCAGCTCAGTCCAGTGGCTTTCCATGAAGTCTCTCGGCAAGTACCAGGAGCAAAATGCAAGACCAGAGGCAGGAGGAGCCGCTCCCTAGAACAACCTTCCCCAACCTGGTGCTGATGACTGCTGCTGTCCAGGGCAGCCAGAGCGCACCAGTCTATGGAAAGCAGCCTCAGAACTCAGGCTGCCAACTCACTTGATTTTCAGAGAGACTCCCTGGGGTACGCCAACACTGACGGTGGCTCCAAGGACACTGTGCCGGGAGATTTTCCGCTCCGCCCCATATTCCACGATGGTCCCAAAGAAACCAGCTCTGAAACAAAAGCATTTGGGAACAGTAAGCAGAGGGACAGGCTCTGCCTCTCGGGATCACCGGGTCTCATCTTCCGCATACCTCGCCAACTCACCCCCTTGCCTGATGGGTCTCCCTTCCCCTCCAGAAAGGAAGAGGCACTGAGGCAGCACCTGGCATGCCTGCTACATCTGGTTTCCAGATGGTGAGCACTGCAGCTGCAGAAAGATGCCAACCTCTTGCCCATGAATCCTTAAAGCAACCACTGCAAGAGGTTGACTCCCTTTCACAAACCCCTATGCCGAAAGCTGCCTCCTGCCTGCTAGTTATACCTGCCAGGGGCAACCCTCTGCGCTGGGACTTACTTGAGAGATCCTTTCACTCGCGTCTGATCCTCGTCCTGAAACTTGTGCTGGTAACTGACCATCATGAAGGAGTGAGGGATGCCCAGCTGTGGCATGAGAGAAACGGGAAGGTCAGCCAACCCTCTTTCTTCCTTCGCTTCCGTCTCCCTTGCTTTCACCCACATATGCCAACACACCTCCTGCCCCTTGCCTACTGGCAGTAGATCCCAGGCAGACGAAAGGGAGTCACTTCTCCATACTATGCCTAATTCATTCATGCAACTCACTGTCAAGAGACGCAGTCGTGGTTTAGGTAACTTTATAGGCAGACTGGTCCATTTCATGCAGTAGGGTAGGGTTGTTCACAATAGCTATACATGGCCATGTTCAGAGACCACGCTGTGAAGCAAGGCTCAGGTATAAACAGTTGGGTGGCCCACACAGATTCCTCGGGAGTGGATGAAGCCTCATCCCCCTCTTAACCCCCAGAGTCACAGGCCAGCCAGCAGATCCCAAGAGGTGACTTATCAATTCAAGTCGCTCCACTTCAACTCAAAAGACTCCCTGAGTTGCCAGCACAGGTCTCCCCCACCCTCAAAGAGCAGACAGTCATTGCAAAGAACAGTTGGAGCCAAAGGAAGGAGGGCCGCCCAACCTGAAACGCCATCGTGAAGTGGCTGGTTTTGGTGTCCCGGACGATGCTCGTATTCATTGCCGACTGAATGCCCCAGCGCCACTGCAAGTAGCCCATGGTGTTCTTGTCCAGGTTCCTTGCCAGGACGGTCGTAAGGCCCGGGCGGATCCCTCGGGAGGAGAACTGCAGTGCACAGTTTGTCGTGACAAAGCTGCGAACAAGGGGATGGCAGGAAGAGGCTTAGAAGGAAAATCCTCTCAGTGAAACTGAAAGGTTTTCCCTCTCCTGTTTAGGCAACTGCTGCTCACGAGGAGCCTCTCTCCCCAGCTACACCCTGCTCCCTAGCTACAGCCACATCCATTCCCTTTTTAAGGCCAGGAGAGCTTGAGGTGTGCAGCAGACAAGTTCTCCCAGCTTCAATTAGAGCCTCCGACTTACAGATGGACATGCACGCCTCCTCCTCCTCCAGCAACATCTCTTGGGAGTTGGGAAAGGAGAAGAGGAGGATTATCAGCTTGGGATTCTGGAAGCTGCTCAAAGCTCCGTCATGCTCTGATGTGTACATAGATCCCCACACACCAAACCAAGCTGCCCTGTTCTCTTCAGGGGCAAAACGCCAGCCTACAGCACACTCTCTGCCTCTGCCCTCTAGGAAATGTGCTGGGCCTGAAGAATGGAGTCAGCTGCATGCTATGCCAAGGACAAATTGACACAGGGGCCAGCTCAAGGGTCTCGGTTGGCTCTGCCAGAGTCAACCCACAGGGAGACTGGGCCCTATCCATTCCAACTGCTGCATGCCCACACAACAGATGCCAGGAATGAAACAGGAACGAGCAGCAGTTACTGGCCCCCGTGTTGATTGCACTGGCCTTACTGCTGCTAGCCCAGGCATGTACCGTCATCTCTGCTGACACTTGTAGATCTAGGAAATGCGTGGAGTCAGTTATTAGCTGGCCACTGGTCTGTGGCAGAGCACAGGTGTTGCAGGCCAGTCCCTGGTGTTATAAGACTTCTAAGGTCTCAGATATAGAATAAATGTTCATAAATGTACAAGGCAAACACGCATACTTAAGTATATAAACCATGTGTCTGAAATAGTACAGAAGAGCAATCGTGAAGCCATTTTGACTCTCCCAAATTGACCTCAAATATTTCTCTGCAAGAAGGAAGGAAATGGGAAAAGCTTTCCAATTGTCTTTGGACTGTAGGGGCTTACACCTCCCTGAAAATACAGTCTGGCAAGTATCCGTTAGGCTGAGCAAACTATATTTGTAAGAAATTCAGGATTCAATATTTGTAAGAGATAAAGGAACTAAAGTATTTACCATCTCAAAGGAATGGCCAGGCTACTCAGAAAATGCAATCAAGTAAGGTATTATCAGGTATCCTGGCAGACAGGAGTGAAGCAACACACTCAAATTTCTGCTGGAGACTGCCTCCTTCTGTGATGTATGTATGATGTTTAGGAGGGTGGTCTTGGGCTTTCAAGAGGCTTTGAGAAGTCTTTACAGGGGCTTGTACACCATTGTTTAGGGTTCTCCTCCCTCCTGCATGTGGTGAGTGGGGACCTTGTTGTAACAGTTTATTTCCTTTAATAAAGATCAGGCTTACTAGCCGACTTTGCTTTCAATATACTCTGGTTGGCCTCTGCTTTCTCTCTGACCAATAGAGATCTCCTGAGGGACTCTCTATGGGCTCTAGATGCCCCATAAGGGAATTAAGAGGTATTTTCTTATAACAGGGGCAGCTCCAGGCCAAAGACCCCAGACAGCTGCTGCCCATCAATGATGACAGCACTGGGCAGCTTTGGATCAGTGCGATAGCTGGGCCTGCCCTTGCTGCCCACTAGGAACTGAACTGGAAGCTGTCAAAAGCGGCAACTTTTCCAATATTTCCTTTTGGAAAGATTTGAGCTAAGGCCATCTTCTGGCCACAGAGGGATATTGCACCCCAGTAAAGAAGAGGCTCTTGACGATGGACAAGCAGGATTCAAGGGCAAGCACACTCTCCCCTCCCGCCGTTTCCAGCAACTGGCATTCAGAAGCATTTATTGCCTCCAACCGTGGAGGCAGAGCAGAGCCATCGAACCAAGTTTAGTCCTAACCTGCAACCCACTTTGAATATTTTAAACTTCCTGTGTAAGCTTTTCTCTTTCCCATACTACACTCCCTTCTTTTTGCATTTCCCCCTCTCTCACCTCTAACAAACAAAATGACAACTGGAGGGTCAAGGAAAATCCAGCCGGAACAGAAATACAGAGGAATACATGTGGGCAAGAAATTCAGGGATCCCTCTCTTTGGTAGATGGTGCTAACTCCCAGGGGCTGCCAGAGTAGAACCCTTACACCTGGCAGAGGAAATGGGGCTGGGGCTGGGTGACCCCTGCTGTCTCTCCCAAGTTCAATTTGTGCTTGGGGAGAGTCCATGCAGCTGGGGGGTGGGGGAGGTTTCCCTACTAATATTGACTTGTCCTTTTGAGAAAGAGAGAATGAAAGAAGAGGGAGAGACACTTGATCCTCTTTCCTGCCCTTTCCAAACTGTAGGGCCTACGAGAGGCAGCTGTCTGTCTCACTGGAAGGCCAGGGACACTTTGCAGGCACCTGCTCCTGTTTCAAGACTATACTTTGCCACATCGGCTGAAAAGCACTTTCATATGGAGATGCTAGATGGACCTTGGATCCACCATGGGCCTCTTTCATAAGAAAGAACTTAATACAGTGGTACCTCGGGTTACAGACTCTGCTAACCCAGAAATAGTACCTCGGGTTAAGAACTTTGCTTCAGGATGAGAACAGAAATCGCGCAGCAGCGGAGCAGCGGCAGTGGGAGGCCCCATTAGCTAAAGCGGTGCTTCAGGTTAAGAACAGTTTCAGGTTAAGAATGGACCTCCAGAAAGAATTAAGTTCTTAACCCGAGGTACCACTGTACAGCAAACGATTCTACATCTCTGAATCCATAGGTTTGGCATGGTGACATTATTTACATTTCAGCCTGCCATGTATTTTCTGAGAGACACCAGGGCCCTGAAAGAAAAGGTAACCATAAGATGGAAAACTGGCTTCCTACTGGTTTCAGACTCTGAATGGCACTGTGGGTGGTTAATATCAGTGCCACTGTGTATGCTGGCTGGTTGCCTATAGATGCAAGAGACACATAGAGATAGTGATGAAGAACTGGTTGCATATTCTGTTTTTTAAGGTTTGATGTTCGGTTGTATTTTTATATATGCTGTAAGCTGCCCCAAGTGGCTGGGGAAACCCAGCCAGATGGGTGGGATATAAATAAGATAAAAATAATAACATCACAAATCAGTCCTGTTCCTTCTAGGAGTGGGAGGTTGTCCTCCACCCCTTTCTAAGTCTTACCATCTTTGTGTAAGATTCCGAAACACCTTCAGGCCAAACAAAGGCCCCTGGAGGTCTCCAGCTCCGAACTCTATCTGCACAAAAAGAAGACGGACAAGCATTAGGAAGCAAGAGCTACAGAGGTGAGATCAGCGTGACTCAGTTAAGCTCTGAGGTTGGTCAGAGAGCTCAATGTCGTGAGCTGCCCACAGCCCTTCACTGGTATAAGCTGCCTTTAACTATTCCTCTATGGGAGCTACTCGGATGCATGGATAGGCACTGGAGTGCATGGCCAGGGAGAGGAGGTAGGTGGTGCTTCCTCTCCTGGAACACGGCAGTGCTCCCAGCAGGAAATTAACTGTGCAAGTCTACATGGTAGCCTAGTCCAGCACAGTGACATCACTCAACTTCGAGAAAGTGGGGAAAAAAGGAAGCTCTGGGTGCCCTAAAACAGGAAAATCACTGACCTCCCACCAACAAGGAAGGCAAAGATAGAGGTGCAGCAGCAGCCGCCCGGAAGGCTCAAAACACAGCAAGAAACAGGGTGAAAACTGGGAGAAACGAGTCCTCTTACCTCTCCCCAGCCTTTGGCAGACGTCACACGCCTCAGAGCCAAGTTCACAGAGCCGCCTCCATTCCCGTTCTGCGTTGAGAGGTTTCCCGACAATATCGCAGTGTCTGTGGCCGTCAGTGGAGCCTGCAAGAGAAAGGCAGCTGCAGTGGCGTAGCATGGGTTGTCAGCACCCGGGGCAAGGCAAGTAATTTGCGCCCCCTAACCCGTAGATTTGCGCCCCCTAACCCGTGGATTTGCGCCCCCTAACCCCCAGATGTTGCGCCCGGTGCGGCCGGCCCCCCCTGCACCCCCCACGCTACGCCACTGGGCAGCTGTCTTGTTGCAGCTCATAGAAGTCCTGCACAATCTACAGCAAGCCTGACTCTCAGTGGCAGGTGTCACCAAAAGCAGACCCACCTGGATGGCACCCCTTTACAGTCTCCCATATAAATGAATGCTTAAGATGCTGTCTCAACATCAGGTGGCCTCACCTGAGTGGGTACAGGGAGAGAGTAACATAACTCTGTGTGCACTGATGCTCTCTGCACACAGGAGACAAGTTCATGGAGGGGAAAGCTACTGATGGCAAGCCATGACAGCTGTGCTCCGCCTCCACACTTAAGAGGCAGCAATGCTTCTGAATACCAGTTGTTGGAAACCACAGGACAGGAGAATGTTATTGCCCTTGGTTCCTGCTTGCAGGTTCCCTGCAGGCATTTGGTTGGCCACAGTGAGAAATACACTCTATGCCCCAACACTGTGTGGCCTCATCTACGTGGGTAGAATGTGTGCTGCACGGATGCTCTCTGCATGTAGGAGGGGTGGACATACATGCCCAAGACGTGGAATCAGATTAACCGGTGAATTTGAGGGCAATCATCTGCTGCAGATACACACTTAGACAAGACTCGAGGTGTGATGATTCAACCAAACCACTGAATAAGTCCACTGTATGCTTTCTTTACACTCAGCCTCCTGGCATTTGACCCCTCTCAGAAGGTGCACTGTTGACTAGTTTTATGAATGCCCCTCCGCCGCTTGCTGTCCTTGGCGTGTCCCGGAATGCTCCATCATATTGCAGCTCAACTAACAGTGGGCAGGGGATGCTGACCAAGTGTGCAGAAGAAGCAGAGAAGAGTCTTTGGGCTTCCCCACTACTACTAACAGCGGGACGCAGGTGGCGCTGTGGTCTAAACCACTGAGCCTCTTGGGCTTGCCGTTCAGAAGGTCGGCGATTCGAAACCGTGTGATGGGGTGAGCTCCCGTTGCTCTGTCCCAGCTTCTGTCAACCTAGCTGTTCAAAAGCAATACCAGTGCAAGTAGATAAATAGGTACTGCTGTGGCGGAAAGGTAAACAGCGTTTCTGTGCGCTTTGGTTTCCGTCCCGGTGTTCTGTTGCGCCCGAAGCAGTTTAGTCAGCTGGCCACGAAAGCTGTCTGTGGACAAACATTGGCTCCCTCAGCCTGAAATGTGAGATAAGCGCCACACCCCATAGTCACCTTTGACTGGACTTAACCATCCAGGGGTCCTTTACCATACCTTTTTTTTACTACTACTAACACCCTCTGCCTGGGAAACAGCTTTTGAGCAACACACGCAGAGCCTGTGAAGTCTCTCTGCTTCCAGAGATGGGAGGTGTGTGGCATACAAATGGGGTGCCCGAGCACAGCACTTGAGCGCATGAGAGACTCTGACAGCACATGGGCTCAGCCGCAAGTGAACCTTCCCTTCCCCACTTCCTCCAGTGCCATTTCGAAACAGATAATTGCATCCCTGAGCCAGATTTCATTTCCCGTTGCTCTGTGCTGAGGTGCCTCATTAACAGAGAAACCCTTTTTAATTTCTCTCTCTCTCTCTCTCTCTCACACACACACACACACACACACACACACACACACACACGTACTTTACCTCAATGGACTGCGATATGTGCATTTTGTTAATTTCAACATGGGGAAAGCTGCTCCCTGGCACTTCTTCGTACTCCTCATCGTACCGATCAAAGAGGTCAGTGGCGTCTATTCCAACGCTAATTGTCCCCTGGAGAAACAAAGAAACAAGCCCTTGGTGTTAAATGGCATTGTGCTCAGCTGTTTCAGTGCCTTGCTCTCTTCAGCGCCCAGTCTTCTTCTGCCTGGAACAGCAAGAAAAACCTTTGCTCTGCCATTTCCTTCGCAAGCCCTTCTGAAAACCCACCCCCCTAGAAGAGGAAGAAGGGTTTGAATTTGATATCCCGCTTTATCACTACCCTAAGAAGTCTCAAAGCGGCTAACAATCTCCTTTCCCTTCCTCCCCAACAACAAACACTCTGTGAGGTGAGTGAGGCTGAGAGACTTCAGAGAAGTGTGACTAGCCGAAGGTCACCCAGCAGCTGCATGTGGAGGAGCGGGGAATCAAACCCGGTTCACCAGATTACAAGTCCATTGCTCCTATCTTTGGCTTAACCTACCAATGCTCACTCACAGCTGCAGTTCCTTACATTCATCCCTATCCCTTGTTGGGGAAAACCTTAGTTCGTTACCAGAGACTTTAACGCTGAAAGACATGGGCCAGTTTTAAGCACCTTCAAATGGTCATCCCTGCATTTGTTCACCCCATGTAAGGGAAGCTTGCTTGATCAGGCTGGTGGCCCAACCAAGTCCAGCATCCTGTTGTCACAGTGGCCAATCAGATGCCCCTATGAGAAACCCTGTCTCCTCCTGTGGCTTCCAGCAACTGGCATTCAGAAACATTACTGCTTCCAGATGTGGAGGTACGGCATAGCCGTCACAGCCAGTTGCCACTGATAGCCTTAAGTATTCATCCAACCCTCTTTCCAAGGCATCCCAGCTAGTGGCTGTTATTGACTCCTGTGGCAGTGAGTTCCATAGTCTAACTATGTGCCCACCCCTATCTTCTCTGCCAAATTCAGCCTGTAAACTCCAAGCAAGAAAGTCTTGCCTCCTTGCTCTAGAACTGATGGCTCTATACTGCATAGGAAAGTGCAAATGTTGTTCACTATTATGAATGCACAAGCTGCATGTTCTTGTACCACCATCTATTTCAGAGAGTGGCCTGTGCAGATTAAGAGACAAACCCTGTTCCTCCATCCCATTTTTAAACATCTCAGAAAGACCTGCTCACTTAGATATCTAGGGGGAATCCAGAAAGGCTCAGAGATGGCTAATTTGTGCAGCTGCACCCCTAATGCTGGCGGGCAATCAAAGCGTCAATTAGGACCTCAGGATGTAGGCAAGGCCTGTATAAAATTAAACCCTGCACATGGCACCACTGTCAGAATGCGTGCAAGGGAAGACTGATTTGCATCTGACCCTCGAGAGACCAAAAATAAAACAAAATCCGCCTTAAGGCTCTTCTCCCCTACCATGCCAACCACCACCTGCAGAAATACTGCAGTACAAAATGGAAGATGTCAACAAGAGGCAAACAGAACCACTTGGAACAGGAAGGGCTGATCTTTATGATGGGTGGGTCTGTTCGCATGAACTTGGGAGTCCATTTGGCTTTTCAGCCCTGAAAATCATTTTATGAAGTGATGCATTTTTACAGCTCTTAGTAAGCGCTGTGCAAAAAATGAAGACATAACAGTCTCCACTAGCAGGCCTACAACAGGCTCCCTCAACCTCGGCCCTCCAGATGTTTTTGGCCTACAACTCCCATGATCCCTAGCTAGCAGGACCAGTGGTCAGGTATAATGGGAATGGTAGTCTCAAAACATCTGGAGGGCCGAGGTTGAGGAAGCCTGGCCTACAATCTAAGAGACACAGTGCAAAACTGAAAGAGGGGCAAGAGAAGGAAGACAAGGCTGGGGGGAGCAATGAGGCAACCGAGTTTTACTGGTGGTACCAAATTGTTCTGGGACAGAAGGGGAGCCTGTGTTAATGGCACCTCCAACCCAACCAGCCACTGTACAGAAAGGGTAGTAGGACCCTATCAAAGCATTTTTGCAGTTTCAAGTCCAGACCTGACCAAAGCTATCTAAAGACATCAGGGACATCTGTCTCAGAACCTTAACACCTTAAGGTCTGCCTCTCCCATACAAACCGACCCAGACCCTGCGCTTGGTGCCCAAGGCCCTTCTCTATGTCCTCCCTCCCAGAAAGGTTCGGAAGGCTGCAACAAGAGAACTGGCCTTTTCTGTGGTGGCTCCCCATCTGTGGAATGTCCCCAGAGAGGCTCACTTGGCACCATCATTAAATGTCTTCAGGTGCCAGGCAAAAACATTCTTCTTTACCCAGGCCTTTGGCCATTAAATATTCCATGGCCTGTTAAAGGTGGGGGTGCTGCTACTACAGTTATTTTATTATCATGCTGTCTATTATTATGCTATTTATTATGTTTTCATTATTGTGCTCTGTAAAATGTGTTCTTAAATGTTGTTCACCACCCTGGGATCTTTTGACAAAAGGCGGTATATCAATTGAATAAATAATAACTTTTCCCCACTGCTTAGGAATGTCCACCTCTAACAGGGTGCTGTTTTGTGCTGGAAAAAAACCTAAGATGTGCCAACATTTTATTCACTACGTTGCTCCTTGGAAGTGTGCCAGAGTGGCGCTCCCAAATCCATGCCTCTGAGAAGCAACTGAAGAGGAAAGGAGGAGCTAGGAGACCACTGAGCCCGAAACCTCCTCTTGGGTGCCAAAGACACTTGATGGGAGTTAAACAGATGTTTGTTGGAGAGCAACTGATCTAGGGATAAGAGAGATCACTCTTTTTTAGCAGGTCTAGTGGCTTTCCCACTGTGCTCCTCTGCGGAGGAGAAAGATGCCAGCCATCTCTTGATCGCACATCATAATCCTATGGGAGCACATAATCTCACAGCCGCATCCAGCTCCCCGAGAGTCTCAGCCCGGGTTTCACTTGCTGTTCTTTTTTAAACTAAGCAAGTATCCAAGTTAAACAAAGCTGTAAAGAAACACCAGAAGGAATAGATTGTGATGGTCAAATAGTTGGAGGCAATGGTGCTTTTCTGCCTTGTGTGGACTGCTCCCTGCCCCTCTCCCCACAAGTGGCAAGGCAGAATAAATGATATGAGATAAGAGATGCTTATGCAAAAATAATTGAATTGAACGGAATTCAGCTCTCCTTGGCACCAGCCCCCAGCAAAACTGGCCAATTCTACCCAGAGTGACTTTGCGAGGGGTATGTGAGCCACTTTCCCCTTCAGCTGAAGATGCTCTGGTGATATTTAAATGGGGGAGGGAGAACCAAACCAGGAAGCACCCCACCCCAAACTCCAGTAATGAGCAAGCAGAAACGCTCTTGGCTGCTGATTGGGAATGAAGGCTGAAAGCTGCAGTCCCTGCAGAGGGAGAACACAAAGTGAGATGCCATAAATTAAGCCCTGGCGCTTGCCAAACGAGACATGTTTTTCGCTGCCTCAGTCAGTCCTGTCCGCTATTCAGGCCACTATATACTCAGACGGCTGGCGGAGCTCAGATCCTGATTTGCTTCCCCCCACCCCCAGCCCGCTTGCTCAAGAAAGCTCCCCTATGGAGTGGGGTGTGTTTGTGTGTGTGTAAACCTGAGCCTTCAGAAAGTAATTCACTATAAATGCTTTATTTCTTGCCACAAAGGGAGGAAAGGGATAAAAGGAGAACTCAGAAATCTCTTCTGTGGTCGAGCAAATTCATCACTTTGAAAAGTCGCAGGACTGAGACCATCTTGTTGTTGATACTTTCACGCTCCTCTGGAAGCCCTTTTCTTGCAGGAACAGGGGCCGAAGAGCAAGGCAAAAAATGCTTCAAATAAATAAGTAACTTCACTCCACACTCATTTGCATGGGTGGAAGCAAATTGCTTTAAAATTTGCAATCTACATGCTCCTTCTTCTCTCTGATTTTAATGAGTCTTAGTGGGCTATAGACACCTCCGCAAGGTTGAGTCAACCTTACAACTTGCAAAAAACCAAACAAACCCCAAACTACATTTCTTTGTGATCTTCAGCAGAAATTCCTCTCTCACCTTGTCCTTATCCAGCTAGGCTGGACCTTCCATTCACACCTGGTGCCTGTGGTGCAAATTATTCCAAATAAGAGACACAGGTTATTTTTTAAAAAGAGAACCAGTGTGGTGTAGTGGCTAGAGTGCTGGACTAGGACTTGGGAGACTGGGGTTCAAATCCCCATTCTGCCACGAAGCTTGCTCATTGACCCTGGGCTAACTCTCTCAGCCTAACCTACCTCACGGGGCTGTTTTGAGGATGAAATGAGGAGAGGGGGAATTGGGTACGCCACCTTGAACTTCCTTGGAGGAAAGATGGGATATAAATGTAATAATAATAATAATAATAATAATAATAATAATAATAATAATATCACAAATCAGTGTGGTATAGTGACTAGTGTGGAGTCCCAGGTTCAAAATCCCCACTCAGGCATGAAGCTCTCTGGGCGACCTTGGGCAATCTCTCAGCCTAACCTACCACAAAGGACTATTGTGAGGATAAAAAGCAGGTACTGTCCTTGGAGGAAACCTAAGATATAAGCATAATAAATAAGATCAGCTGCAAGCCCTGTTTATGCAGGAAAGGCCTCTTTCTCTCTCTCTCTCCCTCACAAACACACAATTACATTAAATCCCTTTTCTTTTTTTTCTTAAAAACAAACCAACCAGAAGGGTTGGGCTTTTTTTCTCGGAGGAAGACCTGCTTCACCCACCCATTCCCACAGCTCTTTTTCCAACCCAGACGAGAGAAAAGACCCACAGATACGTCCACAAGTTGGTCTGAAATGAAAAAAAGAACCAGCTCCCTCCCCAAATGATTAAAAAATCTCCATGCTTGGTCTTCTGGAACCAATTCTCACTCACTGCAGGCTTCCTGGGAAATGGCTATTATCAAGCCTTCCCATGGCCTTGGGTGCTGGCACAGTTTAAGTGTCTGAGCAGCAGGAATGTTCATAGATATTCCGCAATACCTCCAGCAGTGGAGTCAGTAGCGAGGCAGTGCTAATTTCAATCCACAGAAGCCAGGGTTCAAACCAAGCGTGTTTTTAATTGAGTATTTCTCTCCAGTTGTGTTTCTTTGATTTGGAGGCTAATAATAATAATAATAATAAACACACTACTGTTTCCCTGCACACCCAGATAATCTGTATGGGTATATTAGATATCTCATTAATCTCTCATTGGCCAAAAAATTGTCCAACATGGCTTTGACTTTGCAGAGTTAACACAGATTATTATTTGTTTTAACCCAAGCTCGACCTCACACTGTTTGACTATGTTCAAAGACCACCAAGGAGGGTGGCTGCTTTTTGCCCAGCATTTGTGGGTGCAATAGATGGCTGCTTGTTGCTCCTCAGAGAAACAGCACAAATCCTCTAGGACTGAACAACCTTCACCTACAAATCTGAACGAAAGCATAAAAAGTCTTATTCTACCAGCTCCTCTGGGACAAGTAGGTGGCAGGCTGTTTTTTAAGCCCTGCTTTATTTGCTTGCCTTTCTCCACAAGGATGCCTTTTGCCAGCTACAGGCCGGGCAAGCCCGTCTAAGGGAGGTGCAGATAGTGAGGTCACGTGTCAGAGCCCATGCCGCACTGGCGAGGGAATCTGGCTTAAATGGAAGGAATTGGTGGGTGGGGGTCAGAATAGCAGATGGTAGGTGGTTAAATATAGCACCCGGAAGATGAGAACACACCTCCTGTCACTGTATGAGATGCCGGGGGGGGGGGGGCTGGCTCTTGCTAGCCACTCCAAATAGAGCAAACTTAAATCCCAAACTGGGGGTTGGGGAATAAACGAGGGGGGATGAGACAGGGAGTAGCGGTGAGGTGATTATGGACCAGCAATGGGAAAACAAACCATGAAATATAACTAGCCTGGCATAGCTCCTGCAGAATACATTAACTCTCTATGGAACACTGAAGTGCCAACCTGAAGCAAGACAAGTGCAGGTATAGTTACCTGGAGCTATATAAAAAAAAAACCCAGGTAACCAGAGTGCCAAACAAGAGGCTCACACCGCTGTTTTGAGATGCATTTCCTTTAACCTATCTCTTGCACCATGAGTACATGCACACAGGATTCAGAATCCCTCTGGTTCAGAACCTAAAGGACTCCAGAAAGACTTGGAACCGGCGTCTCGTTTTACGGGTTGCTGGAGACTGAAAAATGCCAGCACAAGAACTACAACCTTCGTAAGCAAGTAAAGCAATTTATTACACCAAAGGAAGGAGATCGTTCCAGGGTGGCAAATGGCGAGGCGTCCTTTCTGTCCTGAAGGGGGAAGACGCCCAGATACTTTCAAGCAATGTAATGTATGCAGTAAATGGGCTTCTCATGCCCTGGACAATCCCTCAAGCTAAACAACAGTTCAATTGGAATACATGCACTACAGCAAAGAGGCTGCCTTTAGCACATTAGAAATACTGACTTCCAAAGTATAAAGTTGTCCAGCGCAGCAGGTCTGGGGTAGTCGGGAGAAAGGTGGGCATCTTGCCATTTGGCTTGGTGAATGATCTCTCTTCAGGTGTGCTGGCAGCCATGGGCTCTACACTTCCCCAGCCTCAAGAAAGCCAGAAAGCACACCCCATGGCCATCAAAGGCATTTTCAAGAGACACAGGCTTTGAGATCATAACCCAAAGATAAGGTCTTTACTGTGATCAGCATACCACCCATCGAAAAACCGAACAGTAAATATTTTCAAATAAGACTGCTTGCTATAGTTTTCAGAAGTTTTGTTCTAATGACAATTTCTTTAAAAAACAAACCTTTTTACAAAGAACACAGACTTCAAACATGAAACAACTGGTTTCTATGTGTTTTCTCTCCCTCTGTAGAATACAAGACGACAGTCAAGCAACCCAGACAAGCCCTGGTTGGGGATAAAGTGGAAGGCCACAGACCAGGCTAATAGTGGAGGAAAGTCGAGAAAGAACCAGACAGCTAGGGCTGAAACACAGGCAGAGAGGGGGACAGTCCTTGCTCCAAGGTCACAGACATACAGCGGAGACATGCTGGAGAGAGGCGGCAGCGGCAGCAGTGGCTGGGTTGGTGGAGGAAAAATCAAAGCAGAAAGAAAGCAGCCCTAAATTAAACACATTATTCCTCAAGGGCCAAGAGCAGGGTAATTATGAGCAGAGTGATGAAATTGGAGGACCCTAAGCTTAGGCTACAGCAACTCCACACCAGGTTTAGCCATATGGTCTAAATTAAAAGCAAAATTAGGTATTTTCACAGGTGAAATATTGTCAGAATAGGCAAGGGTTTGTGGTTCGTGAATCACCAAGGGGTCCATTCAAGTGGCCTGTGGCATGTCTGTGGATGTGTGGGGTGAAGACAGGTGGTGCCACATTCATCACATTAAATATCCATATTGATTTTTAACTGTATTTTCATTGCTTCTTTTATTTCTTACAATGCATTTTATTGTGCTACCATGTGAATTCTATGGAATACAATAAAATGCAACGTGTAATAAACAAAAGAAGAAATAAAAATACACTTAAATACTGTACAGCATCTAGCACAGCACATTGCAATCAATGCAGCATGCAGAAGAGACATTAAGTGGACTGCCAAGATGCCTGGCGATGTTCAGGAGGAGGTTTGTGGGAGGCAAGAGCAGGGGGGAGCTTGGGGGACTCCTGGAATAAGCTAAACCCAGGAAGCAAAGTCATATCCCAATGACTAACTTGTACCACTGATTCCAATGGGGGCTTAACCTGTGTTCCAGCCCAATATCTACTTATACAAGGAGGAACCAGTTTGGAACATAGGATGCTGTCACATTCTGTCACCCTTCAGAATGACCAGTCAACAGGTCTTGGGACAATACAATGCATAGGAACTTAGGATGTTGCCTTACACTGAGTTAGACCACTGGCCCACCTGGATAGCTCAGTTGGTTAGAGCATGCTGCTGAAAACACCAAGGTTTCAGGTTCAATCCCTGTATGGGATGACTGCATATTCCTGCATTACAGGGGTTGGGCTAGATAATCCTCGAGTTCCTTCCAACTCTATGATTCTATGGATCAGCATTGTCTATTGTAGACATCAGGCTTGCAAGATCTAGTATGTTTCACCTGGTACAAAAGATAAACATCTTTCAGAGCCCAAGAATTTATTTTGGGCTCCAAAACTGAACAGAGCTCACAGGTTTTCCTCTCCTGGAAACTGCCCCCCCTTTTTTATTTTCTTTTGTTAGAGTTTCCTGAAGTCAGTTTTGTTGGTATTGCTGAACAACTGAGAATCAGAAATCCTTGCTGATTTACTTCACAGCACCCAGATATCCACCAGTAGACCCTGATCCATCTTCTGGCCACCCCTGATCTATACTGACTGCTAGCTGTTCTCCAGGGGTTCAGGCAGGAGTCCCTCCCAGCCCTTCCTGGAGAAGCCAGGGATTGAATTTGGGACCTTCTGTATGCAAAACCTTGTGCTCTGCTCCTGAGCCATGGCCCTTGGATCACAACTGGTCCCCAAGGATCACGCCCCTCTTTATTGCCCAAAATACACATGGCTAAAGGCAATTTCACACATGCATGTTGATCATTTGATGACTGCCAAATTATTGGGGGGGGGGGACATGGACTGATGGCTTGCCTGAGAGAATGAGCTGCCTTGCATTGCCTCCTACCATTTCAAAAGCACTGCTTTTCAAGAGTCGGTTCACACATCCAGTTGAGAGTCATCCAGCGGCAAAAGGAGCCTGCCTCAACTAGCAGAACAGAACCCACGGCTGCAACCCAGAGAGAGGCTGAAAAGCATGCAAAGGCACACGCAATTAATTTCTGCAGGACAGAGCCTGATGGAGCGCAGCCAGCAAGCAACACCAGAGAGGCGCCTCTGGGAAACTTAATTCAGGAGAAGAACATCTTTCTGCTAAACTAAATCCACCATTCATGGCAAAGGTGATATGAGAAAGGCAGGTCAAGGCATATTTTTCACACCGATATAGAACAAGGTCACTGTGCAATCTTCTGCCGCTTCGAGGTGACAGTCGAAGACGTGCTTTCAGAATCCCCAGGCCAACCTTTCTGAGTGCACCCTGCAATCTTATTTTAGAATTCTCTCTTTCGGGAAATATAGCTCTGCTCGTCACAACTCCCCTTTCATTTGCACCAGCCTGAAACTGAGAATGTGCGGTGTTACCCAAGATGGGTCCTGGCACACGAGGAGGAGAGAGAGGCTGCGCTTGCATCCAGAATATAACACGGGCTGCCGACGGCACACCACTGAGCATAACTCTGCTCACAGAAGCATGGAGTGGAAATAAACAAGGTTGCAATAGGCGCCTTTTTGCCAAGTGGAGATGCTCACAGCTGTGCAACCACAATGAGCTGTGTGCAAGTGTTAGAGGCTTTCAGAACCTCATGGGATTTTCGGCAACGGCCGCTCTAGGGAAAAGGAGGAGGACACAGTCCAATGCTCAGATGACACCCTCAGCCACTTTGTGGCATTTCAAGAAGAAACCATTTGAGCTACTGATGCAAATGGGGCCAGAGAGCGTGAAACTGAATTCATGTACTCTGTTGCTGCTCTCCTCTTCTCATTTTAAATGCCAGGCATGGAAGCATCTGTACTGAAGAAGGCCGAATGAACTACAAACTCAAACAAGTGGCCACACGATCCCTTGATCATGAGGGCATGGCAGGCGATCTGCAACCCATCCCAGATATTTAACAATTACAGTGTTTTGCTTTTCTTTTGCTCATGCACTTCATTTATGCTGTGCTCCCCCTCCCACCTGAGAACGCCTCAGGAGGTCCCCAGGTGCCTCCCCATTTAGATGCTGACGAAACTCAGAACGGCTGGGCTTCCACACTGCTTCTGCTGCATCATCAAAGATCTTCAGGCCATGTTCTAATAAAAAGAGCTGCCAGGCCAGTGCTTCACAAGCACCATATTTTGAACTGAGATAAGGGACAAGAGACCTGCAGCTTTGGCTCTGACCCACTTTCGGCTCCAACCCATTCCTGAATTGCAAGAGGTTGGACTAGACGGCCCTTTGGGTCTCTTCCAACTCTCTAATTCTATGATTCCCACCAGAGCAGTCTTTGGTGTTCTCCAGATGTTGCTGGAGTCCAGCTACTATAATCCCTTACCACTTGCTGGGGTTGATGGGAATTGTAGTCCAAACAGCACCAGGAGGACTCCAGGTTTACGTCTGGCACACTCCTATTTCCATGTACTGGGGTGGGGAGGGGTGCAAGATCCTGTGGCATCAAGGTATTTCACCAGCTGAAATGGAGCTGCCCTATGCCTGGTAAAAGTAATAAGTGCAAAAACGACTAGTTTCCTCCACCATAGCCTGACCCTCCAAAGGCACCTCAGCTCATCCCTTGGCAAAGCTGTGCCACTTCTGCACATGGCTACTACCTGTGGCCCACGAAAACTGCTGTAGGAAACCCCCATCTACAGTCATCAAGCCAAAAGGAGAACAGGCACAAACCACAGGAGAGCCTGCAAGCCCCCCGCCTTCTCAGATGTTGGCTGTGATGCTCCTGCTCCTGCAAAGGGAGGCAGAAGTACCCTTCCTCTCATATGCTGGAATTACCATTCTACTCACAGCAGGTCACTGACATCCTCCAACCCTCCGGTGCAGTGTCTTGAAACAGAGAAAGAAAAAGCCAGCAGAAAAAGAAAGGAAAAACACACGACCAGACAACTTGCAGCCTGCCAAGCTGCCCGCATCTGCTTATTGCTCCCTATTTCTGGTTAGAAATGCTTACTTATTTGAAGCCCATTTTATAGAACTAATAAACCGTCGGAAATTTTAAAATAACTCGCGTTCTTGTATGAAACGATCACAGCTGTGCTACCTAATTCCACAGGACGCTGCCTGGAGAGACATTTCCATAGAATGCCAATAAGCAATTGCTGTAAACACCCAGATGGCTGATTTTTATCACCGGATGCAGAGGCTTCGGCTCACAATGCGGCTCTCCTCTTTATCGCTCAACAGCCGCGGCAAAATGCAGCCGCCTCCTCACTGGAAATGTCAGGCTCCTGAAGTCAAGGGGAAGGAGTCCAGGGTGACAAGTGCTGCCCCTCACTTGCTCACCTACCCCCTTCCCTGGACTGTCCTCTCCCCACAAAGTCCCATGACCCAGTCCCAGGGATAATGGAAATTACAAAACATCTAGGTTTTCATGTGCCATGACCCTATGTATGTGTAAACTGCTGCATGGGGTGAACGAGATGATCCTTATGGGATCCTTTCAACTTTACAATTATGTGATTCTATGGACACATGCAAGAGACAGCAGGAGCAGGTAAGAGTGCACAGGGCTGTAAAGAAAAACAAAACAGACCAAGGTGGGTCCCTTTTGGCAATGCACTGAACTCTTTGTTGCCATTGCAGACATACAGGGCTCACACCATGGGAATGCAGGGACAGGATAACGTCTCTGCCTTTGTGCACAGAACACCAGGGCCGTGAGAGCTTTCCAACATCAAACCTCAAGCTTAGGATGCATGCCCTACTATCCACCCCACCCTACCCGCAAATCTCCATGAAATGGGTTCAAAGTAGGTGTGAAGGAGAGGCAACTGACCTCGGGCAAAGCGGGATAATACACAAGGAGTTGCTTCCAAGAGACCCCCCCCAACCTCTCATGTCCATTTTAATATGTAATTTAGAAACATGGAAAGCGAGTAGAAAGTTTGGTTGAGGTAAGGAAGCTGGGACTTCTCTGCACCTGCCTGTCTGCTTCATCCTGCCCTCTCTCCTTCACACAAACTCTTGTCTTTCAGCTTCCACTCATCTCCACGGCCTCAGGCGGCCAACTCCCATATCCCAAGAGGAGGTGTATTTGGCAGAGTGCACTGGGACCACTTCCCCCTCAAAACCACCACCACCACCACCACCACCAACAACAACAACAACAACAACAAGTGGTTAGTCTCCATTAAATAGTTGGTAAGGTACTATGCCATTTTGGAGCATTTATAACCAGGCGTAGTACTAAAGGCAAAAACACACACACGTCACACCCATATATTATGAGGATTACTGTTTAACATGCTTATATGCCGCTTTTTTGTCAGAAGTGGCCTCAAAGCAGTTTACAAAATAAAAATAAATAAATATTACAAATCGCATTATACAGTTAAGATAACAGTGAAATAGCAGCACCCACATCAAGAATAAAACCACAGTATTAAGCCACACATGTGACCTGTACATGGCTGGTTCCTGACCCCTGACCCCAACTTCACAAAGGAGCCTGTATGCAAGAAAAAGGGAGGAATCCACCCAGCTTGGCAGTTCCGCGGCTGCGTTCCTTTCAATTGTTCTCGCGCCTCGGCAGAGCCTGGTGGATTGCTCCCTTAACAGTTTTAATTTAATTTTCCAGCGATAACACTGTTGGAGCAGAAGAGAGAAAGGCTGCCATAAAAGAAAAGAATTAAATTATATACTGTAAAACGGTTTGCATCCCCGGGGAGCGAGCAGGGAACAAAGAGTTGTTTGGAAGAAAGAGAGATGTCGATAGATAAACCTTTGTGTTCTTAGAACGAGTAGCCTCTCATTACCATTGCTGTGCTGTGGACACAGGAAGGGGAAAAATATTTAAACCTGGGCCTTGAGGAAGGTCTGGAGGCCCTGAGGTAGGCCATTGGGGCTGATGGAAGCACGATCATGCTGGTGGCAACTGATGGGATTCCCAGTCGAAAACCATCTGGAAGGCACCAGGCTGATGACGGTCAATATCAGCTTTGCCCACATCAGCTAAACTATAGCTTGGTCTTAAGAGGACAAGCCTCTGGTTCACAGAGACTTCATCTACTTCTACTAACTACGTCCTGGTTTGATCAAACCACAGTTTCTTGCTACATCTGAAACAATTTTTTGAAACTGTCCTCCAAACCAGAATGCAAACCGTGGTTTGAAGCTGGCTGGGCCGCCTTGCTCAGGAGGCAAGCACAAATTTTGCTCGCTGGTGAAGGTGGAATGTGCAGCTAAGTCTGATCGTACCAGAAAGCAGCAGAAGCTGAACACTCAAGAGGAGGAGGGGAGGGGAGGGGAAGGGCATGTTCATGGGGCTTGCCCCCAAAGCACCATGGTTTGGCTGAATTGAACCGTTGCTTTGGTTAAATGTTTGCTTGCCTTCTGATGCTGACCTCAGCAGACGCAAGACAAAAGGTACCCTGGACAGCTCCTTGAGTTCTGCATGAGAGCAGAGCTTCAGGTGCAGTTAATTCTCAACTTGCAGCTTTGTTCCTCCTTCACTTAGAGCAGGCACCCCCAAATTCGGCCCTCCAGATGTTTTGGGGCTATAATTCCCATCATCCCTGACCACTGGTCCTGTTAGCTAGTGATGATGGGAGTTGTAGTCCCAAAACATCTGGAGGGCTGAGTTTGGGGATGCCTGACTTAGAGGTACTCTAAGGGCACCAGCCTCTCTCTTCCAGTGGTCATTTACTCCAGTAGAGAGGGGAGACTTTAGTTGCATGGAGCCTTCTGAGATGGACTGCTCTGAGTCAGAGGTGGGCAATGTCTTTGGGTCAGAGGTGTACTGGCTCCTTGGGCTCTCCTTGCCCACCTCCAGCATGACACAAGCAGAGCATGGCAAGTTCTTAGTTGGAACAGCACCTAGAAAACTCACCATCATATCCACCTCTTAACTGTGCAACGAGTCAGACAGGAAGATGAAAGGGCAGCTACCCCATGCTGGGCTAGGTGACAAAAGGTATTTTGAGATATGTTTTATTTTTGGAGTCAGGAAGCGGGGTGGGGTGGGGAAACAAAATGCTCAGCTGTTTCTTTGTTGGAACTGCTTGGAACCTGAGACAAGTAAGTTTGCTCTCTACAAACCCTGGACCCCAAAACATGGTTTGGGACTCATACACTAGTGCAGCCCATCAAAGGTGCCTTCTATTTAGTTGCAGAGTTAAAACCAGACACTTGCGGAGCACACCACCTGGTGAATTAGATGCCCTTGGGCCTTTCACCCTTCTACAGTTCTACGTAAGAGTTTAAGAATATGATAAATGTGGGAAAGTAAGGAGTTTTCAGCTACCTGGGAATCTTAGCTTGTATCGTAAGAAAAGGAAATTGCAAAGACAGCTTGGGAAACAAGGGAGAACTGCCTGCTAAAACCTCAAAAGCCAGTGGGGCAGAGGCCAAAGGTGGTCCCCAGGGATTCCAGCCGAGACTTCATTGCTTCTGCACACAAACTAGCAGAAACCAATATGCAAAATTAAGTGGAGTGATTTATGTGGGTCACAAAATCCAAAATTTGGGGTCAATAGTACACAGGTTACTTTTTGTTTGTTCAAATAATGTTTAACCCATCTTCAACACCCAAGGGAGAGAGAGCACAAGGAGGAAAAGAAGAAACAAGGATATGTTGCAGTGTCTAAAATCACAGAGTCACTGCCAGCAGCTTCCTGCTCCATGGTTCAGAATGCCAGGGGGGAAAGGGCACATGTGTGACACTGGCAAAAATGCACTTCAGGTTCTTTGGGGCGGGGATCATCCAGGAAAAGGGAAACCATGTGCGGATCCCAATACTAGCAGTTGCCTTGCAGTTTACCCAAATACAATGGTCCTCTGACTGGTTGCTTTGCTACATGGCACAGGCAGTGGGAGTCTTTACCAGACTTGCTACCCAGAGCCATCTAACCCAAGCCCTTCTGCATCCAAAGCATGTGTCCTTCCACTGAACTATGACCGCTCCCCCAGGACAGGGTACCTTTCCAAGGATGCCAACTCCCAACCAAGGAGTGCTGTCTTACTCTATTTACAGAGGAGAAGGTGTGCTCATTCATATCAGCCAGAAACAAATGCTCCCTGCATGTGATTTGTACCACTCAAGAGGGGTGGGGCTAGAGATAAAAGAACAAGCATATCCAGCTTAGCCAAGGATGAAGAAAAGTTGTCAAAAGCAGTAGGGCAAGAATTCCTCTGCAAAGGTCCCACCTCCATCAGCCACACCCAGGGTAGATCTGACCACCCTACTGTCAGTTTTGACGTCGGATTCCTTAGGCCCAAAAGGAAATGGCCTTTAGGCTGCCCTAGAATCCAGACAGCCTCTTTGCTCTGCAAGTTCTGGGTGCTAAGATAAGGCATAGAAACTTCTATTGGACAGCAACAATGGAGCAGGTTTGGAAGTGCTTTTAAATACCTAATAGGGAAAACAACCCGACACATCATTTTAGTGTACACAAAAACGATGTACGAAGTTCATAACCAATTCACCACACCACAACTGGAGTTAAAAAAAATAAAAATAAAAGAGCAGAACGCTTACGACAATGATGGATATAAAGCACCAGCTGTTCAGGGGGGAAGAGGGGGGCAGATAATGAAAAGGAAAGGAAAGCCACATCTGAAAGACACTTTTTATTTGGGCAAGCTTTTAGCCGCAGGGAATCCGCATTGGTGTTGTGTTATTTCAGCTGCGTGTTTATATCTGCAATATATTTGGCATTTTATACAACTGCTATCTTTTAGGATGCTGTACAATGCTCCGACTTGAAGATACGACCAAATATGAATATAAAAATACATTCCATAGTTTGAGAGAAGACTTTGAAGAGAGGAAATGCTGCTGTGTTCATCAGCCCAGACTGACTTCACCCGCCTGAGAAAGCTCAGGAATCTTTGCACCAGGCCACTGTCCAAAACATGTGACAATCGTTTAAAAAGCCAGGCAGTTACTGATCTGTAGCCATCTTGATCCAAGGAGGCTCAAGGTAAAGCTCAGCTCAGGGGCTTTAGAAGGTTAGAGATGTTTGGCACCGATTTGAGTCTTAATGCTGGAGCGCTTCAAGACACATTAGTGCACCTAGATGCTGCAACTAATTGCGAACACAGCTGGGAGGCTAGATCAAGGAATCTGGGCCTTGAAACAAGGACATAGATCTGGCTCAGTGAACCATTGTGGGCCTGGGAGCCTGACTCTCTGCTCTTCCTTGACCAACATAGGAGTTTCTTCATGCCTGCTGCGTGCCACGATCCAGCTCATGCTACTGAACTTTGAAGTCCTGAACTAAAAGCTGCATGCCCCCCGCTGTCTCAGTAGTTCCAACCATGACCCTACATACCACAAGGACTGGGGTGATGGGGATGCAAGCCCCAGCTCTGTACCACACACTCCACTACTGTCTATTCTAATTCGCAGCAGCCCTCCAGAGGTCTGGTGTGTTCTGCTGAAGATGCTAGGGAATGAATTTGGGGCCTTTGGCATAGAAAGCAGGTCCTCCGTCACCAAGCTAGGTGCCATACAAGACCCAGTTAAGCCAGTATGCCAAGAGACTGGGTGCACTGGCCCAAGGGATGCAACCGCAGCTCTGCAGCATGTGACTAGGGGCTGCATTTGGCCTGGGGCAGAGGGAAGAGCGAGAAGATTGGCAGATGGCTGTAAGTAGGAGTTTTACAAACCAACACTGCACCTACACAAATCCATGGCACACCTGGGAAAGGGTCACCCTGCATTGCTGCTTCTGGCTGACATTTTGACAGCTTTAAAATACACAAGCCTGAAACACGAAAGTGCCTGGGTTTATTGGTTCTTGAGCTGGGAGCAGCTTCATCGATGACGGCTGTTTGCCTGAGAGCATGATTAAGTTATTTCGAAAACGGGCCCTCACTGTGCCTCTGGAGAGATTCCAAAGTTTCTGCACTTGTTTTGAAATTTTGAGTTGCTGCTGGAAGGTTCCTGTGACCTGGCACGGCTGGGTACTTCTCCTGCTTTGACGCCTCCCAGCTCGACTTGGGGGGCATCCTGGGCTGCAACGCTACCGCAGAGCAGCAGGCAGTGCAGAATGCTGATCCAAGAACCGTGAGGTTTCACTCAAAAGCTCTCAATGCACGTGCATAATTCTGTACTCCAACCTTAATGCCCAACCATTCCTGACTGTGGCCTCTATGCTTCCAGATCTGCCCCTCTTCATACAGTTCTGGCTCCTATGCTTGGACCTCCGCCCCTCAACACCTAACTGCATGGTGTGATCCCCATCTCACAGTCTTGAGACGTTGTCTGTAACTTAACCTTTTTTCTTTTGGCCTAACTGCTTCATCCTTATTCCCAACCAAAAATGCATTGGCTTACTCACATTTAAACCTTGGTGCACCCAAGCCTCCCTTCTGTTGTTTTCCTTTGCTTCTGGACACTTACTAGAGAGCAGGCATGTGGTGCTACTTGGGGAGGAATATGAAGACCGCGTTGCAGAGTCAGGAGGCAGCATTCACATCATGATGGTTGAGCTTCTCCAGGACCAAGTGTGTGCCCTTCTGGAAGCCTCATCTCACCTTTCATGCATTTCTCCATTAAGGAAGTATCATAACTATGACCACAACATCAACCTAGACACACACACACACACACACACACACACACACACACAGTCCCAGCACCTGCTATCTCAGGAACACTTCCTCCAGGCCAAGAGGGCACTCTAGCCTTTTACCTTGGGGTTAGTCCGCTGCTGAAGCCTCCTCTCTTCCCTCTCTCTCTGCAAACGCTCAAATTCCTCCCTGATCTCAGCAGGCGTCCTCCTCCTTTCCACCACCTGCGGGAGAAGGAATCAAGCATTTAGAGGTTATTTGGCAGCAGGACAGCCAGCAAACAAACAAACAACTGTGGGGCGTTTAATCAGAGATGCAACTGGAAACGCTCGAGGGCTTTTAATTCTCTATAGACAGGCAGGCTCGGAAGGGCTTTCTGTTTCCTTTCTTCACGCTGCAACATTCTCTCTCTTTCTGTGTCGTTCCCTCCTAGACAAAAGCACAGAGCTTTTATTGTTTTATTTAGAGTTACCAGTTACACTCCTGGCGCCCAGCTTCGTAAAAACAAATGCACGCAATATGAGACCCTGGCAACCCTAGTAGGGAGCCCACACAAAACATGACGTCCACTGAACTGACAGTGTACCAGGATAATATAACAAAACAAGGAGCACCATTCCAAAGAGAGACAACTGCTCAGTGCAGGATATGCCAGCACCCAGATAAATGAATTGCAAGCAGTAAGTTGAGGTTCTTTAGTTTCCTGAGAATCCATCTTACACCAGCAACTTTTTTTTTGTCTTTCAGGCCATAAATGGCAAAGCAGGCACAAATTACAATAATGGGAGCACACGAGTGCATTCAAACATGAGGTTGCTTTGCTGAAGCTCAATCAGTCTGGATCCAATCAGTTCCTGTATGGGAAACCGCCACATGTCCCCAAATGCACCACCCTATGTTCTAGCATGGAAGGAAGGTAGGGTATAAATGTAAGTGAATCTAAGGCCAGCAGCACAAGGCCAATTCACAGGCACTGGGGTTTTTGCCCTTGTGATAACAAGCCTCACTTTTTAGAGTATTTTAAAGAGGAAAGTATCATAACTCAGTGGCAGAGCACCTGCTTTGCATGCAGAATGTACCAGGTTTAACCCTTGGGATCTCCAGGTAGGGCTGGGGAAAAAACCCTGCCTGAAACTCTGGAGAGCTGCTGCCAGTTGGTGTAGACAATACTGAGCTACATATGCATACTGTCTAAGGCAGTTTCCAATGTTCAAAGTGCTTCATCTACATTTTCTCAGAAATCTGTGCAACCCCACAAGTGACATCAATACTATCTTCCCCCATATTGCAGATGTGGCATGCCTGCATCTGCTGGTGGTGGTGGCGCTTGCCTAAAAGGACCAAGTGAGTTCATGGCAAAGGTTACATTTGAAGCCGTGACTTCTGGGCTCAGTCTTTGGGTTGTATCCAAGGCTAGCCCTACACAGAGAAGGCCCATTGCATACAACTAAGCTTAGGTCCTTTAATTTCAATGCCCTACTCTGAGTAGAATTTGGTTGGATACAACCCTTAGTCACTACACAAGAGTAACTCTCCAAACATGTACCTATAAGACTGCCTAGCCTAGCTGTTTCTTAAGACAGCAACCAAGGCCACAACAGTTTTATTTGACAGGTGGAGATCTGCCTTTCCTAAGGAAGGAGCTGCATTCTGAGTGCCATGGAAATGTAATTTCCCCCGGAACAGAAACATTTCCTTGGCTGCAGAGGCCACCAACTCTGAAGACAGGTTGTAGCAGAAACTTTAAGAGGCCTGAGTTTGGGGAAGAAATCACATCCATTCTCCCTACCCCCCCAATACCAGGTTCTAAAACTATTTGATGGAAACGAGGGGATTAAATCAGCTGAGTCTGGCAAGGCCAGAAGGGGTGAGATTTGTTGTGGAGAATCCGAACCGCTTAACCTCTGCAAACCTGAATTAATGACTTTAAATTACTTTATCTCTGACATTCCTTGTGGCAGGAGGAAGCAAAAAAATGGCTCCAAGGGTCTCCATTCACTCAATTTCTAGACATCAGATTATAGAGCAAGTTGCGCATTCCAAACACATCTGACAGGGCTAACTGCAAGGTCAAGAACACCTGCCCCTTGGCATCCCAATGAGGCCAGCAAGAGCTTGATCCGTCTTCCGTGTTCAATGCAGTGGTTTTACTGGATACTTTTTAAAAACAGGCTTTCGATTTGTTCTTATTTGTTACATGTTGTATCTGGGTCCGTTCTCCAAAAGTGGTTTTTTCACCTCTCAGACACTATGTGAGCTAAGCAAGCCTGGGAGGGAGGTTTGCTGTAAGCCGAACAGACACAACCTGGGTTATCTGCACACAAACCCGGGGCCACATCCTTTGTCTTTCATCACCATTGTTTACTGCCTCAGCAGCTAGGCATAGATTCAAGTCTGTCCACTAGCTTACAATCTAAACGGCAGCAGACTGGGAGCGGGGGCTGTTAGTATGCTACTGAGAACTAGCGAGGGAAAAATGCCAGATTATAACTGCAAGTTTTTAAAGGGTGAGGAAATGTAAAGACAACTTAACAAAGCTTTGAAACTGTTACACGCAATATTTAAGAAACACTTCCAGTATTCTGAGTGTGACTATTTTTGCTGCTGCTACTGTTCTGTCATTTTATGATAAATCATATTATCAGTGTAGCATTCTTTTTGGTGTATTATTGTTGCAATTTCCCCCCCCATGCATATGTATTCTCTATTCTGGGAACTCGAGGTGAAGGGTAGATTGCAAATGCTTCAAATAAAATGGAAGGATAAATAGAATTCTATGGAAATAATAAGATCCAGAATTTGCTCCCACAAGATGCAGTGATAGCCGCAAACATGGATGCTCTTAAAAGGGGGTTAGACAAATCTGTGGAGGATAAGGACTAGATGGGCCCTTGGCCTTATTCAGCAGCAAGGCTCTTCTTAGGTTCTCATGACATTTCCTGCTCATTGTTTAGATGGTATCGCCACCCAAGTTTTGTTCCAGCAACTACATTCCCCTCTCTTCACGCCTCCACTTTAAGCTCCTTGTACTGTATGTACTTTCCAGTGTCTCCACATCCAATGCTCATCTAGAGCAACCTTCTCTCTCTGTTGGTTCCTCTCTGGGGCATTTGCTATACAGGGCCCAAACTTCTTCTCCAGACTAAAACAGCACTCTCAACTCCCCCTGTGCCCTTTTCTCTCTCCCTGATTGATGCTCCCTCCCTTTCCTCCCCCAAAGCTGCTAATTTTAAATAGTTAACTTTCAAATTCTGTACAACACTTAGCAATTTCAGGAACTCAGTCCATAATAACCAGCCCAAATGCTCCTGAAGGTACCAGCCCAAATGCTCTTGAAGGCAGGGGGATCAAGAGTGAGTGGCTAAGAATTTGCACTGCATAACAAATAAGCCATAATAGAGAAGATTACCACCCCAGGCCCCTCACACACAGCCCTGGTGCTGCTCCACGTAGACCCCTTCCTCACTACTTCCCTTTCACCAGCAACTATACCAACATTGACAGGAAAGAAGCAAAAGGCAAGAAAGCTTGAGGGCTCTGAGCACAGGAGTACAGGAAGCTGCCTTATACTGAATCAGATCACTGGTCCACCTAGCACAGTATTGTCTACACCAATTGGCAGCGGTTCTCCAAAGTTTCAGGCAGCAGTCTCTCCCAACCCTATCTGGAGATGCCAGGGATTGAACCTGGGCCCTTCTGCATGCAAGGCAGATTCTCTACCCCTGAGCTCCGTTCCTTCCCCATGGAGAATATTGGTAGATGTTTTAAAAAGTAACACCAACTGACTCCCCAGAGTGAAAGCTATTACTGAAGTAGGGCAGGATCTATATTAAACAATTCATCCTGCAGCTGCAGGAACACAGAACCAGCCTTGATGGTGGCTCCATAAAACAAGCTCTGCTGGTTAGGTTTGGCATCAGAGTATGAGTCATGCGATGAAGCTTGTTTTTATCTATGGAGAACTATTCCTGTACAGTATAACATCTCTGAGTGAATATGGAGAGGGGGTGCACTTTGTGTACCTAACAATGAAGGTAGTGAAGTCAACAGATGTTCTTATCACCATTAGATCTTAGGCTACGACCCTGATGAATGAGAACCCAAGCATCCAACTCTGCCTTTAACCACGCTTCCAGTTTCTTAAAATGCTTGGTTTTGTATCCATTTTCCATCACACAGCTGAGGGAATATGGGCTGTTTAGGATGCGTTTGCACGTAGGTGTGTAAAGTTGCCTCTTTGCACTCCTAACCAATGGCCAATTTCCTACGATAAATGAGGGTGTGGTAGGATTGATGCACTCTCTGTGGCCAAGCTCCTCTTCAGGGAGTTGGGAGCCTCTCTATCAACAGCACCGTATTACCAGGCTTAGAGTGACTGTACCCCGAAACCAAGGCTAAAACAAACATTGCTTCAACACACTCAATGGGGCAGAGGGAAAGAATGATCGATTAAGCAGTGGCGGGTTTTGATTTCTTCTGTTGTTTAAACACCACAGCACTGCCACATTGAAGAAACTCAAAAGTCACTTCTCAGTTAATGTTGGATCAGCTTGATGTCCAAGCTGGAGAGCAGGAAAGGATTATCCACTGGATAGAGAGGGTCATCAACTGTCAGAGGTGAAAGCCTGAGCTTGTCCCGAGTAATATGGGCACAGGAGTCTTTGCATGCACCTGCAGTTTGTCATGTATAGCCCAGACAACACCAATGAAAGTGGCTGGGAGGATTCCGAGACTGAACAACTTGCAGGTCCTATCTGGCTGCAATGGTCTTACCTCCCATCCTTCCATTTCGAGGCCTCTCTTTCCATATATGTCATAGATGGCTCTCGTCTGTGGGTCACTGAGCACTGAAAATCAAAACCAAAACATGTTCAGAGCATGCAGCAGTCAAAGCAGAGTTCAGACAGAAGTACATGCACACGCACACACGTATACATACTCTCCAGCACCTTCCAAATACATTTTCAGGAAACCTAAAACCAAGCCACCAAGCACACATTCCACAAAGACAACATGGCCATCTCTAGCTCGCTGCCAAATATGCCTATGTGACACACCTCTTTGCAAACCTAGATTTACATTTTTAAATGCATGTACCTAGAAAACAAGCTGGGAGGCAGGACCTCTTCGCAGGAGAATGCCAAGCGCATTTCTAGAACAGATTTTTCAAAGCATAACTCTTGGAATGCTAAGGGTTGAGGATTTCCCCCTACAAAAACATCACCCATTTCAAGGTCTCTGCTGGATTTCCCTCCCGCTCTTCAAGCGTGTTCCCATGCATCACAAGGCCTAATTAAGAACGCTGTAAACGATTCCGCCCATGTCCAAGCCTAATGGGAGGAAAGGAATGCTGACCATTCAGAAAACACCAGAACCAAATTTCTTTAGCTAATCTCTGGGATTTAATAAGAAATCATTTATTCACCATTTCACTTTAGCTCCCCTTTGGGCCAAACCGCTGGGCGACGAGGACTGCTGGTGCTGCAGTTTTTCTACTGGGGTGGGGGTAGAATCCTGCAAGCTCCTAATTCACTTAAGTTTCAGTTACTTCTCCCCAAATTTCAAAAAATGCTGCAAACAAACTATCAATAATTCAGACGCATGCAAGATTCATTCAACCAAACCCAGATAACAGAATATAATCAAAAGGGCAACAGTTTCGATGAAAGACGGAGCGGAAACACACACAGCCCATCTGCCTGTGACTGCAGAGCTGAGAATCTGGAGAGATTGCATTATCTTGACTATGCAGATTTATCACCCAACACATTCCAGAGTTTCCTGATGGCTATTAACATCTAATTTTTTTGGCAACAACCCCCACCCCCGGCAAACTGAGATAAGAGATAAGCTTTTACAGCAGATTGGGGAAAGTCTTTATTTCGGAGAGGAACATCTTCTTCTATACTTAGTTAAGTCTAATTATAGGGGAATTGCATGCCAAGCATAGCAAACAGCATCTCGAGTGAATTATAGCCCATACTTTCGCTGGTGGAAGAAATTCTCATCTCCCCTGTAATCCTTCATGGGAAGCAAAACCAGCCTGATGAGAAGCACTTACAGTTATGACTGCTTCAGATGACTATTTCAGTGCTGACACAGTTGGATTTTTTTTACATTTCCTTTCCACATCATGAACTTCTGTCTATTTTTTGTGCCGAGCAAAATAAGAAACAAAAACTATATAAAAAAAACCCAATGCCCCTATTCTGCAATTACACATCATCCCTGCATCTGCCACCAAAAAAGCTCACCAAGGAATCTGGTACTCACAAGGCAGCTCTAGATAAGGAAAGAAGGATGTGGCTGCAGTTACACATAACAGAGAGTCAGTGGGGTGGGCAGACTATGTTCTAACACTAAGTGGAAATCTGGGTAACCTCGGAGGCCTCCCCCAACCTCAGTTCTGCTGCCTGTCTAACAGAAAGATCTCACCTTGCAAAGGGTTCCAAGATCCTTGCTGGGCATGCTCGGCTGACTGCTTACAACAGGGGTGTGGAATTGGATCTGAACAGGGGACCAGAGCATTATTTCCCCTATCCCCTTCCAGACCACACTTCAGCAGGAGGGTGTGGTCACCCAGTTGGCAACCACTGGCATGACATCAGGTGGCCCATTTTAGCTCATGTGGTTTGAAATCAAACCACTGCACTCTGCAAGACCTGACCATGAGCAGATCGCCAGAGCCTGCAAAGCACTGTGTGTGATAGTGGGTGCTGCTAACAGGAAGTGCCTGCAATCCCCTTTCTGGTCCACCTGTCAGAAATCACATAGGTTGCCAAGTTTAGGGCAGGTGGCGGTCATTCAGCCAGAACAACCTCATGGACCATGTTCGATTTACGGACCAGAGCCTCCCTGCCCGTGGCTTGCAGGAAATCCCAGAAGAGCAGATGAGCTAGTCCTGTTACAGTTAACACAAACATGAATTCTGCAGCACCTTAAAGACTTAAAGAGATCCACTGAGGCACCAGCTTTTGTGGACTAGAGTCTGCTTGCCCACGCAAGGCTGCCATCAGCACCTATTGCACTGATCTCCAATTGGTGCCAAGACATGTAAGGGTGTAACAAGAAAACCAGTGTGGTGCAGCTGACGAAAGCACTGGACTTTAACCTTGCAATAGCTCTATAGTATGACATTTATGTTCTCTGCACCAAGCTGCTGGAAGGAAGGTGGGGTGCCGAAGAATACATAAATATACAGTGGTACCTTGGGTTACATACGCTTCAGGTTACATATGCTTCAGGTTACAGACTCCGCTAACCCAGAAATAGTACCTCAGGTTAAGAACTTTACTTCAGGATGAGAACAGAAATCATGCTCCGGCGGCATGGCAGTAGCAGGAGGACCCATTAGCTAAAGTGGTGCTTCAGGTTAAGAACAGTTTCAGGTTAAGAACAGACCTCCGGAATGAATTAAGTACTTAACCCGAGGTACCACTGTAACTGTCTTTGGACTATACTCGTCCAGGGTTATAATCTTTAAACAGTGCTTTCGGCTTTATAAAAACTATCCCAGGACCTCAGAAGGGGGCTTGGGACATGAAGCCTCCCTTGGACCAGGGAGATATACTTTTGGTGCATAAACACACAGTTCTGGGGTGGTCAAGAGAAAACCACATGATTTGAAGGGTGGTGTCCCTAGGAATCTGTCAAGCAACAGAGGGATTAGTACAGGCAGCAACCATTTTGTGTGTGTTCGACTGGCACGTGACAACCAATGTACATGCTTTTTCTGGCCCTTGAAGGGGGAGGGCTTATGCATGCTCCACCAACATGCGCAAAGACCTGGAATAAAACCCCTGTGCAAATGGGGAGTTGCCCATATAGCAAGGGAACAAGGATGAAAGACCTGTGGGGAAAGTTGGTGTTTCCTCACCCTGCTTACTCCACGCTCTTGAGATTCAGCTGAAGATCTCATGGGAGATGCTGCTCCCTGGCCCACAGAACAAAAAGTCCTCCACCAACTTGATGCAGGCATTCTGACACAGCCTGCCTCCTACCAACCACGTGTGTTGAGATTCTGTCCCATAATGACCAAATGCTGGCTCATGTGCTGCAGAGGATCTCTGATCCTACATATGGAAGCCTCAGAGCTGCTGAATTGATGAGTGGTATGAGGAAGGCAACTGACTGTGGAAGTTAGCAGCATCTCTGTTCAAGCACTGCATGGCCCTACCAAGCTGAAAGCGAAAATCTGGTGTCGGCTGCTGCACAGAGAGGTTAGACTGGAAGTTGCCTAGAGAAGCATGATTCATCAGTCTTACTCCTAGCTTTCTAGTCTAGTTTGCTACTAGAAAAGAGGATTGGCTTGCTGGCATTAAGAGGTGGTCACTTCAAAACCCTTCCATGTCATACTCATAGAATGAGACTCCGTGGTCAGAATCTTTATTGGCTTGTTAGTGTATATCTTGGGACCCCCCAAAACCACATATATGTTCACTCATAGGAACATACTGAATCAGGCCAATGCTTCATCTAGCTCAGTATGGGCTGCACTGACTGGCAGCAGCTCTCTGGGGTTTCAGGCAGGTTTCTCTCCCAGCCCAACCTGGAGATGCCAGGAACCAAACCTGAGACCCTCCACATGTAGTAGATGCTCTACCACTGAGCTACAGCCCTTCCAATGACTCATTTGTCAAAAACTGATCGTCCAGGTATTGATTCTCTCATATGAAAACGGCAAAAACCAGCTACTGCCTTTAACAGCAAAAAGACTCGCTGTCTGGATTCCAAGCTAGAAAATCCATTGGCAGCTGCTGAGCCGAGGATGGCTGTGAATCTCTGGCATCCACTGACCTTCATAAGCCTGATGGAGAAGGTTGAAGAGCTGCTCGGCCTGCCTCTTGAGCTCTGGGTCCCTGTGCTTGTCAGGATGGTACAGCATACACAGCCTACGGTAGGCGGCTTTCAGCTCTTCCTGAGAGGCCTGTGAGAAGAAAAGAAATCCAATTATAGAACAATCAATGCAGTTAAGCCGCTATCATCTCAAAAATCTGCCCAGAAACGGGAACCCATCAGACGCACTCCGGCGCGTTCTGTTCTGCAGATCGGGAAGCATAATGAAGCTGTGATTTGCTAGGACCACTTCTCTTGGCATGGTGCAAGAAACCACCAGTCTGGGGCATTAATAATCATAATTTATGTAGCACAGTTCGAGCATTCAAAGCACTCACAATTATCTCAGTATTCCTTACAACAGCCTCCTGGAAGCTCAGCCAGCCAGTACTCTGGATAAAAGTGCCATCAGCATGTACGGGGCTTTACAAAGCACAAGACAACAGGCCTCTGCCCCAGGAAACATAAAATCTAAAATAATTGTGCTACTATAATGGTGTTCTTTTGTTTTATTCTAGTTTATAATTTAAAACTGGTTTTATATCTTTGCAAGCCATTTTGCATGCACCTTGTTCTAAAAAAGCAGGCTATAATTAACAAAGATTTTGTTCCAAGTGGCAATGAAGATTCAGAAGTTGTGCTGGTTCAGGGGCCTCATAACCTTTATGGCCCTTGTGCCACAGAAGGGGACACTGGAGGGGTAAGGGCCCTGCTTGAGACATGCTTGTGAACAGTCTTTTGCCTGTGGCAACTAAGAGTCAGCTCCAAAACTCCCAATGGCTGCACCCAAGAGGCTTCATATAAATGTAAAACAGAAAAAAACCAAGGTTAGAATGAGTTAAGATAATTATAGGAGAGAAAACAGAGGAAGATGGAAAGGAATTGCTGAAATAATGAACAGAAGTGGAATACAAAAAGGGAGGTGTGAGGAGGTCGTGGAAATAAGTGAATGAAAGATGGGATAATGAAATTGTTTGATTTATTGTTTTTGTTTTAATGTATTGCATTGTAATGTATTGCATTGTATTTTTTTTTAGTGTTTAAATTTTTGGAAAAGTAATAAATATTATTTAAAAAAAATATAAATGTAAAACAGCATTGGGGACACGGGGACAAGATTGTGCCTTGTAGTGCATCACAGCATGAAGACTGTGGAGCTGAAACACGGTCTCTCAGTGCTACTCTCTGGAAAAGACCCTCTAGGTAGGAGTGGAACCAGTGTAAAACAGTGTCCCCTGATACTCATCCCACAGAGCCAGTCCAGCAGGATGCCTTGGTCTAGTATCAAAACCCGTGGAGAGAGACAAAGAAGCAGAAGCAAAAATGCATTCCCCCTGTCCCACTCTCTATACAGGTTATCCATCCAGGTGACCAAGGCTGGTTCAATTCCAAAACAGCACCTGAATGCAGAATGAAGTGGATTCAGGTACCGTTTTTTTCCGTGTGTAAGACGATGGTATTTGCTATAAATAAATTAGACAAAAATTGGGTGTCGTCTTATACACGGATAGTGAATGCAGAGAGAAGATGTGCAATTAATGGCAGCAGCAAGCAGGAGATTAGCAGCGGCGATTGGGCGGCTAACTGGTGACTGCGGCAAGGTGATCGGCTGTGGCAACTGGGCAGGCGATTGGAGGCTGTGGCGAGGTGGGCAGGTGATTGGCGGCTGCGGCAAGTGGGCTGTTGGTGGCAGCAAACGGGCAATTGGCAGCTGTGGTGAGGTGTGTGATCAGCAGTGTGGCTGTGGCAAGCGATCAGCAGTGGCAGGCAGGCGGGTGAGTGATTGGCGGAAGTGACCTCCCCCACTCCCCAAAAGAGCTAAACAACTTAATTTCTTAATTTTGAGTTTAAAAAAATAGGGGTCGTCTTATACATGGAAAAATATGGTAATTCCTGCAGGAACTCGCTGCTTGGCCAGCACCTTACCCAAGAAAGGGGTATTTTTTCTGGGTAGTAATTGTTATAAACCACAGGATCCAGGGTGGGTTTCTTCAGAAGCGGGCGCACCACCCACCGCCTGCTTAAGGTGAGTGGCACCACACCCTCATGTCAATAAGCCTTCACCATACCCTGGGCCCATCTGGTCAACCCTTCCTTGACAGGCTTTTACTAGCCAGGATGGGCAGGGAACAAGAGAGCAGGAAGCCAGTCATTGCAAGAATGCTGCATACATTATCAGGCCAAGTAAAGTGACACTGATTCCTTGGTGAAGGCACTGCATTGGACACTTCAACTGGAGTTGCAACAACAGTAACATCTAAGGCGCTATGGGAATGGGAGAAACTCAGCAGAAGCACATTTGCTAGCCTTCAAGGTGAAGGCAAGGGTGCAAACTCTAGAACTAAAAAGAATGCCTATTTGTTACAAACAAACAAGCCAAATTCCTTGAAATTCACCATGATTACCCACATGGAGGTACAGGAGCAAAAGAGAGGCTTACGAGGTTGAATGATTAACTTCCAAAGATGGGGGCAGATCTTTTTTCCACACACAAATGCATTCTAACAATATACTTCCAAAGGCCTTCTGCCTGCTCCTTTTGATCAATGCAGAGCTGTTTAGCTCGGAAACAGAAGGTCAGGGTGCTTCACATATAAGGCTAATCCTCTCGCTTATGAACAACACAGCGTATCAGCAAAAAACTGCAGTTTTTAATACATAAAGTGGGATTTGAGCCATTTCTGGTGACAAACAGGAATTGAGAGATTTCTTCTGTTTCTTATTCATATGTCTTGGTTCAATGACAAAGGAATTGGACAGACCTGCCTGGCTCCTGAGAACACATTGCCCGGTGAAGGAGTCATCCTTCCTGAGCAACTGCTGTCTCTTTCCACTCTCTTGGTTATTAGAATTAAAGTAGATGAGAAGGGAGTGGAATTTCGAGCTCGGCAATGACCTTCTTTAATCAAATTAGTGATAAATGGCTTAATGTGCTATTGATTAAGTAATAGAAATGAGCAGTTCCATTTTTCACAAATATCATGTTCAATAAAATGTTAGATTGGGCCTTTCATCATAAGTGAATCACTAAGGTCATTGGTTCAATATTTCAAGAGTGATAACCTCTCTCCAGCCACTGCAGAAAATACTGACAACATTTCAAATTCTAATGAGATACATAAGTCACTAATAATGATATTTTAAGTTACATTCTTATTACTTAAACTTGGGGCAAAATTAAGAGGCACGCCATCATGCTATTCGGGGGATTAAACTCATTCATTTCACATCTCAATCATCCAGTTACATCTTCGCAGCATGTAAATCTATTACAGATTAAATGGCCATATACTAGCAAATTGCCAGAGACAGGTTTTAGACGTCCTTCTCTTCCTCTTCCCCAGGCCCATAAAGTTTAGTGACCTATTATTCTCAGATTAGCCAGTGCTCTGAAGAGCTGAATTTGCCCTATAAGAAGCTGGGTACAAAATATGGAAACAAAGGCCTACAAAGGCAATGGAGAATTTCTCAATTTCAGCCCCAAAGTACCGTAAATTTAGTTATCTAGCAGAACTGGCTTTTGAGAGCCTCCAGAGAGCTCTGCTGAGAGTCCCTCAAGCCCTTAAGGGGACAGGAAAAGGACACCTGGGCACGGCTTGCTGCAACTACAATAACCCTGCAACTTACATGCATTTAACTTGTGCACATTCAGCTCTACAGACTTGGCAAAAAAAATAGTAAAAGCGGTGGAAACGAGGCAAGTAAAAAGACTTTGGCAATCCCACCCGCCACTGAACCTAATACGTTTTGACTATATGTGATTTTTGCTTCAGCCATGATCCTGGGAACGTAACCTCCGTGTAAGTTGTAGACTTACTGCAAGATATCTGAAAATTCATCTCAAAACCAGCCTTTCCAACCTGATACCTTTTGGAAAACAACTTCAATCAGCATGGCCTTGCTACCTAGGGCTGATGGGAGTTGTAGTCCAAAGCATCTGGTTGGCTTATCTCAAGCACATTCACATCATGCAATCATAAGAAGGGAAACAAAGTGCTATACTACTTAGAGACACTGTTACAGGACAGGAGGGGAATCAAATCACAGGTACTCCACTGTAGAGGGAGTCATACATCACAAGCACCTCTGAAGGTCATTTTGCTAGCACATGTTCTGCTCAATTCTGGAGGGGAACAAAAAAACCTTTAACTCTATTTCAGTGAGCAATAGAGAATTACCCATAAAACCCGTATACAGCTAGTACCTAACCTCTAGGAAGCTGGCAATAATCCATCTTGGTGCCTCACCACATTGCTGGAGGGGCTGCCTTACACCCAGTACTCCTCTGCACTCTGAATTTCTCCTGCAGAATCAAGTTGACTCGACCTCTGAGATCGAAAGCCACATTGTGACTCAAGATAGACCTTGTCAGCAAGTGGCTGTAATCTGTTGAGTACTACATGGTACTGCTGAGTACTGTGAAGAAGGCTGTCTTCACAGTACTCAGCAGGGATATTCCATAATAGTTGTTGCAGTCATGGTAGTCACCTTTGTTCTTGTAGAAGGTCACAATGCTGGAGTCGTGCATGTTTTGTGGCACGGAGCCTAATTCCTAACATTGCAAGAGAAGACCGTAGAGGTGTATCATGAGAGAAGATGGCTTTCAGCAGTTCTGCTGGGATTCCGTCCTGTCCTGGGACTTTCCCACATGCCAGAGAGTTGATGGCATTCTTCAGCTCATTGAAGGAGGGGCACCCAGCTCTTCCAAGACAGGCAGAGATTGGATACTGTCTATTACGATGTCAGAGACCATGTTTTCCCAGCTCTTGGTAGTGCTCTGCCCATCACTTCATCTGCTTGCTGCGGTCTGTGATGATCTCTCCCAACAAGGTTTTCAATGGTACAGTTTTTTTCTGAATGTTGGTCCAAAGGCTTTCTTCATACCTTTGTACATTTTGTGAGTATTGCCGCTGTCAGCAGCAAGTTGAATGCTCTGACACAGCTTTAGCCAACAGTCACTGGCAAACTATCTGGCAAATTACTGGACATTGCTCCTTGCCTTTCTCAGTGCAGCAAGCATCTTCTTGCAGGGCGCATGCTTGTAGCTCACAAGAGCCTCGTGCTTTGCAGCAATAACAGGCTCCATGTCCTTAATGCCAGCCTCAAAGCAGTCAGGGATCTGCTGCTCTCTTTTGCCAAGAGGACACAGTTGTGCTGTAGGTTGCCTCTTTGATGTGGTTCCACCTTACATCAATGCTATCTCTAGAGTAGTTCAGTAGTGCTTGTTCAACAGAAGCAGAGCAGCACTCACTCACAAAGTTTGGGTATGACTGTTCTGGCAATGCAGTATAGGTCCTCTTTGGCTGAATAAGAATCTTCTTGCCACCAGGGAGTGAATCCGTGTCACTGTTGACATTCTGGTAGCTCCATGTGACACCAAAAAAGCTTAGTGTCAATTGCCTGGTGACAATCAAGTCCAGCTGGTGGCAGTGGCCTGACCTTGGAGGTCTCCAGAGAGCCAGTGTGGTGTAGCGGTTAAGAGCGATAGACTTGTAATCTGGTGAACCGGGTTCGCGTCTCCGCTCCTCCACATGCAGCTGCTGGGTGACCTTGGGCTAGTCACACATCTCTGAAGTCTCTCAGCCCCACTCACCTCACAGAGTGTTTGTTGTGGGGGAGGAAGGGAAAGGAGAATATTAGCTACTTTGAGACTCCTTCGGGTAGTGATAAAGCGGAATATCAAATCCAAACTCCTCCTCCTCTTCTTCTTCCAGGATGCTCACTGTTTTGCCTTGGTAGAGAAGAATGTGTTCGTGAAGCAGAGGCTATGATATGAGCACGGCTCAAGCAGCCTTTCTCAATTCACATTCATGCTGCCAATACCAAAGTGGCCTATGCAGTTGTCCCGTGTGTGACCTTCGTTTCCAATTCTGGCATTAAAATCTCCCAGCAATCTCCCTAAAATCTCTTAGGCTGGGACCTGCCTGGCAGCTTGGTCTAGTGCCTCATAGAACTGGTCCTTGATATGTATATCAGAGTATATAGTGGAAGCGTAAATGCTCGAGAAGTTAACTGGACCAGGGTAGTTGAGAGACAGAGAGGAAGCCCTCAGTCGGCAATTCTATCATAGACAAAAGTGAGTTTCTTACAGCAATGCTTATAGCTTGAATTTGTGGTTCTTCTGAGGCCTCCTTGCCAGAAGGTGTGTTTCTTCTCTGCCATTAAACATAAGTCTGGTCTCCTGTAAAGTGGCAATGTCAATGTTGAGTGTTTTCAGCTCACAGTCAATGATGGTCATCTTCCATGAGTCACTGACTTGCAGCAGATCGGTGGGCAAGCCAGGACACATGGCCATGACGTTCCAGCTTGCTAGGCACAAGGGGGGTTGTTTCTTTTCTTTGTTGTCTGGTGCAGTGGTTTGATCCCTCACTGAGTGATACTATGAGCACTGAGCACCCATTGAAGCAGGCAGACAGTGGTGGGTCAGTACCTTATTGACTGGAGGCTGCCCAGCTTAAGGTGGGCAAAGTGTTAGAAACTGAGATATGAAAGCTAGGAGCTAAATGGTACCTTAATCCTAGGTTATGGGCGTAACAATGGAATGTCTAGGCGCACTTTTTTATAACTAGAATACAAAGCAGAAAATGAATGAACTGCAGCTAAAATATTATGCTCATTTTTCACGCGGTCTATCTAGTTCTTCCCCTGCCCACCCCCTAATGGTCTTAAGAGGGTCTCTTCTCCAGTCTTCAGAGAGTAGCTGGAAATGGGGAGAGAGAAAAAGTGCCTCCTTTCCTTCCACTCTGCAGTTTTAATCTGAAATCTTAGGCGCAGTATTGCACCCAGAGCTCAGAAACTGCTCATGCTAATGAAATTCCATCGCAAAATGCGCCTAGAACAATGGGAGTTTCGAATGCTGGATGGGCAGTAGCTGACCAGTGAGACACGATAATTTCTCCCACTGATGAAAACAACACCTGCGCCCACCACACTCCTTAGACTACAAAAGAGCATGATGGCTCCTAAACTGAGGCCTATTAAGACCCCAGAAGTTACTTCAGAGGCTGATGTTGAATAACTGGTTTGCAAAAATGCTACAAATTGACAAATTGGAATGTGGACTGTTTTCTTTTTAAGGCTTTCAGGGAAAGAGAAGCAATTACCTTCTTAAATCCCTTCCCCAAAGTCATCCTTCTGAGCTGGAATCGCCTGGAAGTTGTACCTTGGTTCGGCCTTGATTTATGAGCTACCCAATTAAATGATCTGTCATAACACTCTTACATTTTGAAAGGACAATGACAAGTCCCATTTCTCAGTTCACATATATTTCACGTTTTCATCTCTGTTGGCAAATCACCTGGGAATCATGGAAATGAGTGCTCCCCGCTTCACTACCACCACCACTGCCTTTTCCATTTAATAAATGTGGTTTGTGTTTCTTGTGTTCTAAATGGAAACAAAATTAACAACTATATGAAACATAACATTGACAAAATGTTTTGCCTATAAATCATCATGAATACAGATAGCATTTTGGGAACTGGCTTTTTTTTGGGTATTTATAAAAAGGTTTTTTAACTGGCCTTTTAGGGTATAGAATCATAGAATCATAGAGTTGGAAGAGACCACAAGGGCCATTGAGTCCAACCCCCTGCCAAGCAGGAAACACCATCAGAGCACTCCTGACATATGGTTGCCCAGCCTCTGCTTAAAGACCTCCAAAGAAGGGTACAGTCCTTCTAAAGTGAATCAGAAAGATTTGTTCATAAAAATCATTTTTTGTTTGTATACCAAGATATTCACCAGTTAATGAGCAGACACAAGTAAAGTTCAAGGAAGCGCTAGCCCTGTCGCCCGAAGCAATGGAGAACGTCGTGAAGACCACTATCACCTCTCCCTGCCCTTCATCTTCTCTTCCCAAAGCTCTTTCATCCAAACCCGTCAGCATCCAGTTCACCCTCCCTCTGACATCCTCTACTTTGTCAAGTGCAGAACAGAGCTGAACTATTATTTCTCATGATCTGGACACTCTGCTTCTGTTATCACAGCTTAAGGATGCATTAGCTATTTCAGCAGCCATGCTTCACTGCTGATTCATGTTCAGCTTGTGATCAACTAAAGACATCAAGATGCTTTTCACGTATACCACTGCAAAGCCAGGTCCCCCTATTCTGTACCTTTGCCTTTGATACTTTGCACCTACTTGCAGGACTTGACATCTACCTCTGTTGAGTTTCATCTTGCTGGTTTCTGCACAAGTGTTCCAGCCTGCCAAGATCATTTTGAATCTTGATTTTGTCTTCTGCAGTGTTATCTATTCCTCCTGTTTTTGTGTCACTTGCAAATATGATAAGCATTCTCTGCTCCTTCAGCCAAGTTTATAAAAAATGTTCAACAGAACAACGCCTAGGACAGAGTCTTATGGCCTCACGTAACTTGCATGACAGCCCCAACAATGACTGCTGTTGTGAAAGCAAAGTAGAAAACAGTTTAAGTATTGTATATAATAGGCAGCACCCTTGCCAAGCACTGTTTTAGTCTCAATGCAAGTTAAGCATAAAAAAACCAATTGCCAAAGTTTAGGCAGGGAGGAGGGAGTTTTTCCTACTGCCACTGAAACCTATCAATATATACCCAAGAAAAGAATTGGTGGCTAATAGGAGCCATGGAATAATAATGGCACAAGAACAAAACCATTAAGTCAGATTTGGCAACAACATTAAGTTTTCCTTTAAAACAAGCTTCTAGTGCATCTTTATGAACAACATGATTAAGTTGGATCTGACCTATGAACCACAGCATCACATTGTGTCAGTCTTTAAAGTGTTATGGCTGCTATTTCTCTTGCAATCTTGGTACAACTTTGGAATCAACCCATATTAGATGGCTAAACAATCAAAATAGCTTGAGAGAGAAGAGAGCAATCTTACAAAATATTAATTATGGAAAGCAGACCAACAGCCGTCTTACACACTCAACTCTATGATTGTTTTCATTTCATTTTTGCTTCCATAGCACCAGGGAGTCACTCTGGTCCGTGGCACTGGATTCTCCAACCCACCACTTTCCCCACTCCAACTTCCATGTGCTCAGCATAATCACCCGTTGTTTCTTGGCCATTTCCTCACCTGGCAAAATCTCATAAATGATATTGAGGGATGGATACAAGCAGCTACTAAAGGACACCACACTGGCATGGTACATTGCCCTACCAGCGCTGTCCCTCTACAGCGTTAAAGGCCCCGTCCACAAGGAAATGCTGATAGCTTAGGAGGGAGATGCCAACATCCATCACTCTCTTGTCACCATTCTAAGTAAATCCTGCAAACCTTTTACTCTGGTAGCAGTCTCATGGCAGAGAATATGGAATCACACAGAGTACTAAAAATAAAATAATGTAAGTTATGCACAACAACAGAAATCCAAGAGATATCTAGGCTCATGCCAAACCCAAAGGCAAGGTATGCTATAAACCAGTGTGTGGGTGTTGAAGTATTCCTCCAGTTTTCCTAGTGAGACTGAATAGAGGTGGTGGCACTGAACACGTATGGTTGTACGAACTAGCAGCCCAAGGTCACACCAGCACTGTACTTCTGATACTCTTCAAAATTGTGAGGAGCTACCATAAAATATGAAGGAAACAAAAGCATCCCTTTGAACAAGAGCCAGTCTAGGAAATGGTTGCTGTAGAGGCTGTGTTGGGGCTTGAGCGTGCAGCAGATGGTCAAAGGAAATTCACTGAAAGTGGCTGTTTAGACAGTTTGCTTGAGCTGCTCAGTTCATAAATGTTTATTACCTTCTCCTATGGTTTTCTGGAACACTGCCTGTGATAATATCCGGATGGCTGAAAGACCATGGTTTTATTGCATCCAGCGAACCCAACCTCAGGCCATTTCTGTCTGGCCCATGCATTTCTACATTCTACCCTCTTTCCAAGGTAATACATTCATGGCAATGTAAACTTTCCAGAGCTCTGTAGAAGCTGACCCTTATAGCTTTCCCGGAGAAGCAAGATGACACATAGACTGGGTTCTGAGATGTGAGGTTCTCATTTATGCAATTCTCAAAAACAAAGGGGCAATGATGAAAGGGAGCCGCAAGCTTGGGCTTTTCATCACTTCTTTCTTCTTTCCAAAAGACTGCAGTGGCCTTTGGGGAATATTTATCAAAGTCAAGATCGCTGCCATTATCAACTTTATTGTGGTGAAAATGCAAATGACATGAAGTTGCCTCCCCACTGTGTAGGGAGAAGAGGGAGGGGATGGACAGGGATATTTCCTTCTCTTTGAAAGAAATCCTCTGTAAGATTTTTACTAGTTTTACAAACCTCTATGAAGCTTTTCAGCTGTTTATGGCTCAGATACAATAAGCCCTTAATTTAAACCCCCAGAATATGAACCATCCCTCAGTGCTGTTGATGAAAAACTAAAGATGTTGAAGCCTCCCCAGTGATATAATGAATGTTTGTGCTAAGGTGGGGAATGCTTAAAATTAGCAAGAAATCCTAGACATGTTCACACATTTCAACTTGAAAAGTATTTCTGAATTGCCCAAATGAAGTCCCATTCCCCAGTGGGAAGAAGACGCCTAGTGTTACCTGGGATGCCTGTGGTGGTAGCAGTTCCCGTTACCCCATTGCTCTTATTTTTCTTGTTATCTTGGGCTGTTTGCCTTGTAATTTCCTGCCTGGCTGATCTCCACCTCACCCTCATATTCTCTATTGGGTGAGTTAGAAATGGGAAATCCCTTGCTATTGGATCATTTCTATTTAAATAAATACAAATCTTAACACCAGCAAGCACATGTGATAATTAACAGATCTGAGGTCATAGCGGGGAACACAATGAAAATGGCAAATAGGGTAACCATAAAGATGAAGGAGCTGCAGTAACTCCACCGCAAAGGTTACAACATTTGGGACATTTGGTCTGGTGAAAAAATGTGAGTTAAGAGGGAGCATGATAGAGGTGTAAAAGAACAGAGAGAAAAATAAACTATTCCTCTCTCATAACATTAGGACTCATGAATATCCAATGAAGCTGAATGCTGAAAGATTCGGGAAAGATAAAATAAAGTACTTCTTCATGCAGCACATAGTTAAACTATGCAATTGGCTTTCAGAGGAGAAAGTAATGGACACCAATTTAGATGGCTTTAAAAGAGGATTGGGCAAATTCATTTAGGAGAAGATTACTGGCATGGAGGAGAAGACTATCAATGGCTACTAGCCATGATGTCTATGCTCTCCCTTCTCAGTTGGAAGGCTGAATGCCACAGGAGGTGAGAATGCTCTTGTGCTTGAGTCCTGCTTGATGGCTTCCCATTGGGGAATCTGGTTGGCCACTGCGAGAACTAGGATGATGGACTCAATGGGCCATTGGCCTGATTCATTTTAAGAAGGACTTTAACAAAGTGGAGGAAGTGATTGTCAGGTGGAAGGATGTCAGGGAAACAAATCCTATGAGGAATAGTTTAAAGACTGGAGAACAGAAGATGAGACATGACAGTGCTTCACATATCTGTCATACAGCAGATGGAGCAGGCTTGCTTACTGTTACCTTTAGAGGCCAGGACTAGAACCAAGGGGTGGAAATTGGCTACTAGACAGGATGGTTCTACTCTGCCTCTATGGTTGGACGTAGCATGCTGGGAATTACAAAAGAGAGTGCTCTCATTGTACTCAGGTCTTGCTTGTGACCTTGCTATAGGCATGGTATGGTATGAGTTACTAACCCTGATGGTTATGTTCTACCTCCACTGTTGGAGGCAGTAATGCTTCTGAGTACCAATTGCTGGAAACCACAGGCAGAAGGAGTTTTCTTGTGCTCGGGTTCTGCTTATGGGCTTCTCACATTCATCTGGGTTAGCATTGGTAAGAACAGGATGCTAGACTACATGGGCCATTGTGTGATTTTGGAGCATTCAGAGTCCTTGGCATACATTTCCCCCTATAAATGCACACAGCAGCTTTGTAAAATAGGCTGGTGTGATTATCTCCATGTTGCAGTGAGTTGACTGTGGACAAGCATGGCTTGTCTTGGGTCATGTAGTGACTTCATGGCTGAGAAACTGATGAAGGCTAAGGCTATCAATGGCTACTAGGCACAATGACTATGCTCAGCCTCCATGGTCAGAAGCAGTAATACTTCTTACCACCACTTTATGGGAATCACAGGTGCCGAGAACGCTGCTGAAACTGCTTTGAATAACAATCTTAATATAAGACACACTGTTTAAATTCTTAACTCATATTTACAACCTCTCCTTGTTGTTTTTAAAAATAAATTTTAATAGCAAACAAAGGTAGAAATTGCATTTGTGTCTCTCCTATGAGGAAAGCTTGCCGTGTCTGGGACTCTTCAGCTTAGATAAAAGGCAAGCAGGAGGAGACATAAAATTTTGGAGAAAGCAGATAAAAGTTTTTCTCCTCTCTCATGACGCTAGAACACGAGGACTTCCAATGAAGCTGAATGTGGGACGAAGATGCGCGACAGATACAATAAATGACTTCTTTACGCAGTGCAGTTTTACTATGGAGCTGCCTCTCGTAGGATGGGATAATGGCCAGCTTGGATGGCTTTCACAGAGGATCCGACAAATGCATGGAGGAGAGGGCTGTCACTGGCTACTAGCCACGATGGCTATGCTCTGCCTTTGTAGAGCTGCAATGCTTCTGAATACCAGTTGCTGGAAGCCACAGGAGCGGGGAGAGTTGCTCCTGTTGCATTCAGGTCCTGCTGGCAGCTTTCCCACCGGGGCATCTGGTTGTCCACTGCGGGAACAGGACGATGGGCTACATGGCCGGCCCTACGCCGCCCTGGCCTGGCGCTCCTGCTGCTGGACCTCTCTTGCGTCCTTCGCAGGTGCCCATTCTGTGACCCGCCCCTCCCCCGCTTCCCCCCTCAGTGACTCGCCCGCTCCACCTCTCCTACCCAGGCCTCTCCTTCCCCCCCAGCGGCTTGTGAAGGCCGGCCGCCTCCGCCACCGCCCCCACCGCCGGCGCCTCACCTCCCGCCGCACGTTCAGCAGCGAGTAATAGTCCTCGTTGTCCGGCGCCTCATCCACTGACGAGGCCGCCGCCATCTTGCCGACCTCTCACCCGCACTCGCGCATGCGCCGGCGGGTGGCGGCAGCAGGCCGGCCGGCCGCCGTCCTGGCCGCTCTAGGAAAGAGGAAAGCTTAAGGAGGCCTCTTGGCTGCAGCGCCCCCTGCAGACACGCCTTTAGAAAAAAGTGGCAGGGAATGGAAAGGGTGAAACGCAAGACAGCGGCGGGAGGGCACAAGGTCGGGCGAGGAGGACCGCATGCGCAGAAGCGGGAAACGCGGAGGGTGGGGGGGATGAGCGGCTCCTCAGAGAGCTTTTGAAGAGGCCACCGCGTGGATCTCGGCGCGCATGCGCATCGCCCCTATTGCTCTCTCTAGCTTCTAGTGGAAAGCGACGCACCGCCCTCTGGTGGGCGGGGATAGTTGTAGCCCCGCCTCCCTGAGACTCAAACTGCAAGGAGGGTGTTAAGTACAGTACTGAGCAGTTTGGGAAAACATTCTAGCAAAATACATTAATCGGTTTTGACAAATGAAGCATCAGTGATGCAGCCCAGGCAGTAACCAGGGATCTCTTCTGTAGGAGTTAATTAATGTGAATAATAATATTCATGATTTAAAAGATTTAAAATATACTAATAATAATTATAGGGGATGTGGGTGGCGCTGTGGGTTAAACCACAGAGCCTAGGACTTGCCGATCAGAAGGTCGGCGGTTCGAATCCCCACAACGGGGTTGCTCGGTCCCTGCTCCTGCCAACCTAGCAGTTTGAAAGCACGTCAAAGTGCAAGTAGATAAATAGGTACCGCTCCAGCGGGAAGGTAAATGGCGTTTCCGTGCGCTGCTCTGGTTCGCCAGAAGCGGCTTAGTCATGCTGGCCACATGACCCGGAAGCTGTATGCCAGCTCCCTCGGCCAATAAAGCGAGATGAGCGCCACAACCCCAGAGTCGGCCACGACTGGACCTAATGGTCAGGGGTTCCTTTACCTTTAATAATAATTATAACCAGGATCCTTTCCACTTTGGTGGTAGGATGCAGCCCTGTGTTGGGGAGAGGATAGTCTGGTGTGCACAATGTTGTAACATACTCAAGAAACCCACACACTTTGTTCCGTATTGATAAATCCCTTGAAACTACCCGTTCCTGTTCTATACACATCACTAATAATTTATACCATCTACAATTGCCACTTCAACTGTCTAGAAAGGGGGGGGGGGGGGTTGGTGGCATCGGCATAAATCCGTCTCTTTGCCATCCTTTTAAACGCTGAATATCGTATACATTTCAAAAGGTGGTTAAAGTGTTTTAGGGTATATCTACACTGCAAACTGACCAGGTTTATATCAATTTCACTGTTATGGCTTGCTGTAAAGAGCCCTGAAGTTTGTTGAGATCCGTGATATAGATCTTTTGAAGATCCCGTCGGAAGAAGATATGTGATGGACCAGGATCAGACTAAAGGGAGCCCATCTACCAAGCATCTATCCTGTTACCAGGAGTGGGTGCAGTCCGGGATGCCCGCAAGCCAGTCTGGCTGCTGTCCCTCAGTGATGGGCATTGTAAAGTGTTCTGGCTCAGAGAAGTCTTTCGGCTTGCCATCCCCACTGCTGGACACTTTCAGGCAACTTTTATTCTGATTGGTTTGCGCAAAGGTTATACAACAAGGGTTTGCGTTGCAGGGAGGAGGAGAGGGAGGGAGAAACCCTGTTACACAAGCAGAAGTCCTTGTGCAGGGCTTCTGATAATGAACTCCTTAGCTACATGCCACCCAAAATTATTTAAATACATTACTAGCAGGAAAGTAGCTCGGGAGGCAGTTGGAGCTTTGGATAACAAGGCATTCAAAGGTGTGCTAAAGTAGGAAAAGGGGACTACAGAGAAGCTGAAAAGGAATAAAAGAACTACCAGCCTCTTAGCAACAATTGCTATCTTCTGCCTCCATAGGTCAGAGGCATCCTCTGAATACCGCTGGCTGGAAATCACAACAGAAGAGAGTGCCGTGTTGCACACATGCCCTGCTTGCTGACTTCCCAGAAGAGGCCATTGTGATGGCTTTAAAAGAGGATTAGAGAAATTCATGGAGGAGAAGGCGATCAGCAGCTACTAGCCAGGATGGCTGTGCTTTGCTTCCAGGGTTGGAGGCAGCAATGTTTCTGAATATCAGTTGCTGAAAACCACAGGAGGGGCCATGGTGGGAACAGGATGCTGGACTCAATGGACCATTGGCCTGATCCAGCAGGCTTGTCTTACGTTCTTAACTTTGCTTCAAGCACTTGCTATCCCGTATTTTTCACTTCATTTCCCCATTACTTTCCTTACTGCAAAAAGCCCAAGGGTTTTTTTTTGTCCTCGCGGTATTATTATTATTATTATTATTTTGGAAGCAGGTTTGTTGGGCAAGAGCAGCAAATCTGCTCTAATTGCAAAACCTGGATTTATTGCCTCATGCTTGAATCTCAATTGCAAGAGAGCACCAATCTGGCAACAGTCTAATCTCCTTTTAAAACCAGCTAAGCTCCTGCCCGCCGCCATCACCTGGTGAAAAAGACCTCCATACATTAAGCACACATTGTGGAAATAGGCCCTTCCTCCTCCCCGTATTTCCTGAATTTCCTGCCAATCGGTTTCAAATGTCTACAGTTCCCAGAATTCCCAGGAGAGATGGAGCTGCTAGGAAGCCAATGCAAATTGATAGCATGTTACATATGCCTAGATTCCTATAGCAAGGGAACAGAACGTAGCAATCCTCCGATTGTTGCTGGTCTGGAACCCCCATCATCTCTGACCATTGCCCACATTGGCTGGGGCTGATGGGAGCTGGAGTCCAGCAACATCTGGAGGGCCACAGTTTCCCCATTGCTGCCTCTATACCTGTGTACACATTGCACCTTTGAAGCACATTTTCCCCCTAAAGGATTATGGGATAGAGAGACTCACCTGCGTGGAAAGCTTGCATTAGTTTGGGACTTTTTAGCTTAGAGAAAAGGCGAGTAAAAGAAGACATGAGAGAAGTTTATGAAATTATTCAGGGCTTGGGAAAAAATGACTGAAGAATTATTGTTTTTCCCCTCTTTCTCTCATAACACCAGAACTCGACGTGGACATCCAACGAAGCTGAAAATTGGAAGATTCAAAACGGAAGAAATAAAGTACTTCTTCACACAGTGTATAGTTAAACTATGGAACTCACTGCCACAGGAGGCAGTGGTGGCTTTGAAAGAGGATTAGACAAAGAGAAAGCGGTTAGTGGCCGAGATGGCTGTGCTTTGCTTCCAGCCTGGGCTGGAGGCAGCAATGCTTCTGAGTATCAGTCGCTGGAAGCCACAGGAAGGGGAGGTTGCCGTCGGAATACAGTAGTACCTCGTGTTACAGACACTTCAGGTTACAGACGCTTCAGGTTACAGACTCCGCTAACCCAGAAATAGTACCTTGGGTTAAGAACTTTGCTTCAGGATGAGAACAGAAATCATGCTCCGGCGGTGTGGCGGCAGCAGGAGGCCCCATTAGCTAAAGTGGTACCTCAGGTTAAGAGCAGTTTCAGGTTAAGAATGGACCTCCAGAACAAATTAAGTTCTTAACCCGAGGTACCAGTGTACTGCAGCCGGAAGCAGTGTCTGGGCAGAAATCGCTGTGAAATGTCTGGGAAAACCTGGACATATGGCAATCGATGTTGGAAGTCTAGATTTTGGCAAATTTCCTTAAAAATAGCTCAAAAATTTCATTTATTTTTGAGATTTTGCAAAAAATATATATTGGCCTGATCCAGCAAGCTGTTAGAGGTAAACTACAGAGCCCAGAATTCTTTGAGCGGGGAGGGAATGTGTTTCGAATGTGCTTTTAAGGTATCACATGTACTCTCAAACCTTTCACTGCCCTTTTTTGGGGTGATGGGGTTATCATTATTATTATTTATTGATTTTATATACCGCCCTATACCTGGAGGTCTCAGGGCCGTTCACAGAACAAAGGTTGAGTAGAGAAGAGTTGTTACCTCCCAGCAACAGAAACCCTGAGCGAGCGAGCATTGAAAGGAAGGTGGCTGTGTAAACAACTGCTTGCAGCCACCACAGTTATGCAGCTCATAACATCCTCCGCTCCCCTTCAGGCTTGACCCTACCATTCCTCATGTCCCCCCCCCTCCTTTCTCTGCCAATGGTGAAAGGTCCTCCTCATTACCACTGTGCCTTTTACAAGCACCTTTCTCGTTAGTTGTGCATGCTGAGGCAGCACCCGTTTTGTCTCCCTTCCTTAATTGCTTGGCGTACGTCGACGTACCTACAGTCCTATATTTGGAAAGGTAATTTTCATGTAAATTTCTGCCTCTGGTATATATTGCATTGCGAGATCTAATTAATTAGATTGGGTGCCCTTCCTCGGGAAGATTACTTAAAAATCTGTCTGTTCTATAATTTAAACGTTCGGGGAAATTGCAGAGTTCTGAATCGGGGGGTGGGGTTTTGGCAGGGCTGGCCAACAGTCTGACCCTACAGAAGCATAGTAGTAAGTTTCAGGGGGGCTTACGCCCAGGTAGGCGGAGATAAGATTGCACGTTCCAAAACCTGGCGTTTTTGAAAGGAGATCGGCACCGTTCCTGGCCCCTTCCACATCTGTTTTCCATGCGCAAATCCTCATAAAGGGATTCCAGAAGAAAAAGTCTCTTCCTTCTCTTCCACCTGCAGACTGGGCCCCTACCTGTGTCTCCAGTGCATCCTTGCTTCTGCACTTTTTGAGGCATAGGACATCACGTAATGAGGCCTGCAAAGTATTCCCCCTCCTGACAGGTACTTGGAGTTATCCCTGTTCCCCGGTTTCGTGACACTGGATCCCAATTCAGTCTCTGAGATATTTCCTTCCCAAGATCCCTATCTTTCCATTTACAGTGGTACCTCAGGTTAAGAACTTAATTCGTTCTGGAGGTCCGTTCTTAACCTGAAACTGTTCTTAACCTGAAGCACCACTTTAGCTAATGGGGCTTCCCGCGCCACCGCCACGCGATTTCTGTTCTTATCCTGAAGCAAAGTTCTTAACCCGAGGTACTATTTCAGGGTTAGCGGAGTCTGTAACCTGAAGCATCTGTAACCTGAAGTGTCTGTAACCCGAGGTATACAAAACAGGTTTATGTTTTGTTTTGTTTTGTTTTAACGGCATCGTACATTCCGCATTCGTAAGAAATCGATCTTTTGCTTGGTCAGACCACACCTGGAATACTGTGTCCAGTTCTGGGCAGGCACCACAATTTAAGAAGGATATTGACAAGCTGGAACATGTACAAAGGAGGACGATCGAGGGTCTGGAAACCAAGCCTTATGAGGAACAGTTGAAGGAGCTGCATATGTTTAGCCTGGAATAGAGGAGACTGAGAGGAGATATGATAGCCATCTTCAAATATCTACAGGGCTGTCAAAAGGAAGATGGG